AAACACCTGCATATGTGGTTTCCCTCTAACTTGACTTCTCATTCTTTAGCTATCTGCTTAAATAAATATCATTTCCTTAGAGAGGTCTCCCTAAAATCCAAAGGAAGTCCCTTCCGTTGTTCTTTCTCATAACATCCTGTTGATTTTCTTCATAGCATCTATCTCAGTTTGTATTATATATTAATTAGTGTCTCTTTTTTTTTGAGAGAGAGGGTCTCACCCTGTTGCTCAGGCTAAAGTGCAGTGGCATGATCATGGCTCACTGCAGCCTTGACCTCCTGGGCTAAAGTCATCCTCCCACCTCAGCTTTCTGAGTAGCTGGGACTACAGGTATGCACCACCACACTCAGCTATTAAAAAAATTTTTTGTGTGTGTAGATCAGGGGTCTCACCATGTTGCCCAAGCTGATCTTGAACTCCTGGGCTCAACTGATCCTCCCGCCTTGGCCTCCCAAAGTGCTGGGATTACAGGTATGATCCACAATGCCCGGCCATGTGTTTGCTTTTTTTTTTTCTTTTTGTTTGCTCTCATCACCCAGGCTGGAGTGCAGTGGCACGATCTCGGCTCACTGCAACCTCCACCTACTGGGTTCAAGCAATTCTCCTGCCTCAGCCTCCCAAGTAGTTGGGACTATAAGCACTCACCACCACACCCGGATAATTTTTGTATTTTTAGTAGAGATAGCTTTCACCATTTAGTCAGGCTGGTCTTGACCTCCTGACCTCAAGTGATCTGCTGCCTTGGCCTCCCAAACTTCTGGGATTACAGGTGTGAGCTACCATGCCTGGCCCATCTGTTCACTTTTTAATGTCTGTTCTCTCAGTAGGCTGGAAGTTCTACCAGGGTAGAGACTGTAACTGTTTTTTTCACTACTATGTAACTAATGCCTAGCACCTAGTTATCATCCAATAAATATTTATTGACACAGATTGGAAAAAAGTTAATGAATATTTAATTCAAGTAGTGATAATTAGGAGGCATACTATAAGAACATATAACAGTATAATTTTAATATATCAATTCTCAAGTTATAATAAACTTCAGGCCGGAAGTGGTGGCTCACGCCTATAATCCCAGCACTTTGGGAGGCTGAGGCGGGTGGATCATGAGGTCAAGAGATCGAGACCCTCCTGGTCAACAAGGTGAAACCCCGTCTCTACTAAAAAAAATACAAAAAAATTAGCTGGGCATGGTGGTGTGTGCCTGTAGTCCCAGCTACTTGGGAGGCTGAGGCAGGAGAATTGCTTGAACCCAGGAGGCGGAGGTTGTGGTGAGCCGAGATCGTGCCATTGCACTCCAGTCTGGGTAACAACAGCGAAACTCCGTCTCAAAAAAAATAATAATAATAATAATATTAATAAACTTCAAATTACCTTTACACTTTTACTTTAATATATATCTCAGAGATATTGCAGGTTCAATTCCAGATCACCACAAAAAAGTGAGTATCACAATAAAGCAAGTCACATTGTTTCCCAATGTACATAAAAGTTACATTTATGTCCAGGTGTGGTGGCTCATGCCTGTAATCCTAGCACTTTGGAATGCCAAGTTCGGCAGGTCATGAAGTCAAGAGATCGATACCATCCTGGCCAACATATGGTGAAACCCTGTCTCTACTAAACATACAAAAATTAGCTGGGTGTGGTGGCACGCACCTGTAGTCCCAGCTACTTAGAGGCTGGGGCTTGAACCCAGAAGGTGGAGTTTGCAGTGAGCCAAGACTGTGCCACTGCACTCTAGCCTGGGTGATGGAAGGAGAGTGTCTCAAAAATAAAAAAAAAAAATTCAGCCATATTCTATCACAGGAGTCCTTAATATAATAATATTATAATTCTTCAATTCAAAGACATACATTTTCACCTTATGACTGTACTCCAGTTGTATCTTAACAATTGATGGCATAGCATGGTAAAACTGGTAGAATTACATAAAATGATGTGTCTTAGATTTAATGAAATGTAGTCTTTTTTTTTTTTTTTTTTTTTAAGAGAGACAGGGTTTCACCATGTTGGCCAGGATGGTCTCGCACTCCTGACCTCAGGTGATCCACCTGCCTCGGCCTCCCAAAGTGCTGGAATTACAGGCATGAGCCACTGAACCTAGCCCGAAATGTAGTCTTAAACACAGAATAGGAGAAGCATATACAGATAGAGCAAATTGATCATCTTTGACAAACCTGACAGAAACAAGCAATGGAGGAAGGATTCCCTGCTTAATAAATGGTGCTGGAAAAACTGGCTAGCCATATGCAGAAAACAGAAACCAGATCCCTTCCTTACATCTTATACAAAAATTAACTCAAGATGGATTAAAGACTTAAATGTAAAACTTAAAACCATAAAAACCTTAGAAGAAAACCTAGGCAATACTATTCAGTACATAGGCACGGGCAAAGACTTAATGACTAAAATACCAAAAGCAATTGCAATGAAAGCCAAAATTGACAAATGGGATCTAACTAAATGAAAGAGCTTCTGTACAGCAAAGAAACTATTATAAGAGTGAACAGGCAACCTACAGAATGGGAGAAAATTTTTGCAATCTATCCATCTGACAAAGGACTAATATCCAGAATCTACAAGGAACCTAAACAAATTTATAAGAACAAAAAAAATCCCATCAAAAAGTGAGCAAAGGATATGAACAGACACTTCTCAAAAGAAGACATTTATGCAGCCAACAAACATATGAAAAAAAGCTCATCATCACTGGTCATTAGTGAAATGCAAATCAAAACCACAAAGAGATACCATCTCTCACCAGTTAGAATGGTGATCATTAAAAAGTCAAGAAACAAAAGATGCTGGCAAGGCTATGGAGAAGTAGGAATGCTTCTACACTGTTGGTGGGAGTGTAAATTAGTTCAACCATTGTGGAAGACAGTGTGGTGATTCCTTAAGGATCTAGAAATAGAAATAACATTTGACCCAGCAATCCCATTACTGGGTAAATACCCAAAGGATTTTAAATCATTCTACTATAAAGACACATGCACACATATGTTTATTGCAACCCTATTTACAATAGCAAAGACTTGGAACCAACTCAAATGCCCATCAATGATAGACTGGATAAAGAAAATGTGGCGCATATACACCATTGAAAATTATGCAGCCATTAAAAAAGAATGAATGCATGTCCTTTGTGGGGACATGGATGAAACTGAAAACCATCATTCTCAGCCAACTAACACAGGAACATAAAACCAAACACCACGTTTTCACTCATAAGTGGCAGTTGAACAATGAGAACACATGGACACAGGGAGGGGAACATCACACTCCAGAGCCTGTCAGGGTGTGGGGGGCACAGGGAAAGAGGGCATTAAGACAAATACCATGAGGAGCTTAAAACCTAGATGACAGGTTGATGGGTGCAGCACACTGCCATGACACATGTATAACTATGTAACAAACCTGCATATTCTGCACATGTATCCCAGAACTTAAAGTAAGATTAAAAAAAAAAAAAATAGGCCAGGTGCAGTGGCTCACGCTGCAATCCCAGCACTTTGGGAGGCTGAGGCGGACAGATCACCTGAGATCGAGAGTTCGAGACCAGCCTGACCAACATGGAGAAACCCTGGCTCTACTAAAAATACAAAATTAGCCCGGTGTGGTGGTGCATGCCTGTAATCTCAGCTAATTGGGCGGCTGAGGCAGGAGAATCACTTGAACCTGCGTGGTGGGGGTTGTGGTGAGCTGAGATGGCACTATTGCACTCCAGCCTGGGCAACTAGAGCAAAACTCTGTCTCAATAATAATAATAATAATGATAATAACATTTTTAAAAGAAATGCTAATTTTTTTAAAAGGCCAGGTGTGGTGGTTCATGACTGTAATCCCAGCATTTTGGGAGGCCGAGGGGGGCGGATCACGAGGTCAGGAGTTACAACCAGCCTGGGCAACATGGTGAAACCGTTTCTATAAAAAAAATACAAAAAATTAGCTGGGTGTGGTGGCAGACGCCTGCAATCCCAGCTATTCAGGAGGCTGAGGTGGGAGAATTGCTTGCACCCAGGAGGCAGGGGTTGCAGCGAGCTGAGATTGTGCCACTATACTCCAGCCTGGGCGAGATAGTGAGACTCTGTCTCAAAAAAAAAAAAAAAATTAATGTCTTACCTATTTCAACCAAGAACTTTGGGGGAATAACTCTCCTTACCCTTACCTTTTGTATGTTTATTAGCAAAAACATAACAAGTGCCATTCATTTCAAAAAATCAAATGCTATAGACATAGTATTAAAACTAGCAGTTTAGTGAAGGTGTTGATACAAGATGATCAGATCTTCTTCCTCCCTCCCTCCCTCCCTTCCTTCCTTCCTTCCTTTTTTTTTGACAGAGTCTCACTCTGTTGCCCAGGATGGAGTGCAGTGGTATGATCTCAGCTCACTGCAACCTCTGCCTCCCAGGTTCAAGAATTCTCCTGCCTCAGCCTCATGAGTAGCTGGGACTACAGGCACAGGCCACCATGCCCAGGTAATTTTTGTATTTTTAGTAGAGATCGGTCTTCACCATGTTGGCCAGATTGGTCTTGATCTCCTGACCTTGTGATCCACCCATTTCGGCCTCCCAAAGTGCTGAGATTACAGGTATGAGCCACTGCACCTGGCCAATGATCAGATTTTCTTTTGCTATTTTGCCTAACTCCACTGTGGGGGATTGTTTGATACCTAAATGTTGCATGTTATTTTAAAAGGAAAATAAATTAAAATCATTTTATGTGTTGTATTAAGTACTTTTCCCCTCAAAATTCTTTAAGCAATGCAAAAGTTCAAATATGGCAACAATCATGCATAATAAGGAATTTAATATCAGATGATGACACTATCCAGAAACAGTTAATAAATGTCCAAACTAAAACAGGCCTTACCTGGTAGAGATTTATTATTCTTTAAAATAATATTTTAAAAATATATGTAACATTTTAATTTAACTAAGAATATTTAAGTTTAAATAAAGTTATTTGTAGTGATCATTAATAATTTAATCTATTACCATATTTCAATGTGAGAGATGTTTCAAATAGTAAGGCTGCAATCAGCACATCTTCTTTACGCACTTCGTTCCTTAAGTTCAGTCGTGCATGGGCTTCAGATAGGGAAACGCTAAAAAAGAAAATAGTTGCCAATCAAAATATGTTGATGTTATTAAAATAATGTATATTTTGGCAGGAACAAACCAAGACACACGTGAACCCTAGCCACACCTAAAGCATATTCTTACTTTAAAAAAATTTTTCGTTTCTTTTCAAAGCACTGTTTTTCTTACCAACTTAGACAGTTCCAGAACAAGCCAGTATCCTGACTTATTATCAAAGAGCTGGTTTCCCAACATCATTCTGATACCAAAACCTGGCAGAGACACAACTAAAAAAGAAAACTTCAGGCCAATAGCCATGATGAACCTCGATGCAAAAATCTTCAATAAAATACTAGCAAAATGAATGCAACAGCACATCAAAAAGCTTATCCATCATGATCAAGTAGATTTCATTCTGGGGATGCAAGGCTGGTTCAACACACTCAAATCTATAAACGTAATCCATCACATAAACAGAACCAAAGACAAAAACCCCGTGATTATCTCAATAAATGCAGAGAAGGCCTTCAACAAAATTCAAAAGCCCTTTGTGCTAAAAACTCTCAATAAACTAGGTATCAATGGAATGTATCTCAAAATAATAAAAGCAATTTATGACAAACCCACAGCAAATAGCATACTGAATGGGCAAAAACTGGAAGCATTCCCTTTCAAGACTGGCACTAGACAGGGGTGCCCTCTCTCACCCTTCCTATTCAACACAGTATTGGAAGTTCTAGCCAGAGCAATCAGGCAAGAAAAAGAAATAAAGGATATTCAATTAGGAAAACAGGAAGTCAAATTGTCTCTATTTACAGATGTCTCTATTTGCAGATGATTGTATATTTAGAAGACCCCATCATCTCAGCCCAAAATCTCCTTTAGATAATAAACAACCTCAGCAAAGTCTCAGGATACAAAATCAATGTGCAAAAATCACAAGCATTCCTATGCACAATAACATACAAACGGCCAGCCAAATCATGAGTGAACTCCCATTCACAATTGCTGCAAAGAGAATAAAATACCTAGGAATACAACTAACAAAGGATGTAAAGGACCTCTTCAAAGAGAACTACAGACCACTGCTCAAGGAAATAAGAGAGGACCCAAACAGATAGGAAAGCATTCCATGCTCATGGTTAGGAAGAATTGATATTGTGAAAATGGCCATACTGCCCAAAGTAATTTATAGATTCAATGCTGTCCCCATCAAGATACCCCTGACCTTCTTCACAGATTTGGAGAAAACCACCTTAAACTTCATATGGAACCAAAAAAGAGCCCACATAGTCAAGACGATCCTAAGCAAAAAGCTTAGGCATCATGCTGCCTGACTTCAAATTGTATTATAAGGCTACAGTAATGAAAATGGCATAGTACTGGTACTAAAACAGAGATATAGACCAATGGAACAGAATAGAGGCCTCGGAAGTAACACTGCATATCTATAACCATCTGATCTTTGACAAACCTGACAAAAACAAGCAATGGGGAAAGGATTCCATGTTTAATAAATGGTGTTGGGAAAACTGGCTAGTCATATGCAGAAAGCTGAAACTGGACCCCTTCTTTTCACCTTATACAAAAATTAACTCCAGATGGATTAAAGATTTAAACGTAAGACCTAACACCATAAAAACTGTAGAAGAAAACCTAGATATATAAGCATAGGCAAGGACTTCATGACTAAAACACCAAAAGCAATGGCAACAAAAGCCAAAATAGACAAATGGGATCTAGTTAAACTTAAGAGCTTCTGTACAGCCAAAGAAACAATCATTAGAACTGGCAACCAACAGAGTGGGAAAAAATTTTTGCAAGCTACCTGTCTGACAAAGAACTAATATCCAGAATCTACAAAGAACTAAAACAGATTTACAAGAAAAAAACAAGCAACTCCATCAAAAAGTGGGCAAAGGATATGAACAGACACTTTTCAAAAGAAGGCATTTATGTAGCCAACAAATATATGAAAAAAACTCATCATCACTGGTCATTAGAGAAATGCAAATCAAAACCACATTGAGATATCATCTCACACCAGTTAGAATGGCAATCATTAAAAAATCTGGAGACAACAGATGCTGGAGAGGATGTGGAGAAATAGGAACATTTCTACACTGTTGGTGGGAGTATAAATTAGTTCAACTATTGTGGAAGACAGTGTGGTGATTCCTCAAGGATCTAGAAATAGAAATACCATTTGACCCAGCAATCCCATTACTGGGTAAATACCTAAAGGATTATAATCATTCTATTATAAAGACACATGCACATGTATGTTCATTGAGGCCCTGTTTACAATAGCAAAGACCTGGAACCAACCCAAATGCCCATCAATGATAGATTGGATAAATAAAATGTCACGCATATACACCACGGAATAATGTACAGTCATAAAAAAGGATGAGTTCATGTTCTTTGCAGGGACATGAATGAATCTGGAAACCATCATTCTCAGCAAACTGACACAAGAACAGAAAACCAAACACCGAAGGTTCTCACTTATAAGTGGGTGTTGAACAATAAGAACACATGGGCACAGGAAGGGGAACATCACACACTGGAGTCTGTTGGGGGTTGGGGAGCTAGGAGAGGGATAGCTGGGGGTGGGGAGGTTTGGGGAGCGATAACATTGGGAGAAATACCTAATGTAGGTGACAGGGGGATGGAGGCAGCAAACCACCATGGCATGTATATACCTATGTAACAATCCTGTAAGATCTGCATGTGTACCCCATAACTTAAAGTATAATATTAATAATAATAAAAGAGTTGGTTTTCATACTGGCATTCATTTATCATTCCACACTCCCCTCCCCAAGTTTTGTTCAGATAAATACACAGTTGGGAAAATTAATTTAACTAAATATCTTTTACAGACTAATCCTTGACTTTTGCTTTTAGTCCCTCATTTATCTAAAATCCCCATAAATTTGCAAGATTTTTGTTTGCAATTTCAGGATTGGAAGGGATCTTAGAATTCAAAGTTCAAACTTTCATCAGAAAACTAAATTTCCTCTACAATATCCTGGGCTATTCATTTTCCCATCTCTTTTGGACTTCTCCTAGCATTCATGGCTTCATGAGGCAATCCATTCCTTTATTTTTAATTTTTCAACCAGCTTCCATTACCTGAAAGATCTCCTTTAAGCAAATGTAATGTACCTGAATGACTGCTGAACTTAAGAATCAGAAAACCTGGGCTGAGTCTCTGGAATTTATAAGCTGTATGACTTTGCATAAATCATTTAATGTATAAGATTTTTTGAAATTCAGCTATAAAAGGGAGATAAGTAAGGGCATTTGAAAGTTTTGCAACTAACTATAACTATAACTAACTATAACCAAGATTCTATCAATCTAAGCTGAAATTAGTTTCACTGCAATTTCTACCTACAGGTCTCTTGTTCTGTTTTCTGAGACCTCTTAATAAGATGCTCTTCAGATATTCAAAGATAACTTTTCTATTGCTCCAGGTTTTCTTTCCTTCAAGGTAAATATTTCTAATTCCTTTCCTATGTTATGAGACATAATTTTCAGCTCCTCACCATGCTGGCTGCTCTCCTCATGACCTCATGTCGTACAGTATGACAGGGGATTTGACCATCACAGTAGAGGTGAGGCGTAACTAGCATTTTGTTGCTCATGATATATATTCTATTAATATGACCCTAACTATCAGTATTTTTAATAGCCATATTGTATTATTTACTCTTATTAAACATAAAAAGAATGAAATACCAAATCCTTTTCATATCTTTTCATATTAAGCCACATTACCATTTTCTCATCAATTCACACTGATACTAGGGAGTCCGGGCATCTAACAGAGAGCTTTACATTTATCCTGTTAACTTTCCTTTTGTTAGATTAAGACCACAATTCAAGCTTATGAAATTCTTTCCAGTATTGCTCATTTATAAATGTAATTATCATGTATTTGATGTCCTCATCCAAGATCCTTCTAAAAATGTTAACCGGGACAGAATATGTATAGAGCCTTTCAGAGACAAAGAAGAAAGTATTGTTCAGCTCCACTTCTCTAGAAAAGCAAAGATGCTTGTGATTAGGTATCTGTCTGTAGAAAGGGGAGAAAAATTCAAGGTTTATGACTCTTCTAGCTAGGGGTTCATTTACTCTGCTATTTCACAAACTATGTTTAATATTTCTTCAATGTGAAAAAGAAGAGTTATCATATTAAAATTATTTTTGAATCAATATACTCATATGTAAACTGAATTACAAATACAAAACATATTTTCACTACAGAGAAAATAACATTATGAGAAAAACCTGTAATCTCAGCACTTTGGGAGGTCAAGACAGGTGGATCACCTGAGGTCAGAAGTTTGCAACTAGCCTAACTAACATGGTGAAACCCCATCTTTACTAAATACAAAAAAATGAGCCGAGCATGGTGGCACACGCTTGTAATCTGATCTACTTGGGAGGCTGAGACAGGAGAATCACTTGTACCTGGGAGGCAGAGGTTGCAGTGAGCCAACATTGTGCCATTGCACTCCAGCCTGGGCAACAAGAGTGAAACTCCGTCTCATAACATACTTCAGAAAACAGAAAGCAACATATAATTCTGTTTACCATTTTAAAACATCAAAAAGTTGACTTCTACTTGGCTTATCTTTAGTATTTTTCAGCTCTGTGAAGATAAATATACAGTTGGGGAAATTAACTAAACATATCTAAATCTTACAGACTTATACTTGACATTTTCTGCCAGTTCTTCATCTGTCTTACTTTATATTGCAGTTTTAATAATATATTTATTTATTTAATAAATTATTTTACTCCTGGTTCTACTTCATAATTATTTTGAGATTATGCTTTAATACTATATCAAATAAAGTAATATTCTATCAATAGGGGACTGTTTAAATTATAATACAGCTACATCACAACACAGTGAAGCTATGATGCAGCTACTTTTTTTTTTAGACAGTTTCACTCTGTCATCCAGGTTGGAGTGCAGTGGTGCAATCTTGGCTCACTACAACCTCCATCCGCCTCCTGGGTTCAAGCAATTCTCCTGCCTCAGCCTCACAAGTAGCTGGGACTACAGGCATGTGCCATAACGCCAAGCTAATTTATTTTTTATTTTTTTAGTACAGACAGGGTTTCACTATGTTGACCAGGCTGACCTCAAGTGATCACCCCGCCTTGGCCTCCCAAAGTGCTGGGATTACAGGCGTGAGCCACCAAGCCCGGTTTTTGTTTGTTTGTTTTTTTTTTAATTGAGAGGGGGTCTCACTCTGTCGCCCAGGCCAGAGTAAAGTGGCACGTCTAGGCTTTCTGCAACTTCCACCTCATGGAATCAAGTGATCCTTCCACCTCAGCTTCTTGGGACTACAGGCACCTGCCACCAGGGCAGCTTAGTTTTTGTATTTTGTGTTGAGACAGAGTTTCATTCACCATGTTGCCCAGGCTGCCCTGTTTTGTTTTTGTTTTTGTTTTTTAATAGAGATGAGGTTTCACTATGTTGCCCTAGCTGGTCTTGAATTCTTGCACTCAAGTGATCTTCCCACCTCAGCTTCTCAAACTGCTAGGATTACAGGTGTGACCCACTGCACCCAGCCCCCAGGCTGGTCTTGAACTGAGCTCAAGCCACCTGCCTGCTTCAGCCTCCTAAATTGCTAGGGTTACAGGCAAGAGCCACTGTGCCTGGCCACATTTTTAAAAACAAGGATTTGTATTTGAAATCAGTGCATTTTTCTCAGACACATCTCCTATGTGGCATCCAATAAAAATTAATTTAGTAAAAACATTGTTAGAGATTAAAATGATGAAATATGATATAACAAAAGAAACTGTGAAGCCTTTAGTCCTTTTGGAACAAGGTCATTTATAAACCAACCAACTTGCAATCAAGCAGAGAAACAAGTGAAATAGATAAATCAGTAACTTAATGAAACATACCATTTGAAAGTCAATACTGACTTTAAAATCTTGAATTAAATACCTACAGATACTTTAATGCAGATGCTGACAGTTTTGATCCACATATAGAGTCAGTTCTGATTCTGCGACTTGCTAGATAATAGCCATGAATCATTCTTTCTGCTTCCAAGCTGAATTCTACATTCAAATTCTTTGCAAAAGCCAGTAGCTAAAAAGAGTGAAAAATCCAAGATAATCAAACTTTATCATGGAATCCCTATAACAAAAATCAAAAGTATACTGCCACTTTATTTTTAAAAGTTTGCATATTTTATTACATAAAAAACAGTAAACATCTGGGGCCATCCCGAAGTCATTGACACTTTAAATCACAATGTTATACCTGTAAAGGATTTTAAAGTGTGCCCAGAATAATTTCCTCCCTCTCAGTGCAGAAATGTTCTGTGTAATATGTTTGAATGACTTTACAAGGTCTTTGCTCCCAGTGAAAGGCTCACCTCCCTCACAAGTTCATTCGCATTTGAATAGCTTTAATTCTCTGACAGTTTATTTCCTTAAAACTTTCTCTCATTGGCCTAGAGCTACTTGTCCTCCTTATTTCCCTTCCTTTTACAGAACACTTACCACGTGGTATGAGGGAAAACATTGTGTTAACTTTGAAGGTGGGCTTTAGTGATTAAGATTTGGGTAGAGAATAATTCTACAACCCAATGATTATCACTGGTTTTTCTAGTTTTATGCTTTTTTTTCCTTTCAGAATCAGTGATTCCTAGTTCCCAAAGTCCTTCTCTGTGACATAATTTCCAGATTTTTTACTATCCTAGTTATTTTCTACTTATTCAGTTCAGATAACCACAGGAAAAATTAACTATAATAAGGTTGCTATGTTTTGTTTGTTTGTTTTTTGACACTAGAGAAAGGTTGCTAACTATAAAATTTATATTATTTATTTATTTATTTTTGAGATGGAATCTTGCTCTGTCGCTCAGGCTGGAATGCAGTGGCACGATCTCAGCTCACTACAACCTCCACTTCCTGGGTTCAAGCAATTTTCCTGCCTCAGCCTCCTGAGTAGCTGGGACTACATGTGTGTGCCACCATGACTAGCTAATTTTTTTTCTTTTTGTATTTTGATTAGAAACAGGGTTTCACCATGTTGGCCAGGCTGGTCTTGAACTCCTGACCTCAGGTGATCTGCTCACCTCAGCCTCCCAGAGTGCTGGGATTACGGGCATGAGCCACCATGCCTGGCCTAAAATTTGCATTTTAAATATAACTTTTAAAAAAGCATATAGACATTTCCTACATTGGACATGTCCTGGATTGGATATATCCTGGCTTCATTTTCTTTATTCTCCACAACTCTCTCCAGGCTTTCAGAACTTGGTAATAATACTATTAATGGTATCTGGCCATGCATGGTGACTCACACCTGTAATCCCAGCACTTTGGGAGGCTGAGGCAGGCAGATCACGAGGTCAGGAGTTCAAGACCAGCCTGGCCAACATGATGAAACCCCGTCTCTACTAAAAATACAAAAAATTAGCCAGGTGTGGTGGTATGTGCCTATAATCCTAGCTACTCAGAAGGCTAAGGCAGGAGAATCACTTGAACCCAGGAGGCAGAGGTGAGCCAAGATGGCGCCGTTGCACTCCAGCCTGGGCAACAGGGCAAGACTCTGTCTTGAGAAAAAAAATACTATTAATAGTATCAACAACCCTCTCTAAGTTCTCTCTAAGGTGGCATGATCATGAGCCACCAATATCCTCCTTCAGGAAAGGGCCTGTTGCCCCAGCTACTGAGGGTGCTGTTAGCTCCTTTAGGGATTACCTCAGGATAGCCCACATCATGAGTGATTGAGGCAGAAGTCGGGGAGGACATTATAAAGTCTGGAGGTATTGACAGAAAGCTTTCCCCAATAAACACTGGCACACTAAACTCCATCTCAGTCTGTGTTCTGGAGAGCTCAGCCTGCTACAAATTCCATCCACTCTGATTTGTGTGACATTTATCTTCCAGAGAAATGATTTTCACTATTTCACTTTTTACTATTTTTACAGTTCACTCTACAACTGTTCTCTATAGTCTGACAAACCAACTATAAAATCTTCTGCTTGTGCAAGACTTATTGTAAATATGTAAAAAAACAAAACAAAAACAAGAAACCTATGACTCCAAAATAAAATTTCTGCTCCAGTCAAGCTGGTCTTATCATTTTCCATGTATACTAATTTCTACTTTTATGTCTTTGCTCCTACTATTAATTCTACTTGGAACACCCATCCTTTGTGCATCTAAATTTTACCCTTTCTTACAGCCCAACTAATGTCCAGCTTCTTCCATGAAGTTTTCCCAGCTTCTGCATTCTACATTGATATCTTCCTTTCTGAATTCCTAAAATACCTTCGAATCAGCACCACTTAGCTTAGCACTTAAATTTTTCCTTAATTATTTTATGTATCTTGTTTTCATCTCCATTAAATGTTAAACTAAAGTGAAAGTTTATATTTCTGTGAGAATATAAAAGAATAGAAATAGGCTCATATATGTGAAGTATTCAGTAAATACCTGAATAATTAATAAATCTAGATTGTTTTGGCTTGTTTCTCAGGAAAAAAAATGGGCAAAATTTCTCAGGGTTATTAGCTTGTCTATATTTAGTCAAGCCTCCCGAGTAGCTGAGATTCCAGGTGCTATATTTAGTGCCCTAATTCCTGCAGACTACCTTTTTCCCATACAATCAAAACCAAAACCAAAACCTTATTATATTATAAATATTATTCTTTTTTCTATTCTATGTGAATAAACAATGCTCAGAATTCATTTTTTAAGTCAATTTCACCTTTCAACCTTTTACTCATGCAATATGCTTACAAGGAAGGTAGATATAAAAAAAAATTAATGACTCATAGACCTCCACTTTCTGATATCCCCTGCCTTTTATCTAACATACCCATACAAGTGAACTCTACTATGGACAGATTATTTTGAGCAGTTCAAAAGGTTCGGTTGTAAATACGTGAGGAACTTTAATAGCTATGAGAATTATTACTAAATTTACATCACCTACTCTCAGGTTCTCTGAACATGTCATATATGTTTTGATGTCAGTGAATTATGCTACATATCCCCTAAAGTCAGGACTCAAAGGCATTCATCTAAGGAAAATCCCTTTGAATAGACAGTAAAATGTAAATAACTATATATCTATATAGCCTATTATAATTATTCTCTTTTCTTCTTGGTTTTTTTTTTTTATTTTTTTGAGACAGAGTTTTCACTCTGTTGCTCAGGCTGGAGTGTGATGGTGCCATCTTGGCTCACTACAGCTTCTGCCTCCCAGGTTCAAGCAATTCTCCTTCCTCAGCCTCCTGAGTAGCTGGGATTACAGGAATGCGGCACCATGCCTGACTAATTTTGTATTTTTAGTAGAGAGGGGGTTTCACCATGTTGGCCAGGCTGGTAACTCCAGACCTCAGATGATCCACCTGCCTCAGCCTCCCAAAGTGCTGGGATTACAGGTGTGAGTCACCAGGCCCAGCAGCCTACTATAATTTTCTATAGAAAAATTCTATTTTGATTTTCTTTCATTGAGATTCTTTCAGCTCTGTTGATTTGGACAATGGTACAAAGAATAAACTTAAAATTTTAATATTCATTACCTAACACAGTTGTTTGTTTAATTATAGTCCTAAATAATTCTAAATGATTTCTTTCCTTTTTTCTTTCTTTTTTTTTTTCTTTTTGAGACAGGGTCTTACTCTATCACCCAGGCAGGAGTGCAATGGTGCAATCTCGGCTCATTGCAACCTTCACCTCTTGGGTTCAAGCCAGTCTCCTGCCTCAGCCTCCTGAGTAGCTGGGGTTACAGGTGCTCACCACCATGCACAGCTAATTTTTGTGTTTTCTGGTAGAGATGGGGTTTCACTGTGTTGGCCAGGCTGGTCTCAAACTCCTGGCCTCAAGTGATCTGTCCATCTTGGCCTCTCAAAGTGCTGGGATTATAGGCATGAGCCACCACACCAGCCTAACCCTAAATAACTTCTATACCATATCTTTAACATGTTTAAAAGCTGTAACTAAATTGGAATAAAAGAATCTTCAATAAAGAAAACCCAGCGTTCAAAAGGACTTCTGTATAAACTGAGAAACATTAGCACAGGCTCCTGGGTAACTGTTTTATTTACCTTTACCTTTTCAAAATCTTCAGTTGTAAACTGTCTAGAAGCCACATAAAGCAGCCCTTCAGGATTAATGCCTTTCTTCAAAGTATGCTGCACAGTAGGAAGAAATGGGTGGCAGGGAGATGACTCATTGCAGTTAATCAATAAACCAAATGCCTCCATAAGGTTAGCAGGAATCAAACTGCAATCCTACATCAAACCAAAAGGTAACAGGCAAACATTAAACTTTGTAATTTTCACAATTTTGAAATAATTACTTACAAAGTAATTATTATATGTTACTATTATTAAAGTTATTTATATTAATTATAATTTAAGGTATTTTTTGAATAATCTGGGAACTTTTTGGTGATTGATTTTTTAAAGCCTCTTTACGATTTTCTTTCTTTTTTTTTTTTTTTTTTCAGATGGAGTTGCCCAGGATGAAGTGCAATGGCATGATCTCGGCTTACTGCAACCTCCATCTCCCGGGTTCAAGCGATTCTCCTGCCTCAGCCTCCCGAGTAGCTGAGATTCCAGGTGCCTGCCACCATGCCTGGCTAATTTTTGTATTTTTAGTAGAGACGGGGTTTTACCATATTGGCCAGGCTGGTCTTGAACTTCAGACCTCGTGACCTTCCCGGCTCGACCTCCCAAAGTGCTAGGATTAGAAGCATTAGCCATGGTTCCTGGCCTACTGAGTATTTTCTTATACATTATTCATTAAGGGCTCTCCAGCTACCTATTCAAATAGTAATTTCCAGTGAGTAGACATCTGATCTACATGGTTAAAAAAATTACAATTTTTAAACATGTGGTTCATCATGTAGTTCTGATACCCAATAACATATTAATAACAAAAATATTAAGAGGTATTAAAATTTGTGACTAAATTTATTGAACAACATTCTAACAATAAAATATACATATCTTACCATCTGACCAATTAGAGTGTTGATTTTCTGTGCATTTCTCCTTGAAGATGAATCCATATCAACAAAAGACCAAAAACTGCACTGAACTGGAAAAGTCATCTGTTGATCAATATCCTCCCCAAACTTCTTTCCTGGGATGTACACTGTGATGCTTCTGCTCTCCAGAACTAAGTTAAAAGATATTATCTATTTGCTATTTAAGTTCATTTTGGTCTAAATGTCTATAAATTAATAACATATTCTTATATTGAATTATACTGTCTTGACTTTGAATAGTGAAAGAAAGTAAATTTGATTGTTTTGCAAGACGATGCTCTAAGTTAGAGCATCTGCAATAAAAAGAACAAGGCAAAAATATATATTTGAAGCCTTCTATGTCCCATGACTTGATGAGAACCAGGAGTCCAAAGCATGTAGCTAGAATTGTGGCTGGGCACCTGAGTGGACTAGGCAGTGGACTAAGAGATTGGTCATATAATACAGAATTACATGAGAGACTAAAATTAAATCATGTTCTTTTATGTGGGGAAAAATGATAGAAAGCAGGCCATCATGTGGGAGTGAGAGAGGAAAAGACAGATAATATGAACTACAATGACCTGGGGAAATGTATCTCAAATTCAACATGTTCAAAAACAAATTCGTTGTCCTCGCTCCTCCCACTTAAAACCCAAACAGGCCGGGCATGGTGGCTCATGCCTGTAATCCCAGCACTTTGGGAGGCCGAGGCAGGTGGATCACCTCAGGTCAGGAGATTGAGATCACCCTGGCTAACCTGGTGAAACATGGTCTCTATTAAAATACAAAAAATTAGCAGGGGTGGTGATGTGCACCTTTAGTCCCAGCTACACAGGAGGCTGAGGCAGGGGAATCACTTGAATCCAGGAGGCAGAGGTTGCAGTGAGCTGAGATTGCTCCACTCCAGCCTGGCGACAGAGCAAGACTCCATCTCAAAAAAAAAAAAAAGGAACATTTGGGAGGCTTACACAGGAGGATTGCTTGAGCCCTGGAGTTCCAGACCTGCCTGGGCAACTTGGCAAGACCCTGTTACTACAAAAAATTAGCCAAGCATTGTGGCATGTTATTGTGGTCCAGCTACTTGGGAGGCTGAGGCGAGAGTGCAGTGAGGTATGATGACGCTACCACACTCCAGCCTGGGCAACAGAGTATGTCTCAAAAAAAAAAAAAAAAAAAGGAAGAAGGAGAAGGAGGAGAGGAAGAAGGAGAAGACAGAGAAAGAGACCAGGGCAGTCACGAGGACCACATATGATTTGATTTCATTTATAGTCAGCCATCCATGTCTGAAGGGTCTGCATTCAACCAACCACTGATGAAAAATATTGAACCAATCAATAAGTAAAACAATAACAACAGTAAAAAAAAAACACAGTATAACAATTTGCAAAGTATTTACATTGTATTGACTATTATAAGTAATCTATAGATGATTTAAAGTATATGGGAAGATGTGCATAGCTTATATGCAAATACTACCCCATTTTATATGAGGGACTTGAGCATCTGTGGATTTTGGTATCTGAGAGGCCCTGGGACCAATCCATGGAGAATAATGAGGGAAGACCAAGTATGCAATGTTTAGAATAGGCAAATATATAGTAACAGAAAGCAATTAGAGTTTGCCAGGGACTGTTTTGGGAGTAGGTGACAGGAGACAGGGACTGGGAGTTGACTGCCAATGGGTATGGAGCTTCCTTTTGGGGTGATGAAAATATTCTGAAGTTAGTGGTAATAGTAGCACAACTCTGAATTATTCTAAAAAGCACTTAACCATATACTTTCAGTGCTGAATTGTATGATGTGTGAATCTCAATAAAACTGTTACCAAAAATGTAATAGTAGTAATTGCCATTCTACTTTTTTAGAGACAGGGTCTCACTATGTTGCTCAGGCTGGAGTGCAGGGGCTATTCATAGGCACGATCCTACTCTTGATCAGTACAGGAGTTTTGACCTGCTCCGTTTCCAACCTGGGCTGGTTCACCCCTCCTTAGGCAACCGGGTGGTCCCCCGCTCCCAGGATGTCACCATATTGATGCCGAACTTAGTGCGGACACTCGATCAGCATAGCACACTACAGCCCAGAACTCCTGGGCTCAAGTGATCCTCCCACCTCAGCCTCCTGAGTAGCTGGGACTACAGGTACACACCACTGCACCTGGTGCTTTTTATCTTTCTATTGTATGATACTCTTATCTGTCTATTGTATAATGCACATATATGAGCATTTATCTCATTTGTGGAACCACTAGTATTTTGCACATTCATATGTATTTTGTTTTTACCAGAACAGTAGAAATGCTGCACAAAACAATTTTTATTTTAATTCTTGATATGCATACATTTTACTTCTTGATATGCACACATTTTACCAGTGCTCTCTACCTTCAGCTTACTGATGAGTGAGGAAGGACTGTAAAGACAAGGAACTATGGATTTGCCCTTTCTTTTTTCTCCTGTCAGCATTTTCATTGTGAGTGGCTGGCAAATACAGGGAAGCAACCAAGTAAGAAAGAGTATGATAGGACTACTTGGTCATCTGTGTTTCTTAAAAGGCCATTGGCCTTCTTTCTGCATTAGAAGCATGTCTAGTTCAAATGAAAAGCATGACCACTTGGGGTTATTAGCACTCTTACTCAGTTGAAAATGTGTTGTTATGGAAATGTAAGTGCACCCCTGATACATGGGAATCCAGCAACAATCAAAGATAGTACAAATTAAATGTGTTATGAAAGCTTCATAGTGATCACAAATGCTGTATGAAATAGGGTAGGAAGGCATAGTCGAAACAGGCATGCATCTGTCTCCTCTACTCACACTCAAGTGCCATTGACTCACTGGACTTCCTTACAATACAAAGATAAAGTTATTAAAAATTTGAAGATGATGACAGCAGAGTTGTTTTTTTTTTGAGACAGAGTTTCACTCTTGTTACCCAGGCTGGAGTGCAATGGCGCCATCTCAGCTCACCGCAACCTCCGCCTCCTGGGTTCAGGCAATTCTCCTGCCTCAGCCTCCCGAGTAGCTGGGATTACAGGCACGCGCCACCATGCCCAGCTAATTTTTTGTATTTTTAGTTGAGACAGGGTTTCACCATGTTGACCAGGATGGTCTTGATCTCTTGACCTCGTGATCCACCCTCCTCGGCCTCCCAAAGTGCTGGGATTACAGGCTTGAGCCACCGCGCCCGGCCGACAGCAGAGTTTTAAACCAAATGCCAAGCTCTTGTGGGGAGACAACATACTAGCAGGGCCACCTTTATGAGTGTGTAACAAGTGCAATTGTACTGAGGCCCTCCTCTATACTAGCCAGATGTTCTACCATCCTTTGTTGAAAAAAATCTCCTTTTACCACTAACTAGGTTTGGTGCTGTAGTCAAAAATCAATTGACTATAAAATGTGGGTCGATTTCTATACTCTCTGATATGGTTTGGCTGTGTCCCCACCCAAATCTCTTCTTGAATTCCCATGTGTTGTGGGATGGGCCTGGTGGGAGGTAATTGAATCATGGGGGGCAGGTTTTTCCCATGCTGTTCACATGATAGCAAATAAGTCTTACTAGATCTAATCGTTTTAAAAAGGGGAGTTTCCTTGCACAAGCTCTCTTTTCTTGTCTGCCACCGCATGAGACATGCCTTTCATCTTCTGCCATGACTGTGAGACCCCCTCAGCCATGTGGAACGGTGAGTTCAGTAAACCTCTTTCTTTTGTAAATAACCCAGTCTTGGGTATGTCTTTATTGGCAGCATAAAAACACTAATATACTCTCATTTTGTTTTTATTGCTTTTTTTTTTATAGAGATGGGGTCTCAGTGTGTTGCCCAGGATGGTCTAGAACTCCTGGTCTCAAGCAATCCTCTTGCCTCAGCCTCCTAAAGTGCTGGGATTACACATGTGAGCCACTGGGTGCAGCTAATTTCTGCATTCTTTTATAAAGTGAAACAATATGCTATGTGCTCTGAGCATACTTGTACATTCATGCTGATACGCCAAGAAGGCAAGGCTCTGACTGCTCTTTGTCCAGTCCAAGGCTGTCCATATCCCTGCTAGTTATAAATCTGGCCCAACCAGCATTACTCTAATACAGAACCAGACAATGACATTATAAGGAAAAAACCCTACAGTCCAATGTTTCTCATGAACAGATTTTTCAAATCCTCAACGAAAATAATAGCACATCAAATCCAACAATATAGAAAAGGAATTATACACCATGATCAAGTAAGCTTTATCCCAGGTATGTAAGGCTGGTTCAATGTTCAAAAATCAATTTATGTAATCCACCGTATCAACAGGCTAAATGAGAAAAATCATATGATCGATAGTGGCAGAAAGCAGACAGGTTCCTGGGCGGATAGGGGCAGGTCCTTGGTGGAACCTTCAGAGGTAGACAGCCTGAAGCCTGAAAAACAGGCTGCCAGTTCCGAGTGGAGTTCACTACCTGGAATGAGAACTTCCTTAATGCCTTTTAGCCAATCAGATGGTGCTTTTTCTGCACACAAACCAATCGGCTCTTGACAAAACCCCATATCCATTTATGATTTAAAAAACTTCCTCCAATCTTAGCCCATAAAAACCCCAGTCTCCAGCTGGGTGTGGTGGCTCATGCCTGTAATCCCAGCACTTTGGAAGGTCGAGTTGGGCAGATCACAAGGTCAGGAGTTCAAGACCAGCCTCCTGACCAACATGGTGAAAATGTTGGTCTCTACTAAAAATACAAAAATTAGCTGGGCATGGTGGTGGGCACCCATAATCCCAGTTACTTGGGAGGCTGACGCAGAGAATTGCTTGAACCTGGGAAGCAGAGGTTGCAGTGAGCTGAGATTGTGCCACCACACTCCAGCCTGGGGAACAGAGTGAGACACTGTCTCAAAAAAAAGACTCAGACACAGGTTGTGACTAACTGCCTGCAGTTAGGAACTATCCACTTCAGGTCTCCTCTATACTGAAAGCTGTTCTACCACGCAATAAAACTCTTCTCCACCTTGCTCACCCTTCAGTTGTCCACATAAGCTAATTCTTCCTGGACATGGGACAAGAACTTGGGACCTGCTGAACAGCAGGCACAAAAAGGGCTATGACACTTTCTTGTCAGGCTTGCTGAGCTGAGTGGGAGCAAAAAGGGCTGTAACACTTTCCTAGCCAGCTTGCTGAGCTGTGAGTGGTGACATGCTCTTGTTTGTTGGACTGTGGGAGTGAAGAGCAATGACCCTTCTGGAGGCCCAGACATCAGGCTTTCCTGAGTCAGAGCTGTAATATTGTAATTCTTCTGCCCTCTGCCAGCTTTGGGTGGCTGCCCCACATGACAGAATGGTGATGGGCTGGGCCAGCCCAGGAGCCATGGGCTGGAGTGAGGCAATGGACTAAAAGAGCTATTAACATGTGCCCCCATTCACTGAGCTGTGGACAGCAGGAATGAGAGAGCTGTAGCATGCTTCCCCCAACCCCTTGGGGCTCCACAGTTGCTGGTGTCTCCACGTTTTCAGATGCCACCATGTTCCCCTCATCCAGACACCAGGGCCCACAGTGGAAGCCACGTGCAGTATGCCTGTTCCAGCTACAGTCTCACAAGAAACTAGCACTTGCGCCAGCGCCTGGAGTTGCCTGCCCTGCCACAGCAGCCAGTGTGCCTGGCTGTGCACAGTGGCCAGACCCTGCACTCGCTCACGCACACACCACTTGCTGCTCTGTGCCTGGCTTGCCCTCAGCAGGTGTGGGATCTGGACCGGTAGTGTGAGCCAAGTGCCCTGAGTGGGCAGAACAAGCCCAGCAGGCAAGAGTGAAACTCAAGCAGAGGTGCTGCCAGACACAGAGGTTTCTGGCTGGAGAAGCAACACCCAAAGGATTCTGTGACATGACCATATTAATAGATGTAGATAAAGCATTTGACAAAACCCCATATACGTTTATGATTTTTAAAACTCTCAGAAAATTAGGAATAGAGAAGAACTTACACTGATAAAGAATGTCTACAGAAAATGTACAGCTAACATCATACTTAATGGTGAGAAACTTGAAGCTTTCCCACTCACATCGGGAATAAGGTAAGGATGTCCACTCTCCACACCACTTTTCAACTTTATACTGGAAGTCATAGCTAATGCAATAAGACAAGAAGAAGAGATAAATCTGGTCCATTATAAGCTCCTGTGTTAGCACACTGAGAGCAAAGGCTAAAACAGTGCATTTGCATATTAAATTTCTGTTTTTGCTTATAAAATTAGAAATGGCATCTAACATAATTTCTCAAACCCTCAAACACGTGCAATACTATCCTAACTGTTAAGTATCTCAACATGGATGAGAGTATAGGTTAAGCAGACGAAAATTAATTTCAAAAATATTGTTTACCTGATTGAAGCTGTTCAAGTTTATCTTTTTTGTGTGAAGCCAAGTCTCCTATAAAGCAGATACCACCTTTAGCTAGCAAAGCACTGCCAGCTTGAATGCTAACTGCTCCAGTTCCATACTTATTCCTGGATAAAGTGGGAAAAATTTCAGTAGAGACTGGATGACGTATACCACGAGGAACAAGGTTAATGCTAAAATTCAAAAGCCTAGGGAAAAAAATAAATTTTTCATTACTATTATTTAATTTTCAAAAGTCACAATGTTAAATTAAATTAAATTTTATTCTGTGTTTACTGAGCAACTGTGATACACCAGCTATTGTGCTAGGGATAAAAATATATATGACCAACATGGTGAAATTCTGTCTGTACTAAAAATAAAAAAATTAGCTAGGCATGCTGGTGCATGCCTGTAGTCCCAGTTACTTGGGAGGATGAGACACAAGCATCCTTTGAACCTGGAAGGCAGAAGTTGCAATGAGCCAAGATTGTGCACTCCAGCATGGGTGACAGAGCAAGATTCTGTCTCAAAAAACAAAACAAAAAATATATAAGAGACCTGGACCTTAAATTGGAAAGCTCAGAGTCTAAAAAGACAGACATAAAAAACTAAAATATGTACTAAAAATGTCTTTAGAACATACATGGTGGCTGGGTTTGATGGCTTATGACTGTAATCCCAACACTTTGGGAGGCTGAGGTGGGTGGATCACTTGAGGTCAGGAGTTTGAGACCAGCCTGGCCAACATGACAAAACCCCATCTCTACTAAAAAACACAAAAATTAGCTGGACCTGTAATTACATGCCTGTAATCCCAACTACTGAGAGGCTGAGGCAGGAGAATTGCTTGAACCCAGGAAGTGGAGGTTGCAGTGAGCTGAAATCACTTCACTGTACTCAGGCCTGGGTGATGGAGTGAGACTGTGCCTCAGAAAAAAAAAAAAAAAAGAACATCTATGGGAGTGGGAATATTATTTCTTCCTGGAATGGAGTCAGAGAAAGTTACAGAGAGATGACATTTGAATTAGGCCCTCTTGTTTTTATGGATTGCTTTCTTTTGCTATTCAGAATTTTTGTATTAGGCTTGCTAGTGTCCCATCAAAACTATCACTCTGTTGCTTCCGTATCATGGCAATTGTGGGGTTTTTTTGTTTGTTTTGTTTTGTTTTATTTTGAGTCTCAGGTGCTGAGGCTGGAGTGCAGTGGTGTGATCTTGGCTCACTGCAACCTCCACATGTCGTCAGGTTGGAGCGCAATGGAGCAATCTCGGCTCACTCCAACCTCCACCTCCCAGGCTCAAACGATTTTCCTTCCTCAGCCTCCCAAGTAGCTGGGACCACAGGCACAAGCCACCATGCCTAGCTAAATTTTTTTTTTTTTTTTTTTTTTTGGTAGAGACAGGGTTTCACCATGTTGCCCAGGCTTATCTCAAACTCCTGAGGTCAAATGATCCTCCTGCCTCAGCTTCCCAAAAGCACCGGCATTACAGTCTTGAGCCATTGTGTCCAGTCAAATTTTTCTTTCTTTTTTTAAGAGACAGAGTCTCATCCGTCATCCAAGCTAGCATGCAATGATGCAGTCATAGCACACACAGCCTCAGACTCCCAGGTTTATGCAATCCTCCCTATTCCATCTCTCAAGTAGCTGGAACTATAGGCATGGGGCACCCGCCTGTCTCATGGCAATTCTTGATATGTCATTTTTGGTTTCTAACCTCTTTGCTAATTGCCTCAGCTCTTCATATCCTAAATTTAAATTCTGAAAAAGGAATATGATTACCTTAGCTTAGCTTTCAAATCTTTGCCACAGAAATCATAGCTTGCTGGTGCAATCAACTATGATGAGTAGACATAGACATGTGATATAAAAGAGGATGAAACAAAAGTAGGCATAGAAACGCAGTGCAAAAGAGGGTAAGATGTGAATAGGTAGATGTTATAAAATATGTCTAGTGCATGTACCATTCTAAGGAATTTGGATGTTAGTTTGAAGACATATAAAATGAGAGCAATATTTAGAAAGAAACCTTTGCAAGCCTATAAGGAGTGGTTCTCAACCACAGTCTGCACTAACCTTACCTGGGGGGATTTAACAAATTCCAATACTAAGTGCCACCACACACCGCTTATATTAGAAACTCTGGGGGTGAGACACAGCCATATATATATATTTTTTAATTCTCCCAGGTGATTCTAATAGGCAGCTAGGCTGAGTGCTTAGTGATATGGGACAATGAGCTTTAAATTTGGCTACACATTGGAATTGGCTAAGGAACTTTTAAAACTACTGATACACAGAAGGTCGCAGAATACAAAGTCAAAGTACAAAAATCAAATTGTATTTTTATATATTCATAGCAAACAATTAAAAATGAAGTTAAGAAAACACTACCATTTTAGTAGCATCAAAAACATCAAATATTTTTGGAACCAAGTTAACAAAATATTTGCATGACCTTTATAAAAATATCACTGAGCGAAATTAAAGAAGACCTAAATAAATGGAGAGATAGGCCATATTCAGGGATTGGAAGACTCAATATTATTAAGGTGTTAATTCTCCCCAAAATTGATTTACAAGTTAAATACAGTTCCAATAAAAATACTCAAACGTTTATTTTTGGTTGGTATTAACATACTAATTTGGCTGGGCATAGTGACCCACATCTGCAGTCTCAGCACTTTGGGATGCTGAGGTGGGAGGATCACCTGAGCCCAGTCTGGGCAACATGGCAAGACCTCATCTCTACAAAAAACTAAAAAATTAGCCAAGTGTGGTGGTGCATGCCTCTGTTCCCAGCTACTTGGCAGGCTGAGGTGGGAGGATCACTTGAATCCAGGAGTTTGAGGCTGCAGTGAGCCATGGTTGTGTCACTGCACTCCAGTTTCGGCAACAGAGCATGATCCTGTCTCAAAAAATAAACTGATTCTAAGGATTATTTTAAAATGCAAAGGATCAAGCCGGGTGCAGTGGCTCATGCCTATAATCCCAGCACTTTGGAGGCTGAGGTGGGCAGATCACGAGGTCAGGAGTTTGAGACCAGCCTGACCAACATGGTGAAACCCCATCTCTACTAAAAATATAAAATTAGCCAGGCAGAGTGGCATGTGCCTGTAATCCCAGCTACTCAGGAGACTGAGGCAGGAGAATCACTTGAACCCAGGAGGTGGAGGTTGCAGTGAGCCAAGATGACACCACTGCACTTCAGCCTGGGCAACAGAGTGACTCTCTCTCAAAAAAAAAAAAAAAAAAAAATTGCAAAGAATCTAATTTTTTTTTTATCTTTAAAGTGAAGGATAAAAGTGCATTACTTGATTTCAAGACTGAACATAAAGCTACAATAATCAAAAGAGTATAGTATTGGTATAAGTATAGACAAATACTTTTCAAAGTATTAGAAAAGAGTTCAAATAGATTTACACCCAGTTCAATTTTATACCCAGATTTTACCCCATTTGATTGATTTTGAATGGTAGTATCAAAACAATTTAATGGGGAAAGGAAAATGTTTCAACAATTAGTGTGGAAAAATTGGATAATGCATGTGAAAAACATGAACTTTAACTCATGCTTCCCACCAATCTCTGGGAGATTGAGGCAGGAGGATTGCTTGAGTCTGGAAGTTTGAGACCAGCCTGGCAAGACTCGATTCTACATGAATAAATAAATAGTAAACCAAAATTATAATGCTTCTGGAAGAAAACATTTAAAAACTCTTCATGACCTTGGGATAGACAAAGATTTCTTAAACAGAAGTCAGAAAACACTAAGTGTAAAATAAAATAATAAACTGAACTTCATCAAAACTAAAAAGTCTGCTCATCAAAGATACCTTTAGACAATTTTTAAAAAACCTTTATACCTGGAGAGAAATTTTATAATACATACATTTGGCAAAGGACCTGCATCCAGAACAACTAAGCTAAAAAATGAACAAAGGACTTGAACAGATACTTCATTAAAAAAGTTATGTGAGTCCTTGATATCCATTATTAATACCCAATTTTTTTCAAAATAAAGCAATATTTCCATTTACTCTCCCTCTTTCTCTTCCTCTTTCTTCCTCTCCTTTACTTATTATTATTTTTTTTTTCTTTCCTTCTCTCAAAAAAAAAGAAATCAACTTGTAATCCTCTAGATCCAGGTCAGCAATGTCTCTTTCATTGCTTGATTTCCTTTCTTCCCTTCCCTCCCTCCCTCCCTCCCTCCCTCCCCGCTTCCTCCCTTCCTTCCTTCCTTCATCCCTTCCTTCCTCCCTACCATCCTTATTCCCTTCCTTCCTGCCTTCCTCCCCCCACAAAAAAAAAAATAAAATAAAAATAAAAAAATAAAAAAGTTATGTGAGTGGCCAATAAGCACATGAAAAAGAACTCAAATCAACAGTCATCAGGAAAATGCAAATTAGAACAATGACTTATCTGGCTGGGCACAGTGGCCCATGCTTTTAATCCTAGCACTTTGGGAGGCCAAGGTGAGTGGATCATGAGATCAGGAGATCGAGATCATCCTGGCTAACACAGTGAAAAAACCCCCGTCTCTACTAAAAATACAAAAAAGTAGCTGGGTGTGGTGGCATGCGCCTGTAATCCCAGCTACTCAGGAGGCTGAGGCAACAGAATCACTTGAATCTGGGAGGTGGAGATTGTAGTCAGCCGTGGAGGTTGTAATGAGCCGAGATCACACCATTGCACTCCAGCCTGGGCAACAGAGCAAAACTCTGTCTCAAAAAAAAAAAAAAGAGCAATGACATATCATTTCATTCCCACTAGTATGGCTAAAATGAAAAGGGCTGACAACACCAAATGTTGACAAAGATGGAAACAAGAGGAACTCTTTATATTGTTAGTAGAAATGTAAAATGGTACAACCACTTTGGAAAACCAGCAGTTTCTTCCCTTGTTTTTGAGACAGAGTCTCGCTCTGTTGCCCAGGCTGGAGTGCAGTGGCACTATCTTGGCTCACTGCAACCTCCACCTCCTGGGTTTAAGCAGTTCTCGTACCTCAGCTTCCCAAGTATAGCTGGATCTACAGGCATCTGCCACCATGCCTGGCTAATTTTTGTACTTTTAATAGAGATGGGGTTTCCCCACATTGGCTAGGCTGGTCTCAAATTCCTGACCTCAGGTATCTGCCCTCCTCAGCCTCCCAAAGCGTTGGGATTACAGGCATGAGCCACCATGCCCAGCCAATTGGAAGTTTCTCAAAAAGTTATAAATCTACCTTATGATCCAGCAATTCCACTCAGGTATTTACCCAAGATAATGAAAATACATGTCCACAAAAAGACTTTTACAAGAATGTTTACAGCAGATTTATTCATAATACTCAAAACATGCAAAACCAAATGTCTTCCACCATGAGAATAGATTGAGGGAATTTTGGTACATTTGTATAATGAAATGCTACTCATCAACAGAAACAATGAACTACTGATGTACACAATTGGTTCAATTCAAAAACATTTTGTTGAGTAAGAGAAAGTAGACCCAAAAGAAATCACTGTGTGATTTCATTATCTGAAGTTCAAGAACAGGAAAATTAATCTATGGTTATAGAAATCACCAGTGGAGATAAGAACTGATTGGAGAGGAAATGAGGGAAATTTCTGGGGTGATAGAAATGTTCTATATCTTATTGTGGTGGTGATTAAAGGAGTGTATGTATTTGTCAAAACTCATTGATTTTTTTTTTAGTGATGATAATAAGATCTGATTATTTCACTGTACATAAATTATACCTAAAAAGAAAAAAACTAACCAATCTCTCACACAGCCCCAAATATCATTAAAAAAAAGTCAAAAGGTTAATGGCAAACAGAAAAAGAAAGGCCTTAATTTAGAAGCAGCACAAATCACAAATAACATAATAAAAAAATGATCAAGAATGGGAGGTTCACAGAAAAATAATACATGTTTAATAAGTTTTATATGATGCTAAGTTATTTCCAATTAAATAAATGCCAATTAAAATAAAATACAGTTTTCCACCTATCAGATTGCAAAATTTTAAAGTTTGATAATGAAGTGAGAGGATCGCTTGAGGCCAGAAGTTCAGCCTTGGCAACATAAGGAGACTTTATTTCTATAAGAAATTTAAAAATTAGCCCAGTGTAGTGGTGTGTGCCTGTAGTCCCAGCTACTCAGGAGGCTGAGTCTGGAGGATCACCTGAGCCTAGGAGATTGAGGCTGTAGTGAGCCATGATCATGCTACTGCATTCCAACCTGGTGACAGAGTGAGACCCTGTCTCAAACAAACAAACAAACAAACAAACAAACAAATAACAAAAATAAAAGTTTGATAATACCAGAGTTGGTGAGGCTGTGAGGAAACAGACACTCTATTCTTTTTTTTGTTTTGAGATGGAGTCTCGCTCTGTCACCCAGGCTGGAGTGCAGTGGTGTGATCTTGGCTCACTGCGACCTCCGTCTCCTGAGTTTAAGCAATTCTCCTGCCTCAGCCTCCCGAGTTGCTGGGACTACAGGTGTGTGCCACCATGCCCAGCTAATTTTTTGTATTTTTAGTAGAGATGGGATTTCAGTGTTAGCTAGGATGGTCTTGATCTCCTGACCTCATGATCTACCCACCTCAGCCTCCCAAAGTGCAGGGATTACAGGCATAAGCCACCACTCCTGACCACAAATACTCTTCTGTTAATAGAAGAATAAAGTGGTAAAATCTGGGCATTTGGTTCCATCTTTACATCACCAGTGGCAATTTAATTTTAGCAAAACATAATCTGTTCAATTAAATTACTGTTAATTTGAATTTTATATTTTTCTATTTTAAATTCATTTTGTAAATTTATTTTATGCCTTGGAATTGCATACAAGATACTAAATAAGGAGCTTATTCCTGGCTTTGTGAATATTTAAACAACTTTTTAAAGGAAAAGGTACTTGCTAGTAGGGAGCCACAAAATGCTGAGTAGAGGCTTACTCCAAAGTTAGGATGATGTTCCCCGCAAACAGTAATTATGGCACTTCTTTTTTTTTTTTTTTTTTTTTTGAGACGGAGTTTTGCTCTTGTGGCCCATGCTGGAGTGCAATGGTGGGATCTTGGCTCATTGCAACTTCCGCCTCCTAGTTTCAAGTGATTCTCCTGCCTCAATCTTCCAAGTAGCTGGGATTAGGTGCCCGCCACCATGCCCAGCTAATTTTTGTATTTTTAGGAGAGATGGGGCTTCACCATGTTGGCCAGGTTGGTCTTGAACTCCTGACCTCAGGTGATCCACCCACCTCAGCCTCCCAAAGTGCTGGGATTACAGGCGTGAGCCACTGTGCCCAGCCTAATTACAGCACTTCTGACAGCCTTATTTGGATACAGTGAGTCAATATTATTGATTGGAATATTGAAGAAAGATAAGAAAATGGTTTGTTTGTTCCTTAGGGGGAAGATTATTTAAAATGAAGTACAGAAAGAGAATACAGAGCTAGGGAATGGGGAGAAAGGAAGACTGGGAAGGATGTATTTACTTACAAAAGTCTTAGTGGGGAAATTGTTTGAAACTTGGAGTAATTCAATTTATCTTTCAAAGGTTTTGAATTTTATTGATAAGGATTGATTTAAATACTTATACTGGCTCAGAGACATTCTAAATATTCTTCTTGTAATAATGCTCATGGAAAGGATTACGCAAATCTGTGACCAATCAATATTTGTAGAAGTTCATGTCACATATTTACCTGTCTGCAAGTAGAGTATCACTTGTTATTATTAAAATATCCAGACAATCCTCCAGTTCCTTGTTACGGTCAGTTATCTGTACCAGACTCATCAACAAACAGAGCTTGAGCAAATTGTAAGTCCCAGGAGGAGTAATTTGTGATGCAAAGATATTGGCAAGTATTGCTGTAAATTTCCAGCATGAGCTTGAAGTTAAGGAGAGAAGACACCTGAAGTTGTCACTAATTCCTGAAGGAACTGAAAGCAAATATTAACATATATATTAGAAAGGGTTTTAAAATAAGAAAACATTATAGATATTTGATTTCCTTTATCTAAAACGTTATCAAAGTATAGTTCCAATAATGCCTATTCTTTTTTTTTCTTTTTAGAGAGACGAGATCTTGTTATGTTTCCCAGGCTGGTCTTTAACCCTTGGCCTCTATTGATTCTCCTGCGTTGGCCTCCCCAAAGTGCTATGATAAAGGCCTGAGCCACCGTGCCTGGCCTTTAAATTCTTAGAAGGATATTAAATTATGATTTGAGGTCATGCTAGTTTATCATTTCTATCTCAGGGAGTGTAATGCAAGGAAGAAGTCACCCTGTGTGTCCGTGTAGATTGGCTGTGGGTTGCAGGTAAATCTCTCATTCTTCTCCTTTTAAGATCTGTGTGAGCAAACAAGATCATGGAGCTCCTGAATTGCTGTGTTTGCTATTATATTTCTATGTAGCGCCTTAAAAGAGGAATAATAAACAGAATGGGAACTATTTGAATGTCACTGTTAAATGGAAATATTTATATTCCACTACTTTGAAAGCACTGTACTGTAGTATACTATAAAATTCTAGATCTTCTTCATCCTCTCACTGTCTATCTCCTGAAAGAAATGAGTGATTTATCCAAATGATAGTTTGGGTGGAACACTTGTGCATGTATAACCCAGTCCCATTCTCCTTTTTGGGCTGCCATCAGAGAGCAATGATTTCCTCTACTCATCCATGCCCATGGACTAAGAGAGGCCTACTTTAGTCCAGCTCTTGCCACATTTGGGTAGTTAAATATGTCTCATTCTGGACTCCAGCGTAAGAAAGCACACTCTCCATCTATAAGAAAAGTCATGTTCTGCTACCAAATCAATAAATTTTTAAACACTCAGCAGAAAATATTTTAAAAATCACTAAACCCTCTATAGTTCATCAGTGCTTTCTTTCTTTCTTTTTTTTTAGCTTAAAAGGTGATTTTTATTTAGGGAAGAAATGACATTTTTGAATTGTTTGGCTCAAAAATGCATACTGCCAAGGCAGCTTAGTTCTAACAACAGATCTTTTAAAATAAACTTGGATTTGTTCTTTTAAGAAGTTTTCTTTTTAAGTAAGTAGAAGTATTTAGAATCTAATTACATTTAAATTCAACTTGGTTCTCTATTACTACTGATGATTATCCACAATATGGAGGCTAAAGAAACTTCAATCTTGGGCTGGATGTAGTGGCTCACACCTGTAATCCTAGCACTTGGGAGGCTGAGGAGGGTGAATCACCTGAGGTCAAGAGTCTGAGACCAGCCTGGCCAAAATAGTGAAACCCTGTCTCTACTAAAAATACAAAAATTAGCTGGGTGTGGTGGCACACGCCTGTAATCTCAGGCACTTGGGAGGCTGAGGCAGGAGAATTGCTTGAACCCAGGAGGTGGAGGTTGCAGTGAGCCAAGATTGCACCATTGCATTCCAGCCTGGGCGACAGAGCAAGACTGTCTCAAAAAGAAAGAAACTTCATCGTGGAAGCTAACCTGCCATTTGACTTCTGATTAACCCCAGATCTACAAATGCACTGAGATTTCCAGTTGATCTATTGTTCCTCTTGCAAGAGCATATATTTACCATAAATTCTGCCCTTAGATCAATCAACCTTGATAAATTCATACTTACTGTAAATCTTGTCCTTAGGTCAAATTCCTATCCAATCCCTGTGAAGCATATGTACTTCTTTCCTATATAATTCCTGGGTCTGTCTTGCAGCTGCCCAAGACTGTGCTTTTGTCCATAAGTTCCCCAATAAAACCACCCTAAAATGACAAGCTGGACTTGTCTGCCTCCTTTCGTTTCTCAGATCCTTCTGAATTTGGGGATCACTTTGAAAATATATAGCCCATTCAAGGAACATATGGATTATAAATAAAATCCAACTCTATTCAAGATTTAACCAGCCTTATCTATATTTAGATATTTGTGAGCCAAGTTAAAAGAAGAGGTCTGCTCTCCACTTTTGTTTACATGCTAAAGCATGTTGGAGTTGTTAAAGGAAATTATCAGTAATAAAGGTGATGTTTTGGTCCTCATCTGCCTTTATCTTATTTCCTGATTTGATTCAGCATTCAGTTAAGGAAAAGGATGCTACTTTATTGAGCCCTACTTCTCAGACCACAACGGTTAACCCAGAATTGCCTTGGCTAGTAAATAAGGGTGGTATAGAAAAACCCTTCAACTAATCTCTTTTTTTTTTCTTCTTCTTCTTTTTGCCTTCGACTAATCTCTAACCCGGAAACATTTTTCTCATTAATTATTTAAAAAATTAAAATAAGGTTTAGCCCAAAGCAAGGAGTCGTGATGCAAGTTTCCACATTTTCCTGTTTTATTTGCTTCGTGTACTTACTATCTGAAATTGTCTTTTGCTTACTTTACATGTTTATTGACTGTCTGCCATATGATTTAAGAGCAGAAACTTTGACTGTCCTGTTTACAGCTGTATCCTTAGTGCTTAGAAGAATGCCTAGCACACAGGCAAACAATACTTATCTGCTGAACAAATACATTTAAATGTAAATCTTTGTTAATATATAATACTAACATTTTCCATACCTTTTGAATCACAAAAAGTTATGCTATTTGCTTCTATACAGACAGCAGTTTGTGAGGTTTTTACACAGGTTGGAATTCCAATAATTCTATATTCATTTCCCATATTCATTTTATTCACTGATTCATCTAAAGTTATTAAAGACAGAAGAAAATGCATATTCACTAAATGAACCTTGTACATGATCATGTGGTTCAAAGATCCAGAACTAATAACAATTTAGTAATTGAGTTTGGAGTATTTACTTTTGTTAGCATAATATCCATATAGAGTGATGCTAATAATGTAAATTGATGCAATTTCCTTGCTGATAAATTTTGATTCTTATGTGCAATAATGAATTAACTTCAAGAAGTATATGATACAGCAACTAGACACTCTTCTATACTATGGTCAAAAGAAAATAAAATTATTCTATATAAAATGAAACATCTGCATTCAATGAAAAGGAATGTTAATAAAATGATCTTATAAGTGATCATTTTATTTGGGAGGAAATAATTTTACTGTCTGCAATACATGTAGGTAGTTGTAAAAACATTATTTAACCTATAAAGTATTTGTGTTTTTGTTTGTTTTGAGACAAGGTCTTACTCTGTTGCCCAGGCTGTAGTGCAGTGGCACAATCAGCTCACTGCAACCTCAAATTCTATGGTTCAAGCAATCCTCCTGCCTCAGCCTCCTAAAATGCTGGGATTACAGGTGTGAAACACCATGCCTGGCCTGTAAGATATTCTTATCTGTACTTTATATCTGAGGAAACTGAGAGGTTACATAGTTTACGCAAGGCTAAATAACTAGTTAGAAGCAGAACTGAAGTTCACATTTAGGTTTGCCTTTCTACAAAGTCCACCCTCTTGCATTATACTAGGTTCCTCTCTCATACCTAGAGCCTGGGCAACACTTTGCATGAATTCAAAATTTATTTTTAAAAACATACTAAAAATTGTGATCCTCCATTCCACAATTAAAGTTGGCTGATTATAAAGCTATGAAATAAAGGTTTACAGGAAGGAGCAAGGGTTAACTTATCTCTGTGAAGATCAAAGTGGTATTTCTTTTTCTTTTCTCTCCAGCCCCAGAGAGCTAAACAATAACTCCAATATTTATGTAAGACACACAGAATAATAAGAGATCATTGTCTTAAAATAACTGTAACCCTGGGACTTAGCTCAGTGCTTGGGACATAGTAGGTGCTAATATCATTTTAAGTGATAGTAAAATGATAATTTTAATTGAATGAATAATTGATATATTAACTAAATATGACTTTTTAAAACACTCAAGAATTAGAAGACTTGTGATTCCTTTTTTTTTTCCCCAAGACAAAGTTTCACTCTTGCTGCCCAAACTTGAGTGCAGTGGCATGATCTCAGCTCACTGCAACCTCCACTTCCTAGGTTTAAGCAATTCTCCTCCCTCAGCCTTCCGTCTGCCACCATGCCTGGCTAGTTTTTTTGATTTTCAGGAGAGATAGGGTTTCACTATGTTGGCCAGGTTGGTCTCAAACACCTGACCTCAGGTGATCTGCCCACTTCAGCCTCCCAAAGTGCTGGGATTACAGGTGTCAGCCACTGCATCCGGCCAAAGACTTGTAATTCACCATTTGTAATTTATAAGCATAAACAAGTCAATTGCTTTTTTTTTTGAGACAGAGTCCGGAGTCCCGCTCTGCTGCCAGGCTGGTGTGCAGTGGCAGATATTGGCTCACTGAAGCCTCCACCTCCTGGGTCCAAGCAATTCTCCTGCCTCAGCCTCCTGAGTAGCTGGGATTACAGGCGTCTGCCTGGCTAATTTTTCTTTGTTTGCTTGTTTTTTGAGACGTAGTCTTGCTCTGTTGCCCAGGCTGGAGTACAGTGGCATGATCTTGGCTCACTGCAACCTCCGCCTCCTGGATTCAAGCAATTATCCAGCCTCAGCCGCCCGAGTAGCTGGGATTACAGGCATGTGCCACCATGCCTGGATAATTTTGTTTTATTTTTATTTTTAGTATACATGGGGTTTCACTGTGTTAGCCAGAGTGGTCTTGATCTCCTGACCTTGTAATCCACCCACCTTGGCCTCCCAAGTGCTGGGATTACAGGTGTGAACAACCACCCCTGGCTAATTTTTGTATTACTAGAGACAGGGGTTTCACCATGTTGGCCAGGCTGGTCTCGGACTCCTGACCTCAGATGATCCACCCTCCTCGGCTTCCCAAAATGCTGAGATTACAGGCATGAGCCACCATGCCCAACCAGCTAGCTAGCTAGCTTTCTTTCTTTCTTTCTTTCTTTCTTTCTTTCTTTCTTTCTTTCTTTCTTTCTTTCTTTCTTTCTTTCAGAGATAGGGTCTGGAATTCAGCTGGTGGATAAAGAAAAGAAAAAAAAAAAAAAGAGACAGGGTCTCTCTGTGTTTCCCAGACTGGAGTGCAGTGGCACCATCACAGTTCACTACAGCCTCCAAATCTGGACTTAGGCGATCCTTCAATCTTAGCTTTCCAGGTAGCTAGGACTATAGGCACCACATCTGGCTAATTTTTTATTTTTTAATTTGTAGAGATGAGGTCTCACTATATTGCTCAGGCTGGTCTCAAACTCCTGGTCTCAAGTGATCTTCCCACCTCAGCCTCCCAAAGTTTTGAGAATCCAGGCATGAGCCAGCCACTGTGCCCAGCCAATTATATCTTTATAGCAATTTGAGTTCAAACAGAATTCACTTACCTCTTAGGAAAACTGTAAGAGATTGAAACCTAAATGGCTGGTTGTTAGAATATCCTTGAAAAGCATGAAGTGCCTTTGTGGTAATTATTTCAACTATTTGTTTATCTTAAAGCAAAGAGCAAAAAAGAATTAGATATTAGAATATATATTCAATTTAATTTCCACAATGAAATATCAGACACTATTTTAAAAATTGTAACTACAAAATATATATGCATATTACCACCAAGTACTCTAAATTTTCTGTCTTCTTGAAGGGAAGATGCACACAGATTACACAAAAAGTCGTTTCTTATTGTTGCAGATTCTGTAGCACCAGGGACATGTACTCTTATATACTGAAATCCTGAAAGAAAACAGTGGTAAGATACATTTGCTTTCAGATTTAGCTTTTTTTGTTGTTGTTATTGTTATTTTTAAATTTATATATTTATTCTCTTTTTTATTACTCACACTAACAGATTTTAGCTATTTCAGTCCTTTAAAATTAGTCTAATTCAAAATGGAATGAATTCAATTTTGTACTTGGGTTCAGAGTAGTTCAATTAACAGTTACTGGATGGCTGTTTCTTGCCAGGCACTGTGCTAAGGAACTGGCAATATGGATGCTCAAGCACACAATTTCTATATGTGGCAGTAAGAAGCAGATGACAGATTTCCACCTGTGGTATTCATTTGCAGAGTGTTCAGAGAGAAGAGAGGAGGGTCAATCAACCCAATGAGAGGTGGTGAGGATAATGGTGAAGTCCTGGAGAAGGACTAAACTAATGTTAAGCCAAAGGGTTGAGAGAGGACATTAAACGTTTCATTCACAACTTCATGAAATAATGTGTGAAGAACAAGTACTTCAGCAATACAGGTGCACTTGTTAGGATGGGGGTGGGGGAGAAAAGTAGAAAAATGCATTTCAAGATTATGCAAAGTAAACATAAACATTAGAAGATATAAAATTTTATTCAATTTTTTTTCTATTTTGTGAGTGTTTCATAACTAATTGTAAATATGATTTAGGATTAAACAATAAATTGTTAGTTTTTTATTTTTTTTTGGAGACAGGGTCTTGCTTTGTCATCCAACCTGGAGTACAGTGGCATGAACACGGCTCACTATAGCCTCGACCTACCTGGCTCAAGCAGTCCTCCTAACTCAGCCTCCCAAATAGCTGGGACTACAGGCATATGTCACCCTGCTGGGCTAATTTTTGTATTTTTTGTAGAGACTAGGTTTCTCCATGTTGTCCAGGCTGGTCTCAAACTTCTGAGCTCAGGTGATCCTCCCGGCTCGGCTTCCCAAAGTACAGGGATTACAGGCATGAGCCACCATGCCTAGCCAATTGCTTAATGTTTTGATTTTACATTTTAATATTTACCTTTTGAAAGAGGGCATGCTTCATCTGAACAAAGGAATCTTGCACCTTGTGTATACTTGGTTACAGTTGTCATTGCAATCACAATTCCTTGCATCATATAAAATCTCTGAGATGTATAATCAAGTGGAAACTCACAAAGATCAAGACCATAACTTGGCAGGGGAGGTAAATGTGATAATTTCAGCAGTATATTAATCTAATAAGAATATAAAAATGGTATTAATAAAAATTGCAAATCCAATTTGACATGTATTACAATATAGTAAGAATATTATAGAGTAAATCAAGTAATGATATATTAATATTCTTAGGAACCAAAATTTTAAGCATAGAGAAATGACATTCAAATATATAATTAAAGAAGTAAAAATCTGATAATCTAAGATTTTAACTGAAACTATCATTGTGAACTTATATTTCCTTAAATATACACAATTTCTGGCCATATCCACTGAAAAGACTTAGAAAACAATGTCAACCAGGCAGCAAAGAAGCATGCCTAGTGTCCAGACTGTGATCTCTTGTTAAGTATCATATCTCACTAAAAGGAACCAGGATTCCTTGGGGAAAATGGCTTATTTCAGGTCTCGGATAGAAAATATAGCAGATGGACTTGGGGTGTCTTCTCATAAATGGTCTGTATCAAAAGGACATAGGAACAAATTTGAAGGGACCCCCAATGACAAAAGATAGGATAATATGAGTATCAAAAGGAATGACAGAGATTCATTGAAATATATCATATATATTTAAAAGTTCATGAGTTCCTCATATTTAAAAAAGGAAAACCAAAAGATAAAAAAATTGGTCATTACTGGAAGCTGCTAGATTTTAAGTCATTACTCTTTATAAAGGCAAAGAATCAAACATTTATCCTGCCTTTTCTGTACAAATTATATTTCAGAGTAACCAAATAGCTGATAAGAGAAAATCACCATTTTTTTTTTTTTTGAGATGGAGTTTCACTCTTGTTGCCCAGGCTGGAGTGCAGTGGCACAATCTCAGCTCACTGCAACGTCTGCCTCCTGGGTTCAAGCGATTCTCCTGCCTCAGCCTCCTGAGTAGCTGGGATTACAAGCACCCACCATGATTCCTGGCTAATTTTTTTTATTTTTAGAAGAGACAGGGTTTTGCCATGTTGGGCAGGCTGGTCTCAAACTCCTGATCTCAGGTGATCTGCCTGCCTCCGCCTCCCAAAGTGCTGGGATTACAGGTGTGAGCCACTGCGCCTAGCCGGAGAAAACTACTCTTATAGAAGAATTTCAGCTAATTCAGAAAGAATGCTAAAATTAGAAAAATTGCAATTTTGCAACTACTAACGAAGTAGCAGATTCTAGGCAATGAACATCAATGGCAGCTAAAACCATTAGGTGAAAGTTGATGGGAAACTGTATAATGAAAAGATCAGAATGACATGACAGGAGCCCACTAATCAATTGTGACACTGTTACAAGTGCAACAATAGATACTATATCCTCCTGATACAGCACAATATGTAATACATTACACCAACTATTATATATTCTTGTCAAATGATTTGAATCTAAATCTAAAAAGCCTTTACAGCCAACTTCTATTTTAGAAATATGAGGTTAGGGAAATAAGATAAATAGCACTACAAGGAAGCAATTAGACAAATCAAGATTATGTAACATGGGACAATTAGTCAATGGTATAAAAAGGGAGGGAGAGGAAATGGCTCTAGATAGAGACTTAGTGAAATGTAAGAACCACTTATGATGTATGAACCTTGTTTTGGTCCTGATTTGGAGCAAACCAATTGTAAGACATTCTTGAAACAATTGGACAAATTTAAATGTAAACTGGATATTAGATAATACCAAGAAATTATTGTTACTTTTGTAGAAGGCATTCTGGTTATATAAGAAAAATGTGCATAATTTATAGAGGTTGATACCAAAGTATGTAGGGATAAAATAATAGAATGTCTGGGATTCACTTTAAAATATTTCAGAAAAAAAACACTGATGATGCAGGTATCGAAAAATATTGTAACATTGAACCCAAGAGATAGATATATGAAGGTACATTGTATTATTCCCTTTACTTTTGGGTATATTTGAAAAGTTTTATTATAATGTGTTTAATGTTACATGGGGTAATACAAGAAATAAAGATGCATATGTAAGATATTCTATTGAACTTGGAAAAAAATGTAGTATCCTTTTTAATAAAAAAAAAATCTATGAATATAGAACTATTTTCTTTACAAGTCATCATGCAAATTTGTACCTGAGATTCCTTAGTTCAATTTAACTAAAACTTACTTGGGTTTCAGTCTGCAATTGTCCAATTAATGAGAGAGTCTTAACAGCAATAAAACAGACCTGTAATTTCAAACAAAAGAAAAGTTACCAAAAATTCTGTGTGAAATAAAATTATTTCTCTTTTGACTTACTGATTGAAAAACTTCAGCAGCTTTTAAAGGTTGGTGTAAAATGTGATTTCCAAGCTCAGCATCTAATTCAACAACATCAGATGGATTTATTAAAATTTTGAATCGATAGACAGCATAGCTTTGTTTTGAATCTGTGAAAATACACAAATGTAAAAGTCAGGATAGCTGTGTGTAGGAGTTTATTTGAAACTTTTAAAAATAACCCACCTTTGCTGAACGTACCATTGTAGTACTTGCAATCATCTATAAACTTTTGGAGGCCTCCACTTCTGTCAAGATAGATGAGGGCCGCCTCTTTCATTTTTAGATTTGACATTTTCTCCTGGTTAATGACTCTTCTCTATTTCTAACTGATTAAACCACAATTGTTGGTAAAAGCTACAGATGGCAAAACTCATATAAACGATGTGAAAACCTAGAAATAAAATTAATTTTATTTTTGAAAATCTCTAATAAGACTTTACCAAGTATTAAAGTTGAGAGTGAACTAAAACTAAGTAAAATTTCCAACTTAAAAAAAATTCCTACCCAAAGGGAAGCAAAACTTTTGTTTTCTTTTGCCAAATAGCTTTTTTTTTTTTTTTTTTGAGATGGAGTCTTGCTTTGTTGCCCAGGCTGGAGTGCAATGGCACTATCTCAGCTCACTGCAACCTCCACTTCCCGGGTTCAAACGATTCTCCTGCCTCAGCCTACTGAGTTCTGGGATAACAGGCACATGTCACCTGGCCTGGCTAATTTTTGTATTTTTTAGTAGAGACAGGGTTTCACCATGTTGGCCAGTTTGGTCTTGAACTCCTGACCTCAAGTGATCCACCTGCCTCAGCCTCCCAAACTGCTGGGATTATAGGTGTGAGCCACCACACCTGGCCTCATTACCAAATATTTATTTGGCACCTACTATAGGTTGGATACTAGATTGTCCGAGGCACTAAAAACACAAAGATGAGTAAAACATGGTCTCAATTATTCAGAAAGAGTTCAGTGAGAGAAGATATATATGTAAACAATTACATGGCAATTTAAGTGCTGTAATAGAAATATGAATATACTAGGTAGCATGAAAGGAACAACATATATGAAATATTTCACAAAATTTGGGGCCATAATATTTTCTATTAAGACATTTTGATTGAAGACAGTGGGGTCATAGACAAAAAGCTATGAGTTCTACTTTAAGATGACATTTGATAGATGACTATTTCACTAATTGGAGGAGAAGTGAAGGAGAAAGTGTTCCAGAGATAGAGGTGGTCACCTCTCACCCCCATTATGAGGTTTACACTACTGGATCCACACATCCACTACATGGAGTTCAGGCTACTTTCCAAAGAAAAATAATTGAGACTGTCCTTTTAGATAAAAGATAGAAGTGAAACTTTAGCGTTTATTTCTCTGTGGCCATAAGCACAATGATCTCGGTGTTATGTTCAGCACATCACATCTTTGCTTCACTAGAACATTAGGTTTCTGGGGTTGAATGAAGGGAGACTATTGATAATTAAATGGTTGGGTGAGGCCAGATTATGTATGCTTTTGAAGTATATGAAGATTATACAGGCAAAAGGAAACCATCTAAGTTTTTTAAAAGGGGGAATATTAGAATCATTTTATTTTTTGAGACAGGGTCTCACTATGCTGTGCAGGTTGGAGTGCAGTGGCATGATCTTGGCTTGCTGCAGCCTCTACCTCCCCAGCTCAAACAATTTTCCCTTCTCGGCCTGGGACTACAGGCAGAAGTCACCACACCCAGATAATTTTTAATTTTTTATGGAGATGGGGTCTTACTATGTTGCCCAGGCAGGTCTCCAACTCGGGTAGCTGTCCGGTCCTCCCAAAGTGCTGGATTACAGATATGAGCCACTGCGCCTAGCCCTTAGTGAGATTTTTATTTTAGAAACCAGTGCCTGCTGCCAATGTGGAAAGCAGGCTGGAATAGTGGGAGAATTGATGATCAGTTTCTACCTATTGCAATATTCTTACAAGGTGGATGGCCTGATCCAGGACATGAGGAACGAAATGGAATGGAGAGATCGATTCTAGAATCTTAAAGATTGCACACTGGACCTGGTAATCAGCCTACAACACGGAGAAGAGTAATGGAAAGCTAAGTGGGTTTTTTTTTTTTCTTTTGAGACGGAGTTTCGCTCTTGTTACCCAGGCTGGAGTGCAATGGCGCGATCTCCGCTCACCGCAACCTGCAACCTCCGCCTCCTGGCTTCAGGCAATTCTCCTGCCTCAGCCTCCTGAGGAGCTGGGATTACAGGCACGCGCCACCATGTCCAGCTAATTTTTGTATTTTTAATAGAGACGGGGTTGCACCATGTTTACCAGGATGGTCTCGATCCTAAGTCGGTTTTTAATATGGCTGTGGGTGGATGCTGCTGCTCTAATGGAAATATGGAGCCCAAGGAGAAGCATAAGGGAATGATAAGGAAAAGTTCCCGTTAGATATCCTGACTTTAAGGGCTCTTGGGACTCCCTGATAGATATAAGCAGGAGGGGCCATAAATCAGGGCCTGGAGTTCGGTGGCATCAAAAGAGCTAGAGCTAAATCTAGGTGTCACTGCGTAAAGCGGGGGCCCTGGGAAGTGCACGCGTTTTCACGGAAGTAGATTAAGTCGGGAAAAGAAATAGAAGCCTGTGGAAAAGCGTTAGGTGAGAGAACAGGGATAAAATTCTAATTCCCTGTCTTCCCTCAGTCTAACGAACATCGAGTGTTGCTTCACGTGGAAAAGGAGCAGATTCTGCCTTCTCTCCTTGCCCTGTCAGCACCAGGGATGAACTAGTGAGGGGAAGACGGCAGGAAAACACCTCACAACCAAAGCGGACGAAAGCGAGTCCAGTCCCTGAGGACCCCTCCCACCCACAGCGGCGACCTCTCGTAGTGGGACCCCAGCGCTGTAGTGATTTGTACCCACCCTGACTCCCACCGAGCGCGGCGGCTACTTGCAGCCTGAAACGTTGACGGAGCGGATCCCTAGCGCGCATGCGCGCACCTCCCGGCCGTTGGCCGCGTGCGCGGGGGTTGCCGGGACCGCCCGCACCCTCCTGTCACAGGGGAACTATCTGGGCTTGTTCTCTACTGTTTAATTTCTTCACTCTTGCTCTATGCTAGCGAAACAAAAGATAGGGCTACGTTTGGTTTTTGTTGTTATCTCAAGCCAAAGGTGTTGATGTTTGTTTAAAAAATTCAAAACTCCACTTCAGGGAATGCAAAATGTCTAGTCACTTCAGAAAATATTCCAGTATTCCCTCAAAGGACTCAATAAAGTTACCCTATAATCCAGCAATTCCACTCCTAGGTATTTATAAAGACACCCAAGAGAATTGGAAACATGTTCACATAGAAACTTCTACACGAACGTTCATAGTATTATTATTCATAGTAGCCCCAAAGTGGAAACAACCTGAATGCCCATCACCGATTAATGGATAACTGTGGTGTAGCCGTACAATGGAATGGTTTTCGCCGTAAAACGGGATGAGGCACTAATATAGGCTACAACATGGATGAACCTTGCAAACGCTACGCAAAGGGAAAGAAGCCAGACACAAACGACTATACATTGTGTGATTCCGTTTATATGAAATGTCCAAATAGGAGAATCTATAAAGAGAGAAAGCAGATTTGTGGTTGCCCAGAAGTTGGTTGAGAATGCAGTATGATTGCTAATGGGTATCAGATTTCTTTTTAAATTGCGGTAAAATATACACTTTTCGCCATCCTAAAGTGTACAATTCAGTTGTACTACCTATGTTCACACTGAGCACTCATCAGCACTATCTGGTTTGTAGAACTGTTTTCATTTTCCCAAACTGAAACTCCATACACATTAAACAATAACTCCCCATTCTTCTCTTCCTCATCCCCTGACAACCATCATTCTTTGCCTCCTTGAATTTGACTACTCTGGGTACTTCATGTAAATAGAATCATACAGTATTTGTCTATTTGTGATAGGCTTATTTCACTTCGACAAACATCTTCAAGTTTCATCCATGTTGTAGCATGTTAGAATTTCCTTCCTTTTCAAGGCTGAATAATATTCCATTGTAGGCGTACCATATTTTTTATTGTTCATGAATTCACATAGGTTTCTTTTAGAAGCGATGAAAATGATCTAAAATTAATTGTGGTGATAGTTGCACAGCTCAGAATCTACTGAAAGCCAGTTAATTGTACATTTTAAATAGATGAATTGTACAGTACTTGAATTAAATCTTAAGTTTAAAGCTGGCCAGGCACGGTGGCTGATGCCTATAATCCCAGCACTTTGGGAGGCCAAGGCAGGTGGGTCACTTGAGGTCGGGAACTGGACACCAGCCTGGGCAACATGGTGAAACCCCATTTCTACTAAAAATACAAAAATTAGCCAGGTGTGGTGGTGCATGCCTGTAATCCCAGCTACTTGGGATTAATAATATTTTGTTAATTAGCAGGCAGGAGAATCACTTGAACCCAGGAGGCAAAGATTGCAGCGAGCAGAGATTGTGCCATTGCACTCTAGCCTGGGAGATAGAGGGACACCCTATCTCAAAAAAATAAATAAATAATGAAAATGTTACCAAAAAAACCCAAACCCTTGAATTGTGCCTGCTTCTCCACCATTGGTATTTTTTATTTTTTATTTATTTTTTATTTTTTAGACACCATCTACTTCTGTCCCAGGACTGGAGTGCAGTGGCCCAATCAGGGCCCACTGCAGTCTCAATCTCTCCTGGGCTCAGGTGATCCTGTCACCTCAGACTCCCAAGTAGCTGAGACTACAACTGTGCCTGGCAAACTTAAAAAATTTTTTTTTTGTAGAGACAGTGGTCTCATTTTGTTTCCCATGCTGGTCTCAAATCCCTGGGTTCAAGCAAGTGTCCCACCTTGGGCTCCCAGAGTAATGGGATTACCAGCATGAGCCACCGTGTTGGTCCTCAACCTTTAGTGTTCTTGATGCAGTTAGCAACTCTGCTCCATTGCATTGGGTTGGATCATTTTCCATGAAAAATAATTGAAGTCATCCCTTTTCATATTTAATAGGGGTGGCAAAACACCTCAGAGTTTGTTTCTCTGGGAGAATATAATCTATTTTACTTGTGAGATTAAAGAAAATACTTTTTTGGGGTAGAAATCAATTTACAACAACGAGGCTGTCCAAATTGTCTTGAACTACAATTCCGTGGTAATAACTACAATTTTAGATGGGAATAGGCTATTGTCTGGTGATGGTGATGGCTGTTGTATTTAAGTAGAATAAATTTTTCTAGAAAGTATCCATATATTTTAAAGTGTTTTTTTTGAGATGGAGTCTCGTTGGAGTGCAGTGGCATGATCTTGGCTCACTGCAACCTCTGCCTCCCAGGTTCAAGCAATTCTTGTGCCTCAGCCTTCCAAGTAGCTGAGATTACAGGCACATGCCACCATCCCCAGCTAATTTTTGTATTTCGAATAGAGATGCGGTTTCACCATGTCGGCCAGGCTGGTCTCGAACACCTGACCTCAGGTTTATCACCTGCCTCGGCCTCCCAAAGTGCTGGGATTACAGGCGTGAGCCACCGCTATTTTAGTTTAATCAAAACTAAAGCTATTTTAGTTTTGATTAATCAGTTCATAGTGTAACATTGTTCATTTCTGCACCAAAGTAATAGTTTTATATCAACCAAGTCCAGCAAAATCTTCTAATAGATTTTTATGTATTTAATGCATCCTTTAAAATATCTGCATAGTCAGACTTGGTGGTATGCACCTGTAGTCTCAGCTACTAGGGAGTTGCTACTAGGAAGTGGGAGGTTGCACTGAATTATGATTGCACCACTGCACTCTGGCCTAGGTAACAGAGTGAGACTCTTGGAAAAAAAAGTTAGATCTAAAATCGGAATTTAAAAACCTTAAGAATTCAGCATATTTTTACACATTGCAAACCCTCTGAAAATGACTGTGTTATCCAGAGTCAAAATGCCATTGCTACTGATTGCTGCATACTTACAGTACTTTATTTTTACAAAATACTACTAAACAGCAGAAACAAGTTACATGTAATCTGGTAAAATGGCTCAAATATTTCTTTTAAGGTGGCAGAATTATGAATTATTTTTATTTTTTCCCTTCATATAGCTTTTTGCTTTTTAATATTTTTCATTGAGGTATAATTCATATGCAGCAAAACACAGCTCTTACATATTGAGTTTTTGAGTTTTGAGAAATATGAAGCTTTCATTTTTATTTAAAAATGTTTCAAAGCTTTTTTAATTTTTTAATTTTATTTTTGCCATGACATGTTTTTATCTGATCATTTAAAAAATTTGTTTTAGACACAGTCTCACTCTGTCACCCAGGTTGGAATGCAGTGGTACCATCTCAGCTCAATGCAACTTTCATCTTGTGGGTTCAAGCAATCCTCCTGCTTCAGCCTCCACAATAGCTGGGACTACAGGCGCATGCCACCACGCCTGACTTAACAGGTATTTTAAAGGATGTATTAAATACATAAAAATCTATTAGAAGATCCTTCTGCCTCAGCCTCCCAAGTAGCTGGGACTCCAAATGTGCACCACCACAGCTGGCTTTTTTGTATTTTTTGTAGACGGTGTCTCACCATGTTGCCCTGGCCGGTCTCAAACTTCTGGTCTCAAGTGACCTGGCCATCTCCGCTTCCCAAAGTACTAGGATTGCAGGTGTGAGCCATCATGCCCGGCCAGCCTTGTAATGTATTTTAAAGTCAGGTAATGTGATGCCTCCATCTTTTCTTTTTCCTTTTTTGAGATGGGGTCTTGCTCCATCTCCCAGGCTGGAGTGCAGGGGAGTGATCACAGCTCACTGCAGCCTTGAACTCCCAGGTTCAAGCAATCCTCCCCCCTTAGCCTCCCAAGTAGATGGGACTACTGGCACATGTCATCATGCCTGGCTAATTAAACATTTTTTTTTTTTTAGAAATGGGGTCTCTCTTTGTTGCCCTGGACTCAAGTCATCTTCCTACCTTGGCCTCCCAAAGTGCTTGGGTTACAGGCATGAGCCACCATCCCCAGCCAACCTTTGATCTTTTTGCTCAGGGTTTCTTTGGCAATTCAGGCTCTTTTTTGGTTCCATATGAATTTTAGTATTGCTTTTCTAATTCTGGTAAGAATTGCATTCAATCTGTAGGTTGCTTTGGGCATCATGGTCATTTTAATGATATTAATTCTTCTGATCCATGATCCATGAGATGTTTTTCGATTTGTGTCACCTTCAATTTCTTTCATCAGTGTTTTGTAGTTTTCCTTGTAGAGATTTTCACCCCCTTATTTAAATTATTGGTTGTTGCTGCTGCTTTGTTGCTATTGTAAATGAAACTGCCTTCTTACTTAGCTAGATCATTACTAGCATATAAAAATGCTACTAATTTTTGTATGTAGATTTTTTATCCTGCAATTTTACTGAATTTATTTATCAAACCTAAGAGTTTTGAGGTGGAGTCTTTTACTTTTTTGTTTTTCCTTGTGACAGGGTCTCACTGTGCAGCCCGGGTTGGAGTGCATTGGTGGTGCAATCAGGGCTCACTCCAGCCTCTGCCTTCTGGGCTCAAGCAATCCTCCCACCCCAGCTTCCCAAGTAGCTGGACTACAGATGTGTACCACCATGCCTGGCTAATTTGTGTGTGTGTTTTTGTAGAAACAGAGTTTCACCATGTTGGCCAGGCTGGTCTTGAACTCCTGGACTCAAGTGATCTGACTGCCTTTGCCTCCCAAGGTGCTGGCATTACAGACATGGGCCACTGCACTTGGCCAGGTTTTTCTAGACATATGATCAGACTAGGCGTGGTGGTTCATGCCTGTAATCCTGACACTTTGGGAAGCTGAGGAGGGAGGACTGATTGAGGTCAGGAGTTCAAGACCAGTCTGGGCAACACAGCAATACCTCATCTATACTAAAAATGAAAAAAGTAAGCCAGGGATGGTGGTGTGCATCTGTAGTCCCAGCTACCTGAGAAGTTAAAGTGGGAGGTCACTTGAGCCTGGGAGATTGAGTTACAGCGAACCATGATCGCAGTACTGCACTCCAGCCTGGGCGTCAGGGCAAGACCATGTCTCAAAAGAAAAAAAAAATCATCAGCGAAGAAGGTCAATTTAACTTTTTTTTTTTTTTTTTTGAGAGAGTCTCGCTATCACTCAGGCTGAAGTGTAGTGGCACTATCTCAGCTCGCTGCAACTTCTGGCTCCTTCCTAAGTTCAAGTCATTCTCCTGCCTCAGCCTCCCTAGTAGCTGGGATTACAGGCACCTGCCACCTTGCCCAGCTAATTTTTGTATTTTACTAGAGATGGAGTTTCCCCACATTGGCCAGGCTGGTCTCAAACTCCTGACCCCAAGCGATCCACCTGCCTCAGTCTCCCAAAGTGCTGGGATTACAGGTGTGAGCCACCACACCTGGCCTAATTTCCTCTTTCCAACCTGGATGCTTTTTCTTTCTCTTGCCTGATGGCTCTGCCTAGGACTTCCAGAATTATGTCGAGTAGAAGTAGTGAAAATGGGCATCCTTGTATTGTTCCAGTTCTTCGAGGGAAGGTTTTCACTTTTTCCCATTCAGTATATTAGTTCTGGGTTTATCATATATAACTTTTATTATTTTTAGATATATTCCTTCTATGCCTTGTTTGTTGAGGTTTTTATAATAAAGTGATGTTGAATTTTATGAAATGATTTTCCTCCATCTATTGAGATGATCATGTGTTTTTTCCTTCATTCTGTTGATGTATCATGTTTATTGATTTGCATATGCTGAACTGTCCTTGCATCCGTTACATATACTTGACATAGGATCAAGTATAAATCCCAGTTGATTGTGGTATATTATCATTTTGACTTGGCTGTGAATCCATTCAGTCCTGGGCTTTTCTTTGTTGGGAGACTTTTGCTAATGATTAAATCTGCTACTCATTACTGGTCTGCCTGGGTATTCATTTCTTCCTGATTCAATCTTGGTAGGTTTTATGTTTCCAGGAATTTATCCACTTTTAGTGGGTAAGTATAGTTGTTCATAATAATCTGATAATCTTTTGTATTTCTGTGGTATCAGTTGTAATGTCTCCTTTTTCATTTCCAATTGTTTATTTGGGTCTTCTCTTGTTTTCTTGTAATGTCTCCTTTTACATTTCCAATTGTTATTTGGGTCTTCTCCTCTTATTTTCTTGGCTAGTCTAGCTAGCAGTTTATCAATTTTATCTTTTCCAAGAACCAACTGATTTCATTGGTCGGTTATATTGTTTAGTCTATTTCATTAGTTCTGCCCTTGATCCTTCTGCTCATTTTGTTTGTTCTTGCTTTTTCTAGTTCCTTGAAGTACACTGTTAGATTCATTTGTAACCTTTCTACTTTTTGTTAGGCATTTATTACCATAAACTTCTCTTAGCGCTTCTGTTGCTGCATCCCACAGGTTTTGATATGTCATGTTTCCATTTTCATCTGTTTCAAAATTCTTTTTCCACTTACATCAAATATATTCTGTTCAAATTTTTCCCCCTCACACATATATATAATTCATTTTGTAATGACCATTGTAACATTACCAATTTCAATTTCAAATAATTACAACATTAGGTGATTTATCTTTTCATTGATTTTATTATATTATATAGATTTGTATATCTTGTGATCTCAGAAATATCAAAATTCTATTTTAAATTTGTTCTTAAAAATATACAATATTGCACTTTTATTTTTGGCAGCTTAACTGAGGAATGAATGAGTACAAAAAAATCAAACAAGAAACTACAATTTTTATTTTGCTTTATAATAAGCAAAGAGCTTTGTGTAAAAGCGAAACTTACAGTAGTGCCAAATAAATCAAATATTTACAGTGTAGATATTAAAGTCTTACCTCTAAAGGAAGATTCAGTGTATTGGATATAAATATTATTAATGTAAGAAAAGCACACTGACACCCCCGCTGCCCAATTCTGAACATTTTTAAGCCAAAGAGTATTGGTGAGAAATGCTTTCATGATTTCTTTCTCAAGACAAACATGGAAAGGGATGCTTGTTCTTGGAGCATCTAAAGTGGGTCATTAAACTTTTACAAGAATGTTTCCTACATAACTTAAACATACCTCTACTCTAATCCAAGAATCAAAATTCCAAGGTAAGCTTATTTTAATTTTTTAAAGTTCTTCTGTAGTTAATTCTCTCTTTTTTTAAAAAAAAAAAATAAATGAATAGAAATGAGGTATCACCACATTGCCCAGGCTGGTCTTGAACTCCTGGGCTCAAGTGATCCTCCTGCCTCAGCCTCCCAAAGTGCTGGGATTTTATAGGCATGAGCCACCATGCCAGCCAGTTATTCTCCTTTACTTTTATAAGCCTATAAGTTAGTTGGTAAGTTACGATTTTAAGGTCTGTTTCCTGTACTTTTTCTAAGATATATAGAATTGGATACTGTCTGATTTTTAACTTTTGTTACATTGTAATAAAACTATATACATTTATGTTGACTCACAATTTGTTTTTACTTTTTTTTTTTTTTTAATAGGGTCATGCTCTGGCACCCAGGCTGAAGTGCAGTGGCAGGATTTCAGTTCACTGCAACCTCCCAAGCCATCCTCCCACTTCAGCCTCCAGAGTAGCTGGGACTAAAGGCACGTGCCACCATGTCTGGCTAATTTTTGTATTTTTTGTAGAGATAGGGTTTCACCATGTTGCCCAGGCTGGTCTCAAACTCCTGAGCTCAAATAATCTGCCTGCCTCAGCCTCCTAGGGTGCTGGGATATAGGCATTAGCCACCGTGCCTGGCCTGTTATTTTACTTTTTAATTCCCAATTAGGCAAATACTCTAGAAAGCTCAATTTTTTATTTTACTTAACCCATTAGGAAAAGAGCTTTGAAATACCTATTTGCAAAAGCAAATACAAAAATTTAGAATGACTTAATAGCATACTAAACATTCAAAAGATGAATAGAACATAAATAGAATATATTTGTAATATGAATATATGACAGAGAGATAGATGTTTTTGGTACCACCTTAAAAAATCCAGCAGTACATTTTATTACCCTTCAGATCTTTGGGAATACTTAAAATTCCTAACCATTAAACTTTTTCTTTTCCTTCTGAGGAAAAATAATCCACAAAGTTGAACTGGTATTTCAAAAACAAATAATTTCCTTTTGTTACTTCTTAAATAATCTGCAGAATAAAGTTACTCCAAGTGTTAACTAGCAGCCAATGCATTAATTATGCTTTTACATTTTAATCATACCATGAACCAAGTATTTCAAATAGTGATTTATCATGGAAAAATATGATGTCTTCTTAAACAACCATGTACCAATTGCATAGTTTTGATGTGATAACAAAAGTCATAGTAGAGAGTTACAAAGGTATTAATGTTAGCTGAACTGAAATTGACTGTTAAAAACAGTCTATCTTGGGTAGATGTTAGTGTAAACTTAGAGGGAAAAAACAGTCAACTGCAAAACAGTTTTCTTTAAAAATAGGTTAATGCTAAGAATAATAACTTTTAAATTTTGTTTAAAAATAAACTTACTAAACAATATAAATTTTAATCAAAACAGCTCTTTAAAATGCCCTATTTTTCTTGCAAGTAGCAGAAAATACATTTTTTTCATAGTTTTCGTCATTACATGTAAAAATGAGGCACTAGTTATATATATTTGAATATATCCACACAAATAGAAGCTTCAGTCCCATCTATAGACTTATTTTGCTCCATAGTTTCTGAATGGCAAACTGTTCACAAAAATAAGTCTTCTGAAGGAGGTGCATAAGAGAAACCAACAAATGCATCATCTGCCTCCAATACACTGGCATTCACTATAGAATAGTCAGAAGATACACACACGGAATATGGAACTGTTTCTTCTGTAAATGCTGTGTCAAAGTTTCTGATATCATCTGGTCCAGCCTAAAATATTAAAAGCACAGTATTATTCATCTTAGCTTTTCTTTCATACATTTAGTTCTTTTTTTTTTTTTTTTGAGATGGAGTCTTGCACTGTCATCCAGGCTGGAGTGCCAGTGGGCTCACTGCAACCTCTGCCCCCCAGGTTTAAGCGATTCTCTTGCCTCAGCCTCCCAGAGTAGCCGGGATTACAGGCACCAGCCACCACACCCAGCTAACTTTTTGTGTTTTTAGTAGTGATGGGGTTTCACCATGTTGGCCAGGCTGGTCTCGAACTCCTCACCTTGGCCTTCCAAAGTGCTGGGATTACAGGTGTGAGCCACTGCACCTAGACCAATTTAGTCCTTTATTACAACTCCTTTATGAATTTGTGTGTTTATTCCTGGCAAGGTTAGGTGTCTTCCTAATTCATTCCTTTGAAACACTTTTCTGCTTTTCCTTTCTTGACTTTTATTATTTGGGTGAAGTTATCTGTCCTTCTAAAACAGGGGTGACCAATCTTTTGGCTTCCCTGGGCCACACTGGAAGAAGACTGTCTTCAGCCACACTCACAAACACGAACAATAGCTGATGAGCTAAAAAAAAAAAAAGGCCGGGCATGGTGGCTCATACCTGTAATCCAAGCACTTTGGAGGCCAAGGCGGGTGGATCACCTGAGGTCGGGAGTTCAAGCCAGCCTGACCAACTTGGTGAAACCCCATCTTTAAAAACAAACAAACAAAAAACACACCAAAAAAATCTTATAATGTTTTAAAGAAAGTTAAGAATTTGTGTTGGGCCACCACATTCAAAGCCATCCTGTGCCCCATGCGGCCCACAGACTGTGGTTTGAACAAGCTTGTTCTAACAGTTAAGGTTTTTTTTGAGTCGGGGGAGGAGAGAGAACAGTACAGAAGGCTCACAAACAGATTCATTACTCATTTAAATCTCAAGCCTTTTCACTGATCCCCTTCCTCTCTACCCATCACTGCCTCATTACACCTAAGTTCAGAAAAAGGTCTCAGGTGGGTTTTCAGAATAGCATTCTGTATTTGAGTTTCCATAAAATGCCTGTCCATCTGGTCTCTCAATTCTGGGTGGGTCTGATGAAGAAATGAAACCGTTATCAGTAAAATTATAATATGTTTTGTTATCAGTTATTAGGTTCTTAGTTACAAGAAAGGCAGTGGTTCTTAACTTTCCTTTATAAATCTAATGCAAGCTAATAGACTCTACCTTTCCTATTCTCTCACTTTTACCCAAGCTGTAGCTCACTGCAACTTCGACCTCCTGAGCTCAAGGGATCATCCTACCTAAACCTTCCACAAGTAGCTGGGACCACAGGTATGTGTCACTATACCTGGCTTTTTATTTTTAGTAGAGTCAAGTTCTCACCATGTTGTCCAGGCTGGTCTTAAACTCCCGAACTTGAGCAATCCTCCCATCTCAGCCTCCCAAAGTGTTGGGATTACATCCATGATTATGGCTGGAATTACATCCATGAGCCACCCAATATATTTACAGATGAAAATGGATACAAATTTATCTGTATCCAAAACAGTCTTGCTCTGTTGCCCAGGCTGGAGTGCAGTAGTGTGATCTGGGTTCACTCAAACCTCCACTTCTTGGATTCAAGCAATTCTCGTGCCTCAGACTTCTGAGTAGCTGGGATTACCATGCCTGGCTAATTTTTCTATTTCTAGTAGAGACAGGGTTTCACCATGTTGGCTAGGCCTGACCCAGTGATGGGTCAGGACCCAATATATTTACAGATAAAAATGGATACAAATTCAGGTGATTTATTCTTAAAGTCCATTCCTGAATTTCTAGGTTATTTCTGCTCTACAGGGAAGGAAATCCTTAAAATCAAGTCTAACAGCGGGTGCACTGATAGAAATTCAGTGCAGATATTATAATCAAAGGATTATAGCCTGGTACATCCACAAACTGAGCAGAGACCACAAAAACCCAGAAAGCTAGATCCCCCCCCCATATGAGAAAATCCCCCCCCACCCCCGGGACAAAGAGTGCTAGAAATTTTATATGCATGTATGTATATATGTATTTTTTTTCCTCATCAAATTCTTATACACAATTCTTGAAGCATGGGCTCTTGAACTCTGGCTACAAAACTTGCTAGCTGTAATTATTATTATTTTTGAGACAGAGTCTTGCTCTGTTGCCCAGGCTGGAGTGCAGTAGTGTGATCTGGGTTCACTCAAACCTCCACTTCTTGGATTCAAGCAATTCTTGTGCCTCATACTTCTGAGTAGCTGGGATTACGATGCCTGGCTAATTTTTCTATTTCTAGTAGAGACAGGGTTTCACCATGTTGGCTAGGCCTGACCTCAGTGATATGCTCATCTTGGCCTCCCAAAGTGCTGGGATTACAGGCGTGTAATTCGTTATATAAACTACTCTATCTCTATGAGCTTGTTTCTTCTTCCATAAAGTAAGAATAATATCACCTACCTCCTCAGGTTGTTGCAAGGATCTGATGTGTTAATAAATAAAATTCCCAGAATCTAACATGTAGAAGGTACTCAATAAATGATGGCAATGTTCTCTGACTTGCCTTTATAATCCCCTTATGGCTCATGGCTGGTACCAACAGGAATAATACAGGCTGAGCATCCCAAATCTGAAAACCCAAAATCAAAATGCTCCAAAATCCAAAAATTTTGAGCATCTACATGACACTCATTGGAGCATTTTGAATTTCAGATTCTCAGATTTGAGATGCTCAATCAGTAAGTAAATTCCAAAATTCAAAACACAATCCCAAATCCAAAACACTTCTGGTCCCAAACATTTCAGATAAAGGATACTCACTTGTACTATGTGGTTTTTTAAGAGTGAGGGCTCTGCCTTCAGAGTATCTGAGTTCAAATTCTAGTTCTGCAATTTTAACTTAATTTTGAGAAAAGTTATTTAATTTTTTTCTGTGCCTCAGTTAACTCATCCATATATATGGAAAATAACAGTACTATCTCATAGGATGTTGTCAGGATTTAGTAAAAGGATACATGTAAAGTACTGAGAACACTGTATGTGAAGACCTACTTTACCAAACCCTAGAATAGCTAACCTTTTGATCTTTGTTAATCTGTCTGGTGAAAAATAGTAATCTGTTATGGTTTAATATTGCACTTCCTCAACCGTCAGTGAGTATGAACTTTTTTTCATATAATTAAAAGCTAGTTGTATTTATTTTTCTGTAACTGCATTTTTTGTGTCTTTTGTCCATGTTTATATTGGTTGTTGGTATGTCTTCCTATGGACTAGTAAGAACGCTTTAGGTGTTGAAAATTTCCCGTTTGTTATTTGCTTATAGCATTTTTTATGCAGATACTTCTAAATTTTACATAGTCAGTGCTCATGTCGGCAGCACATATACTAAACTTATATGTAGTCAAATCTACCAACTTTTTTCTCTTACGGCTTCTGGGTTGTGGGTCATGCTTTAGAAAGCATTCTTCACTTAAAGATTATACACAAAAATATTATCTTAGGTCTTGCAAGGGTTACTTTTAGGTGCATGGTGTAATGACTCTGGAGTCAGACATACCTAAGTTTTTTGTTTTGTTTTTCAGACAAGGTCTCACTCTGTCCACCCAGGCTGGAGTGCAATGCCATGATCATGATTCACTGCAGACAACCTCCCTGGGCTCAGTTGATCTTCCTGCCTCAGCCCCCTGAATACTTGGGACTACAGGTGTGCACCACCATATCCAGCTAATTTTTTTTTTTTCCTTTTGTAGAGACAGGGTTTTGCCATATTGCTCAGGTTGGTCTTAAACTCCTGGGCTCAAGCAATCCACCCGCTCCGGCCTTCCAAAATACTGAAATTACAGGTGTGAGCCACTGTGTTCGGTCCATACCTAGGTTTTAATTCCTCAGAGGGTTTGGGAACCAAGGCAATGCATCAAGAACCTAACACAATGCTGGGTACATAGCAGGCAGTGCTCTAGAAGGTAATTCCTTTTCTCCCCACCTCTACTTGGAAATGTATAGCATAAATACGTCCTGCTACTAATATGTACCTTCACTGCAATCTGCCCTTTCCAGACCCCTGTATTTTCACAGTAATCCCTTCCTACCACACATAATCCATTAACATTGAACTAATTTAAAAAAACATTAATAAGAGGGATTCATTGACCGAGAAATGAATATTTTCTTTCAATTTACAGAATTGTTAGAATGGTGCCAGCCTCTCTCCTGGTCCAAACCCACCTCTGAGATTTGGCTTCTGAATGACCCACTTGGAGCTTGACCAAGCCACTTATCAAAGTTCAATACCACATCAACCTGCTTCAGGGCAGGGCTATGCTACACTTCGCTGGTTTTTTTTTTTTTTTGAGACAGAGTCTTGCTCTATTGTCCAGGCTATAGTGCAGTGGCACAATCTGGGCTCACAGCATCCTCTGCTGCCTGGGTTCAAGCGGTTCCCCCTGCCTCAGCCTCCAGAGTAGCTGGGACTACAGGCACACACCATTGAGTCTGGCTAATTTTTTTGTATTTTTAGTAGAGATGGGGCTTCACCATGTTGGCCAGGATGGTCTCAATCTCCTGACCTCATGATCCCCCCGCCTCAGACTCCCAAAGTGCTGGGATTACAGGTGTGAGCCACCATGCCCGGCCTCTATGCTACACTCTTACTTTAAGGATTATTTGGGGAAACCCTCTAATTTGAAATATTGGTGAGCCCTCTTCCACCAAGCAGTCAATTTTATTTTCATAGTTTTCCAAAATTTTATATGTAATAAACAGAAATTCCTAAAGTAGGGACCGAGGCTACAGAACTGTAAACTATTAGCTATGCATAATAGTCAGTATTTCAAAAAGGGAGTAAAAAACCTGAGGAAGTTATATTCCAAGAGCTGCCAAAATGAAAGCAGCAACAAAGTAAGTTTTTCTGAGGATTAAAGTGGAGGCAAGGATCAAAACCTGGATGTACCCAACATAGAATGAAATATTAGGAGATGCTTCACAGTAACTTAGAGAATTTCAGATGGAGTGTCAATGAAATCGTATCTACATATGGTTTATTTTGGAGGGACTTGTTTTGTATTGGTTGTTCTGAAATGGTATAATTAGAAACAAATCTTTCCAAGTATCAAAAACTACTTGCTGATAAATTTTATAGTAAAAGAAGTTTAAAATATACTAATGTACCCATTCATATTAGCCCATTTTAGGTCATTGCTATTATCCTTTCTCTATCAGCTGCTGAGAGAATAAAATTAAGCAACCAATTCTTATTAGGATAAATTAAATATTTGGTATAACCTTGATTTTGTGGGCTAAAAAAAAATAAATAAATTCCAGAATGCATTTCCATGTAAACATGGAAGAAAAACTGCTTCCAGTCTTTTTTTTAAATACAGATTAGTTGGGTACATATAATTGAAGTAAACAGTTTATGCAACCTGTTAGATTTTGAAATAATTCCCACTAACTGCTAGAAACATTCAAAATAAAAATGTTGAAGCTTGGCATGGTCAATACCCCACTATCCCTTTTCCTAGTAACTAGCCTTATTAAAATATAAAACACTAATCAGACTGAAAATCAACTAATTCATTTTATTCATAGAAAGAGTAAGCATCAAAGATAATTTCTGTCAACTGTTTATTCCCCCACAGATGTAATCATAAGTTATTATGAGCATGGGTTTTTTTGCCTCACATTACACATTTATGAATTAATTATACATTATACATACATATGAGTTAATAGTATAAAGCTCATCTTTAATGTTGCTTTTTGCTTTAAACGAATTAACTTTAGGTGAAACATTTCCATCAATAGATTTAACAAGTCTAGCTAACATGAACATTTTATAATATTATCCTATTGTTTTCCCATATGTTATATTAACAATGTTTGTTTTGTCTATACCTGCTTTTTTTTAAATTTTATTTTGAGACAGAGTCTTGCTCTATCACCCAGGTTGGAATGTAGTGGTGCAATTTCGGCTCACTGCAACCACCACCTCCCAGGTTCAAGTGATTCTCGTGCCTCGGTCTCCTTAGTAGCTTGAATTACAGGCATGCATCACCACACTCGGATAATGTTTTTTGTATTTTTAGTAGAGACAGGGTTCCCCCATGTTGGCCAGGCTGGTCTTGAACTCCTGGCCTCAAGTGATCAATCTGCCTCGGCCTCCCAAAGTGCTGGGAGTGGTCTGCCTGCCTCAGCCTCCCAAAGTGCTGGGATTATAGGCATGAGCTACCATACCTGGCTAACTTATTGAGTTCGTTCTTTCTTATACATGCTCCAAAGAAACACTTTACAGTTACTGTGCTGGAAGATATTTTTATCATCCTAATCTAACTATAATCTTACTGGTCTCCCTGAAGTTATTACCTATACTAGATAATCCTGAGTAACATATTTCACAAATATTTAGGTAATGACTCCATTTAATTCAGGTTAGATTCTGAGATCTAGTTTCAAAATTATTATGAACTGCTATTCTGTTGACTATTTTAGAAAGAAAGATTTGGATATATACTTACCACATTAGGATTAAATGGTGGTGGAATCTTCTTTTGTACAAGGTCAGCCCAGCTGAGTGATTCAAAAAAAGGATGATTCTGAATTTCAAGCTGAAATATTAAAAATATATATATTTTTACTAATGCTGAAGAATATATTAAGTACTAACTGCATAATTTTATGAAGCCAAACTATTACTATTTTGTCCCTCAATAACTCTTTTTAGGAACATGTTTATGTTATTCATGTAGCAAAATAGCAATAGAAAGACTATCAAAATAGACTAAAATTTACTTAGAATGATCTACTTAAACTTAAGTTATATTCTTTCCAGAGTCACAGTTTCCTCAGTGGTAAAATGGGAATAACGTTTCTGCCCTAAATACTTCGAGAGAAGTATGTTCTAAGCATCAATGTAAAGTATGGAAGAAAAGTGCTATGAAAAGAATAAAGCACTATAGAGGTACAAAGAGTTAGTGTTATTACTGGAGTGGAGGGTAAAGAAATTGGGCAGAGATCTTTACACAGTGGAGAAGTAAAATCAGTTATGAGTTCTACTAATAAAAAAAAAAAATCCCACTTAGGGTTGGTATTACCAAACATTGGCACAGTACTGACTCTAGGTTTTTTTCCTGCAAGGTGCCATGGGAGTGTATAAAGAAGGATCCAACCTAATCTGGTGGGTTAAAAAAGACTTCTTAGAGAAAATGATATCTGACCAGAGGTCTGAAAGATGAGTAAGAATTAAGCTAGACAAAAGAATGGGGAAAGCATGTTCCAGAAAGGCTCTGAGGTACTAAAGAGGTTAATATGGTCAAGAAAATGAGACTTCAATATGGCTGCAGTGTAGGGAAGGATGGGACTGTCACACAAGGTGAAGCTGAAGAGCTAAACTGGCTGTATCATATCAGGTCTACATTTAACATTTTGGATTTTGCTCTAGGGTTGTAAGAAGCCATCAAGGGGATTTAGTTATGAGAATGTCACAACCGTTTTGTTTTTTAAAGCATCACATTGATGAGAAATGTTTTTTGTTTTTTTGGCCACCACTCTGGGCAAGGCACAGTGGCTCATACCTATAATCCCAGCATTTTGGGAGGCCAAAGTGAGAGGATTGCTTGAACCCAGAAATTCAAACCCAACCTGGGTATTACAGTGAGACTCCCATCTCTACAAAAATTAGGCTGGTGTGGTGGCACACACCTGTAATCCAGCTACTTGGGGACTGAGGTGGGAGGATCACTTGAACCTGTGAAGTTGAGGCTGCAGTGAGCCATAATCACACCACTGCACTCCAGCCCCCCAGCCTTGGTGACAGAGCAAAACCCTGTTGCTAAAAAAGAAAAGAAAGAAAGAAATACCCTCCAAAACATGACCCTGGCTACAAGAAATAGATTGAAGAGTCAAGGCCAGATAAAGGAAAAATAGCTACCATGGTAACCAGACTAAAAATAACTGATGGTAGGAAAACAGTAGGAGCAATGGGGCTAAAAAGAAATGTCTAGATATGGGAAAGATTTAGGCAGCAAACGAAACAGGACCTGGCTGTTTGTTGAATATGGAAGGAAGGAAGGAAGAGAGAAGAATAAAGAATGCCTGTTGGATTTCTGGCCTGTATAGCAACATGGACAGTGATGTCCTTTAATATGAAAGGGAGTACAGGAGGACAGTAGCCATGCTTGAGGTACTCTCAAGAACTCCAAGTGTGGTGTTGAGCAGGCAGGTACTGTGTAAGTCTAGAGTTTAGAAGAAAGGGTTGAAGAGTGCAAGATATAAATGTGTGAGATGAAAACATAGATAACCAAAGCCACGGGAACAATTGGGATTGCCCCAGAAGACAGCACAGAAGAAGAAAAGGTTTAGGACAATGACAGGGCTCTGCAACACTTGAAGGCTGAAAATGAGCATACACAAGAGATAATGGAGAACAGTCCAGAAATGCAGAAAGAAGAGCATGAGACGAGACGCGTGTGTGCTCCTGCAGAAGCCTACGGAACAGCTACAAGTTTAAATGCTGCTGTGGGCAGCATAAGTCGAGGAAAGAAAGTATCCAGCAATTCTACTGGCTATTTTGTGGTAGACTGAGAAATGAAAGAGCCTGGGAAAGGGAGACAGAACAAAGAAAACTTTCAACGAGTTTGGCTAAGAAGGGAAGAAGATAGAGTAGTACCTCGCAGGAGAGTAAGACTAAGGGTTTTTTTGGCTTAAGAAGCAACAGATTTGATAATGTTTAATTACTGACTGGAAGAAACCAGAAAAAAAGGAAGCAGTTATTTATGCAAAACAAACAAACATGGACAGGATTCCTTACAAATGGACAGGATCCAGTGCACAGATGGAAACAGACCTTTTCCACTATAATAGGAAGAAGAAAATGACAGGATCCTGCGGGTGTATATAGACCTGTTTATTTGATAGCAGGAAACTGAGTTAGCTCCACTCTGATGGTTCTATTTTCCTTACAAAACAGAAGCCAAGATCATCTGTTAAAAGTGAAGAAGAAGAAAAGGAATCTGGGAAGTCTGGAGAGAAGGTGTGAAACAGTTAATACAGAGAAGAGAATAAGCTACATAGACAAACAAGGAGTATTACCAGACAGTGGGGAAGCACAGACAGGGTTCACAGCGATTCCAATATGCCCAGTTTGTTACTTTCTTTAGCACTGTTCAGCAGCCCAGGAGATAAAAGTTTGATTCATCTGGAGTTGCAATTTCTGTCAATGAATTCAATAAATGGACCAAGGGACAAGGAGGCATGCAATATTAGCAAGACTGGCTGGAACAATGGAAAGGAAGCTGTTGGCAGAGCTACCAGCTGAACTAGGAGTACAGGGAAATGGAAGAACAGTAGCAGCAAAGTCTTTCATTCACAGCTCAAGATTGATAGACAGCCTCCAAGAATATCCAAGAAAGCAATTTGAAAGTTCATATTCCTCAATATTTTGTGCATTTACTGACACAATAACATAATACTGGTAACAATACTACCAATTTAATTACCCTGAATTGAAACAAACATGTAGATTCCCTAATTATCTCAGGGAGGTCTCACCAAATTCTTAAAAAAAAAAAAAGTGATTTAGTGTTCAAGGCAAAAGACAGGAGGCACTTAACAAATTCCTGCTAAAGGAAATGATTTAGACCTTTGGGTAGTCCCAAACCCTCAACAAAAAGCTTACTAGTTGGTTAGTCTCTGTGTTATTATTTCATGAAAATGTTTGTGTTATTTAGCAATAAAAACAGCAAAAAAAAAAAGTTTAGGTAGTAAAAACGTGCCATACCACACTTTTTAAAAAGTAGAGGGGAATTTGTAATAAATACAAATCAAGTAATAATAAAATGTGAAAATGTATGTAAGAGAAAGTGCTTTTTATATACTTTTATATAAACAGGTGAAAACTGTGGGGACAAGTATGCTTTTTTCCATGTTGCTATTCACCACATGTTGTATTCATTCCATTAAATACCATATAAAATAAAGCTTTATTTCCAAATTTTCAATAAGCTTAAATAAAGCTGGAGCTTGGAAAGTTGTTACGTACAAAGTCTTCCTTGGCACCAAGTCGATTTTGCCTGTCTTTTTCTAGTAGTTCTTCCAGAATGGACCAGGCTGTAAGGCTTACTCCTGGCCTCAAACTTAGAGGTTTGTGAAGGATATTGTCATACATCTCAGCAACGTCTCGGCAATAAAAAGGAGGCTGGGGAAAAAAAAGCAAAGTAAACATAGTGGTAACCAAATATGCGAAAATGGGGTTAAAATGGCTTTGATCTTGAGGGAGCAGTTAAGAAATGTATGGTTCTCTTGGTATGTGTAGATATCTACAGTGTGGTTTCCCAAAGCAAAGAGATCCTAAAACCCAGTACACAACACAGAGCTTATTTAATAAGCATTAACTGAATAAATTAGGGCCAGTTTGTTCAATAGCACCTTGTAGACAGCTGTTAAATTATATACAACTTGTAATAGTATCCGATGGTTAGAGAAAACCATCAACCTTATCGTCGGCATGATGACAGAATCGTTGGAAATGGAAGTTTAAGACAGATCAAACATTAATTTGAGGCTTGGGAATACACTCACTAAAACAAAGAGATTTCTAGTAGAGATGGAGGCCTGAAGATAATGCTCCTTAGGTACTTATGAAGCAGATAATATTATGACTGTACTTTGCAGAATTCAAAATGCCACTGTGACAGCCAAAAGACTTGGGGTATAGCTACAACACAAGCATTAGCTAGTTAATCATCTAATTAAAAGGTTTAAAGTAAAAATAAAGGCCAGGCATGATGGCTCACGCCTGTAATCCCAGCACTTTGGGGGACCGAGGTAGGCAGATCACTTGAGGCCAGGAATTCAAGACCAGCCTGGGCAATATAGTGAAACCCTGTCTCTACTAAAAATACAAAAAACTAGCCAGGCATGGTGGTGCACACCAGTAGTCCCATCTACTCAGAAGGCTGAGGCACAAGAATCAGTTGAACCTGGGAGGCGGAAGTTGCAGTGAGTTTGAGATTGCACCACTGCACTCCAGCCTGCGCAAGACAGCAAGACTCCGTCTCAGATAAATAAATACATAAAGTAACAACTCTTAAGAGAAAAGATGAGCTGTACAGGTTTCTGTAGTCTAGAAATGAGAGGGAGGATTATCATGCTACTCATATTCTATTTGCAAGGCTGTAATATGCAACCTTCAAAACTGTTTCCTTTTAAATTAATGTATTCAGAATGCCAGAAACATTTTTGAAAAGAGAGAATTACTATATAAAATGTTATTTTTTTTTTCCAAAAACAAAAAAACAATTTATTAACCAGAGGACTGGTCTCTAATATTTTACCCTTGTGGGTTTGTTTTTACCTTTTACATATTAGTTACTAGTATTTTTATAAAATAAAATGAATCTGACCTAAAACATAAAATTTTTCTTTTCACTCTCCTTTAGTAAAAATTAGAAAAGTAACATATGCTTATTGTAACAAATACAAACAATACAGAAGTTTATAAAATAAAAAGTGAGGCCAGGCACAGTCGATGACACCAGAAATCCCAGCACTTTGGAAGGCAGAGGCAGGTGGATCACTAGAACTCAGGAGCCCGAGACCAACCACGACAACATGGAGGCATCCTGTCTCTACTAATAAATAAATAAATAAATAAATAAATAAATAAATAAATAAGCAAGCAAGCCAGGTGGGGTGGTACATGTCTGTAGTCCTAGCTACTCAGCAGGCTGAGGGGGAGGAGCATCAGAGCCTGGGAAATCAAGGCTGCAGTGAGCTGTGATCACTCCACAGCACTCCAGCCTAAGCAACACAGTGAGACTGTCTCAAAAAAAAAAAAAAAAAAAAAAAAAAAGGTAAAAATAAAAACTCAAGTATATGTAATTTATCTTTTAAAATATAACTTTTTTTTTGAGATGGAGTCTTACTCTGCTGCCCAGGCTGGAGTGCAGTGGCATAATCTCCACTCACTAAAACCTCCACCTCCTGGGTTCAAATGATTCTCCTGTCTAAGCCTCCCAAGTATCTGGGATTACAGGCACATGCCACTGTGCCTGGCTAATTCTTATATTTTTAGTAGAAAAGGGGTTTCACCATCTTGGCCAGGCTGGTCTTAAACTCCTGACTTAAGGTGATCTACCCACCTCGGCCTCCCAAAGTGCTAGGATTACAGCCGTGAGCCACTGTACCCAGCCAAAATATCTTAATTTTTAAACAGTCAATAAAAGTTTCATTAATAAAGTTATGTTTCAAATGTTTTCTTTTGAATCAACTGCAGTTTATATATGGTGATATATTTTCAACGTCCTCTAAATAAATTCAAAGGATTCTAAAATATCAAGACGGCACATAAACAGTGCTTAAAGGGAAATCAGGTATAAAGTGGTTTTCCAATGTTCCAAATCAGCAGCATAACCAGAAAACTAGATCTTTTAACATGCAGGTCACAGTCAAGGGCAAAGAAGAGACCGTGTTGGGTTTCACAGGAATCTATCATTCGAAACTAGCAAGGTGAAACAAATGCTCTGAAAGGTACCTTGTGTGCTGAATTTCACTAAAAGCTCCAGTTTTCAATAAAAAGCAAACAGACATTCAACTCAGGTCTTGGCTGACAGTGGCATTTATCATCAGCGGTAGTAGCATCCTCAGGGATTTGCACATGGTTCCCAACATGAGGCTGCTAGACACTTAGAGGACCACAAAGGGAGTCTAGAAACCATTCTAAACATGTCAAAAAGCCTACAGAAAAACATACATTTACTCTTATAAAGATATTTGAGCTAATTAAAATGCCTATACTGTTTACTTTGGGTTGGAACAATATTAAATCAATATAGTGCTAAAACTTTATTCTTCTTAATCAGAAGCTCTGGACAGCCTATGTGTCTTTAATCCTAGTAAGAACTGGGCAAACTGACTACATAAACATCATTTTTCTTCTTTTATTTTTGAGATACAGTCTTGCTCTGTTGCCAGGCTGAAATGCAGTGGTGCAATCTTGGCTCACTGCAACCTCTGCCTCCTGGCTTCAAGCAATTCTCCTGCCTCAGCCTCTTCAGTAGCTGGGACTACAGGCGCCCACCACCATGCCCAGATAATTTTTGTATTTTTAATAGAGATGGGGTTTCACCATGTTAGCCAGGATGGTCTCAATCTCTTGGCAGTGTGATCCGCCTGCCTCAGCCTCCCAAAGTGCTGGGATTATAGGTGTGAGCCACCATACCTGGCCAAATATCATTTTTTTTCTAAGAAAGTCTTTAAGACATGGTGTTTTCAGGGAAGGGAATAGAGACTGATCTCCAATGATGGGAAAAACTGAGCACCAATGTATTAATGAAATCCTATAAAAACAATAGGCAAAAACCAAATTTATTGATAAATGCAAAAATTTTTTTCTGTCTGTTTTCTTAAAATTAGAGTGATGTCTGGGTAAACTGAATGAAAGCAGATAATTTTAATATTACAACTAGGTGTCTATTTCTAAAAATGCCTGAAGTGGTTACTAGTATGAGAGAGAAATAATTATATTAATTTAAAAAAACTAGTAACAAAATAAAAAGCATTTCTTTTTGTCCTTATTCTTTTTTTTTTTGAAACAGTTTCCCTCTTTTGCCCAGGCTGGAGTACAATGGTGCAATCTTCACTGACTGCAACCCCTGCCTCCTGGATTCAAGAAATTCTTGGGCCTCTGCCTCCCAAGCAGCTGGGAATACAGGTATGCATAACCATACCCGGATAACCTTTTGTATTTTCAGTTGAGACGGGGTTTCGCCATGTTGCCCAGGCTGGTCTCGAACTCCTGGCCTCAAGTGATCCGCCCGCCTTGGGCTCCCAAAATGTTGGGATTACAGGTCTAAGCCATGCCCAGCCTCTTTTTGTCCTTATTCCTAATGCAGTTTTGGGTTCATTTAACCAGGCTATTATTGCTCTGCTAGTGTTATCTAAGTGTCCATGAGATTCTTCAGGGAGAGAGAGACAGAATCAAATCAAATACACTGGAATAATGAAGTATAGAAATACATACCAATCCATACAGCATTTCATACAGCACAGCACCAAGGCACCACCAATCCACAGTATTGTCATAGGGCTGTTTTCTAATTACTTCAGGTGCAAGGTACTGTAGAAAAGAATATAATATTAGATCAACTTGGTAACAAAATTTATAAATAATTGAGAAATTTAACAATCATTTGAGGTGTTGCTATCATACTAAAACTAAAGTATCAAGATTTTCAGTGGGTTGGGTATTCTCATGCTACACCAGTGGTTCTTAGGTAAGGTCCACTAGGATACTTCAAAATACACATATTCTGCATTTTTCCTTGGAAACTGTGATGCAGTTAAATAAAAGAGTATAGCAAAGGTAGACTCTATAATAGTAGGTAAAGTAGGTATTTGTGGAGAAAGTCTTTCAAATATTATTTTAGAAGTTCATTTGGTTATTATTCATATTTTCCTCTTAAATAAATAATTTTTATTTTTGAGACAGGATTACTCTGTTGCCCAAGCTGGAATGCAGTGGCACAATCACAGCTCATTGAAGCCTTGACCTCCTGGGCTCCGGTGATACTCCCACCTGAGCCTCCCAAGATGCTGTGACTACAGGCATGTGCCACCACACCTGGCTAGTTTTTTTTATTTTTCATAGAGATGGGGGTTTAGTCACGTTGCCCAGGCTGGTCTGGAACTCCTACATTCTTAATGTAGGAAATCTGCCTACATTCTTAATGTAGCAACTATAATCTTTTTTTTTTTTTTTTTTTTTTTTAGTAAAAGTAAAAAGAATGAATTGCATTCTCATTTAAGAATTATAAATGAGAATATATATAATTATTGTTATATATTAACAATAATTAATATATTGTTGCCCAGGCTGGAGTGCAAAGGCGCAATCTCGGCTCACTGCAACCTCCGCCTCCTGGGTTCAAGCAATTCTCCTGAGTGGCATAATATTTTAACTATGAAAATACAGAGAATCAATTCTCTAACATATTATTTGGAAAACTTGTGTAAGTTTCAGATGTCTATTTATATTTTAATTTGTAGGAAATTTAGACTCATCGCAACTTAACACAACTAAGACATGTCTTACATCTAAGACAGTAAACCTGAATTTTACATTCCAAAATATATTACCTCTTCACATATGAAATACATGTAAGAAAACAATTTCCTCATAAGCCTTTTTTAAGTGACTTGAATAAATGGCAAAAAAATATATATATTTATATATTACATATTTTATATATATTACATATATTTATATAGTTATATATATATTATATATAGTTTATATGTATTCTATATATATAGAATATATATATATTTTTTGAGACAGAATTTCGCTCTTGTTGCCCAGGCTGGAGTGCAAAGGTGCGATCTCGGCTCACCGCAACCTCCACCTCCTGGGTTCAAGCAATTCTCCTGAATGGCATAATATTTTAACTATGAAATCAACAGACAATAACAAAAAATGTTTCTTCATACATAAACCAAAACAGAATGGTTACAAATATATACAAGAGCTAGGGTTAGACAGGAAAAAAGGAAAAGCACATTTCAAGGTGAATATTTGTTACTTAGAGATACTTTTAGTTAAGTTTCTGAACTCAATTAGAAGCCATTTTCTCACATATTTTCAACATTGTATTTTCAAGGATGCCATGATAAAGATAAAATATTACATGGTACCTGAAATCATTATAAATACCTTGGAATTAGAATAGTTTAAAATAAACTAAACTTGTTTATGTGTGTGAAGTAAGAATAACAAAGCTTTCACATGAATTATAAGGATGATTACTATTGTCACAAATACTTTTTTCTTTTTTTTTTTTGCTAGCTAATATTATTAGAAAATGCAATGTGGGATGTTCTAGTTAAATTCTTATTTGTGATTTTTTTTTCCACATCCATTGCTTTATTCTCTTCTGGTAAGTAAACAATTTTATTACAAAAGATTTCAAGCATATAAAAAAATTCAGAGAAACCAATAAACTGCAACTGAGATACAGTCAAGTGTTAATATTTTGCCATATTTGCTTTAGCTTTTTTGGAGATGGGGTCTTGCTCTGTCACCCAGGCTGTAGTACAGTGGTGCAATCCCAGCTCACTGCAACCTCTGTCTCTCAGGTTCAAGCAATTCCCCTGCTTCAGCCTCCCAAGTACATGGGACTACAGGCACGTGCCACCATGCCCGGCTATTTTTGTGTTTTTAGTAGAGACAGGGTTTCACCATGGTGGTCAGGATGGTCTCGATCTCCTGAACTTGTGATCCACCTGCCTCGGCCTACTGAAGTGCTGGGATTACCAGGCGTGAGCCACCATGCCCAGCCACTTTAGCTCATTTTTTAAAAGAAAAACAGCTTTGTTAAAATAATCACATATCATACAATTCACCCATTTAAAGTGTGTGATTCAATGTTGTTAACATATTCACAGAAAGAACACTTTCATCACTAAGTTATGATTTTTTAATTAGAAATATAATTTTCTAAAAACAAAAACAAAAAATATAATTAAATGTGTAAGAAAATCTAAAGTAAACTTTTAACATTAAAAACAAATAAATATAATTTATCTTTGTCGGATTATTCAAAAGGGTCTTGCAGTATCTAACAATCACAGTTAAAAATACCTAACTACCAAGGCATAATTATCAGATATTTCCAGCTGGCTGGGAGCTGAAATGACAGTTTTTATTCTACTTTTCTTATTTTAAATTTATATATGCAATTTGTACTTCATATTTGCATTTTATACATGATTACATGAATGACAAATGAGATATATTTCTTACCTCTGGTGTCCCACAAAATGTGGTAGTGGTGTCAGAAATAGCAATTCCTTCTTTGCAAAGCCCAAAATCTGTTAAGACAACATGTCCCTGACAAATACAGGGGCAGTAAGATAAAACAACGCATAAATATGAATTGACAATTTTTCAGTATTTCTTTTTTTTTTGAAACAGAATCTCACTCTGTTACCCAGGCTGAAGTACAGGGGTGTGATCTTGGCTCACTGCAACCTCTGCCTCCTGGGTTAAAGTAATTCTCACGCCTCAGTTCCCTGAATAGCTGGGACCACAGGCGTGTGCCACCTGGCTACTTTTTGTATTTTTAGTAGAGACGGTGTTTTGCCATGTTGCCCAGGCTGGTCTAGAACTCCTGACCTAAAGTGATCTGCCCACCTCGGCCTCCCAAAGTGCTGGGATTATAGGTGTGAGCCACCACACTTGGGCTATAAACTGACAATTTTTAAAACGCTTTATTTGAGCGTAATTATAGATCCACATAAAATTGCAAAATAGTATACAGAAGAAATTGTCACTGGTACAATACCAGTGTCAACCAGACTGTCAACCTTATTCAGTTTTCCCTTTTTACATGCATGCTTTGTGTGTGTGTGTAGCTCAATGAAATACAGATGTGTAGATTCATGTAATGACCACCACAATCAAGACACAGAACTGTTCACCTGCAAAGGAACTCCCTCGTGTGACTCCTTTATCTTGCACTCTATATCCCCTTGGACCCTGTCAACCACTAATCTGTTCTCCAGCTCTACAGTTTTGTCATTTTGAGAATGTTATATGAATGAAATAACAAGGTACATAATCTTTGAGACTTTTTTTGCACTAAGCATAAAAACAACAACCAAAATTGAGAAGTAGTAGATTTTTAAAAGGGAATACTTACCACTGAATCCAAAAGAATATTTTCTGGTTTCAAGTCTCTACCAAATTAAAAGGGAGAAAAAGCAAAACTGAATACAAACTGAAATAAAAAATTCTTATATATAATTTTTACAAGTATATTTAAAAATTGTACCTGTACACTATTTTGATGGAGTGTAAGTAACCCAATGCACTAGCAATTTCAGCAGTATAAAACCTAGCTCTGTGCTCAGGAAAGGACCGTTCTCTTTGCAAGTGGAAAAAAAGCTGTAAAATTGGTTGGGGGTGGGAGAGAGAGAATGTTAGGATCATTCACACATAGTATTAAACAAATATACTCTGTAAATACAAAGGTAGGAACTGTTTTTTGTTACTTTGAATGTAAGCTAAAAATGTAACAAGGCACATAACGGTAACTCCCCTTTATCCATGTCCCCTATCTAACAATCATTCTCTCTCTTCAACCAGGTGTCTTTGTTTACCCTTGCTAATGTCACTCATCATCTCCCATTTACTACTCAATGCAGTCATGTCCTCACCCTTCCAGGCAACTGCTCTGGAAAAGATTATCAATGAAGACCAACAATCTTGATATTGCCATGTAATTATCTTACAGGGCCTTTCTGGACTATGTTTTCCATTTGAAAAAAAACAAACACTATTCAGAAATTCAAAACTAGTGCCCAGCAGAACAAATATAACCCATAGGAAAAAAACATATATATATATCCCATAGATACTAATTTGCCTGAGTCAAAAACTGTTTTTCAAAAAATCTGAATTAGTTGATAACATTAAAAACTGGGAATTTTGAGGTAAAAATTCAGTTTCACTTTGTTTTTTTTTTTTTTTTTTTAAAAAAAGAGAAGCTCTGGCCCATTAGGCCTACATTTCACAGTGGCAGAAACTGGCTGCAGCTAAATAGCAGTTGGACTCTCTAGTTCATTTCTTATACTTCCTAATTTTTAATTTATTTCTTATAATTTGGCTTTTAACTAAGGTTACTGTCTGTGGGAAGTTTCCACTGGATCTCTTGGTTTCTAAGACAATCATCTCCCTTTGAGTGTTGGAGAATTCCAGAAAATGGAGGGATGAGAGAGTTTCTGCCCTTGGTCCACTGTTATTCTTTCTCCAAATACCCTTCCCAGGTAACTTTATCCATGCTGATGATTTTAACCACCAACCTCTATGTTGATGTCTCCTATGTGGACATTACCCAATGATTTTGATGCACAAAATCAATGAAGAAGCTGAGGCTTGCTTATCTGCAAAGTGTCATGAAACTTATTTTATTCTACTTTGCTCTAAAAAATATATGAAGTAGTACACTAAATTAAGTATTCATATGTGAAGGTTAAAATATTCTAAGTATGAACACTGGGGGTAAATAATAATAATAATGTATGGAAACCACACTCCTGCCTCTTCTATCCTTTTTCCTCATCTTTAACCCTTGTCTACCTATTGCCCCACTCAACTTCTCCTCCACCCACCCTGGCATTCTATTATATTTTATTCTCCTTTTTTCATTATCTTGCATCTTTCAGATGACAAGCCTACCTCTTTCAATCTTTGCCACTCAGTTTATGAGCAGTCACTGTATAAAAAGGTCTCAGAAGCAAAGCCCTAAAAGAGCACAAAGAAACCACACATAAAGCAGGAAACCCACAGTAGGAGCTCAGCTGCACTTAGATGCTTCACATGAACATTTCAAAGACACAAGGTGACACTTAAGAATGGGCTCTGCAGTCAAGATATCTAGGTGAAATCCAGGGCCTGACACTTACTAGAACATTGGGTAATTGAGACAGTTATTTAACCTCTCGGAACCTCAATTTTCTAATTAAAATTTCATTAAATGGGCATAATAGTGTTTTTCTGAAAGAGTTGTGATTTATTGATATAATAAATGTAAATTAAATGCAAAGTGCCAGGCCTCAATAAATTCTCTTTATCTGTCAGCACTCAGGAACACACAAAATTAAACGACAACCTTCATGGTGAAAACAGCGGGGGGTCACCAGCATCACTGAATCAGGGGGCCTGGGAGATGCATAATCTTGCTTCTACACTGAAGAGTCTAAACATATATATATATATATTTTTTTTTTTTTTGGACACAGGGTCTCACTTTTTGTCATCCAGGCTGGAGTGCAGTGGTGTGATCATGGCTCCCTGCAGCCGTGACCTCCTGGGCTCAAATTATCCTCCCATCTCAGCTTCCTGAGTAGCTAGGACTATGGAGGCATGCCACCATGCCCAGATAATTTTTGTTATCTTTTTGTAGAGATGGGGGTCTTGCCATGTTGCCAAGGCTGGTCTTGAACTCCTGGGCTCCAGCGATCAACCCACCTTGGCCTCCCAAAATGCTGGGATTACAGGCGTTGAGCCACCACACCTGGCCTTAGGGTGCTAAGGGACTTTTGTCACAGATGTAGAAAAGTGAATAATCATTCTTTTTACAATCTTCCCACAAAATGATCTAGGTGTCTCTGATCATCCTTTAGTTTTGCAGAATATTAACTAATTTTCCTTACAGTTCCTTTATTCTACAGTTAAATGCACTACAATAATGTTGAAATAGTCTTTTTCTGCTCTGAGATTGAAGATCCCTTTGTAAAGACATGACGATACCTATTAGTTAAAATACTTTTTTGACATTAACAGGTCAAAGATCAAATAAATTAGGAAGATGTGAGGGTTGAGAGGTCAGCTAGAATCAGATCCTGGAATCAGGCTGCCTGAGTTCAATCTGACCCTCTGGACAGAAGTAACCACATTACTTCTACAAACTACCTAGCATCTCTGCCACAAGTTTGCCTTACATAATAAGACTGTTGTGAAGGCAAAATTATAAGTACACAGAGCCAGTGATGGACACTAAGTAGTACTCAATGGAAATCATTACTATAATTATTATTATAATAGTAGCATTTCCCAAAGTGTATTTCAATATCCATCTGAATCAGAGTTTTGTGTAATACGTAAGAGACTGGTTAAAACAAAAAAGGGGACTATATAGTTTTAAAAAATTCTCTTAAGATATCCTGGCTTTGAGGAGGTCGAGGCTGCACTGAGCTGTGAGATCACACCATGCACTCCAGCCTAGGTGACAGAGTGAAACTGTCTCACACACAAAAAAAGATATCCTGACTTTAAGGCAGAATTTCTCAAAGTCTTTAACATGCTGAGGCATACTGAGCATCATAAAGAAACAGATATAACAGGAAACATTTCCAAACAGACTTTATCATAAAGGCTTTTTTTTTTTTTAAGAGATGGGGGTCTCATTCTGTTACCCAGTCTTCAGTGCAATCATAGCTAACTGTAGCCTCAAACTCCTGGGATCAAGTGATCCTCCTGCCTCAGCCTCCTGAGTAGCTAGGACTAAAGGTGCAAGACACTGAGCCCAGCTACCACCACCGAACCCCTTATTAGAGGACTATCTCATCTGATTAATAATTTGCACATCTTGGAAAACGAGAAGCTGGAGTAATATTTGTATGCAACTGTTGAGACAACTGCCTAAATTATGTATGATGTTTTATTCTAATATTTCAACATGATATTCTTGCTATATAGTTTAGTGACAAATCTGTCCATGAAGCAAGCAGCTTCATACCAAGGTTCTTTAATGAACCTTCTCAACTATGCCATATGCTTAAAAGCTCTGTTACAATTCTCCACATCCTGCATTGTATTCAGCCAGTACCTTGAATATTATTGATACAAAAAGCTACTGATTTTGTACTGTCCTTCTAAAACTTACAAGAAAAACTTTGAATTCATACTATTTTTCTAAACTATTAATATTAGAAAACTCATTATAAAACTCACCTCCCCTCCATTAACAAAATCCAGAACAAAATAAAGCTTTTCGGCTGTTTGGAATGAATAATGCAACCCAACCAAAAATGGATGTTTCACGTTTTTCAAGAGCACATTACGTTCAGCCATAATATGTTTTTGCTGGAAAAAAGGCAAAAGATCAGTTGTATTATACACTAGAAAACAACTCTCTTAACAGAAAATGGGCTTGGGAGAAACAACAGCTATTTTATTTTACCTCTTTTCTGTTGAGAACTATTTTCTTCTGTAACACTTTGACAGCATAAAATTTTCCATCCAGTTTTCGTTTTGCAAGAAGAACCTGTTATGGTTAAACATTATGTATAGTATTAGAAATTTCAAATTTTGATAGAAATGATTCACTTGTTAATACATCAATACTTCTTAAATTTTGTAGAAAAAAATTCCATAAGGGATGAATTTTTTTTTGTTTTAGAAATCAAGTAGTCAGGCACCATTTCTTTGTCACTCAATGTGTTGATATTTGAGATTTTTTTTACTAAATTTAAGTGCCCAAAATCTATACTGCTTGAGAACTTTGTGTGTGTGTGCACGCATGTGCTCCAGCCCTGAATCCTGGAGACTGCCTGTTGAAAATATTGTTATAAACTTCATGGCTATAATAACAAGGATAAGGAAACGATTTTTAGGTAATAAAAATGTACTGTTTCATACTGAGATTCTTCTTAACAGGTTTTAAATTCAGAAGAGTTCAGAGGAAAATGTTCCATGGATTTCTATAGTGGTCTGGGTCACATGCAGATGCTTTAAAGAATCTGAAGAAATCTAGAGTATCTTGTAGTGGTGCAATTTTGACTCACTGCGGCCTCGACCTCCCCAAGGCTCAGGTGATCATCCTGTCTCAGCCTCCCATATAGCTGGGACTACAGGTGTGTGCCACCATACCTGGCTAATTTTTGTATTTTTTGTAGAGATGGGGTTTTGCCATGTTACCCAGGCTGGCCTCAAACTCCTGGCCTCAAGCGATCCACCCACCTCAGCCTCACAAAGTGCTGGGATTACAGGCGTGAGCCACTGCACCTGGACTGCTTTTCTTTGTTTTATTGTACTTTGTTGGCTTCTAATCATTTTGTAAGATTTTACTTTTCAAATTAAACATATCATACATACAGAAAAACTCGTATCATTATACCTCAATAAATTTTTACAAAGTGAATACACCTATGTAACCAGTACGCAGTTCAAAAAATAAAACACTTCCAGTAGCCTGAAGCCTCTCTTTTGCTCATCCTTCTCCTCCTCAAAGGCAACTACCACCATGTCAACTTGAAATAACAAACATAACTTTTGCCTTTTTGAATTTAATGTAATTAGAATCACATAAATAAAGCTGTCTGTCTTTATTCTTTCACTCTAATTATATAAAATATTCATTCACATGTGGCGCATAGCATAGTTCTCATATTGTCTTTGTTATGCAGAATATTCCATTATATGACACACTGCAATGTATCTACTCTCTTGCTGATATATGTTCAGATTATTTATGAATAGTGATGTTATAAACATTCCTGTATATACATTTTCTAGTGGATATTCATTTACGTTGAATATGTAACTAGGGAGTAGGACCAATGCATATACTCAGTTTCAAGAATTAACACCAATTTTCAACAGCATAAAAAACAAAACACCTAGGAATATATCTAATTGGAGATATGCAAAAATTCTAAACAAAATATCATAAACTGTTATTGGGAAAAAATTAAAGATGAGCTACATTAGTAAAGCAATATACCACGGTCGTGGATTTGACAATACAATATTGTAAAGATAATTCTTCCCAAATTGATCTATAGAGTCAATGCCATCCCAATCAAATTAATAGAATTTTTGCAGAAATTGACATGCTGATTCTGAAATTTATATTCATACGCAAAGGACTAAAAATAGTCTCTTGAAGAGCAAGAAGAAGGGAGAACTTAATTCTGCTGGATATCAAGCTACAGGTGATATGACAATGTGGTACTAGTGCCAGAATAATCAGATAGGCCAATGAACAGAAATGCCATCTAGAAACAGAAATACGTAATTTATAATCTAAAAAGAGGGTGGGCGTGTTAGCTCGTGCTGGTAATCCTAGCACTTTGGGAGGCTGAGGAAGGCAGATCACTTGAGGTCAGGAGTTGAAGACCAGCCAGGCCAATGTGGTAAAACCCCCATCTTCACTAAAAATTCAAAACTTAGCTGGGCATGGTGGTGCATGCCTGTAATCCCAGCTACGTGGGAGGCTGAGGCAGGAAAATTGTTTGAAGCTAGGAGGCAGAGGTTGCAGTATGCCAAGATGGCTCCATTGTACTCGGCACTCCAGCCTGGGTAACAGAGTGAAACACTGTCTCAAAAAAAAAAAAAATCTAAAAACAGATGTGTGAAGGTATAAATAGTGAATACATAAAAAAGGTGGCCCTGCATATCAGGTGGGTCATCAGATAGGGAAAGAACAGTTTTTACAAACTGTATAGGATCAGCTGGTTATCTATATGGAAAAAGATGAACTGTACCGCTATGCCTCACATTATACGTAAGAACCAAATCCTGATAGATTCTAGATCTAAACATGAAGTTTCCAAAATATCCTTTTTTTTTTTTTTTTTTGAGATGGGGTCTTGCTACGTTTCCCAGCCTGGTCTTAGACTCCTGAACTCAAGTGATCTTCCTTCCTCAGGGTCCGGAGTAGCTAGGATTACAGGTATGTGCCACAATGCCCGGCTCAGATAATGCTTCTGTTTTTAATGACAACTATCTCTAGCATTCCAATAGAATTTTGGGCATTTTGAGAGCAGGATTCATTTCTAACTTTCTATTGCTTATACTAGCAGATGGATAATATATATTTGCTGAGTGAATAAACACACATGGGTTTAATTGCAGAGCCACAGTTTCTAGTCTCAAAGAAACTCAGAAAACAAATTAGAGTTACCAAAAGCTACAAATATAGCAAAATATAATTAAACACATACATATTCATTTTTACTAAAGACTGAAGTGCTGTGCAAAATAACACTTAAATATATTCAATGATTCTGGTAACTTCATCTACGATGCTTTCTTTAACCTTGGCCTTAAGTGATTCTCCTTCCTTGGTATGGCTATACTGTCAAGGTTACAGGATTCATCTGACACCATAAGAAAATAAGCAGGGTCTTTATACATTCATTTCCTTCTCAAACTGTTATTTACACAGCTGTTCATTTTTGTCTTTCTAGCTTCAGCTTAAATAGCATGTCTTCTGAGAAGCTAAGTGGGAATCTTCTTCAGCTACCTATTGTCCTTTTCCTGCACAGCTATTATTATTTGCACTTATTTACTTGACTGAATATTTTTAACTGACTACTCCCCCCACCCTAGATTATAAGCACCATAAAGGTAGTAACCATGTCAATTTCCGTAATTTTCTAATCAAGGCCCAGTAGGGTACCTGGTACACAGTAGGTGCTCAACAAATACCTTCTGAAGTAAGTGAACTTTATTTCAGAATTTGAGTAGACACCATTTCTCTCTAATTATTGTTAGTATTTTGAGGGTAGAGAAAGTATGTTAATTCCATATCCTGCAACCAAAAAGTCCTGTGGCTCACACACATAAAACATGCATTCCTTAAGTACATACTTATTGAATGAGAAAATAAAAATACTTTAGGCTGGGTGTGGTGGCTCACATCTGTAATCCCAGCACTTTGGGAGGCGAAGGTGGGAGCATCACTTGAGGAAATTTGAGACCAGCCTGGGGCAACAGAGCAAGGCCCTGTCTATAAAACAATAAAAAAATTATCTGGGTGTGGTGGTGTGTGCACAGCCACTCAGAAGGCTGAGGTGGGAGGATGGCTTGGGCCCAGGAGTGGGAGGATGGCTTGAGCCCAGGAGTTCAAGTGTGTTATGATTGCACCACTACACTCCAGCCTGGACAACAGAGCGAGCCCGTCTCTAAAAAACCAAAAATCAAAACCAAACAAAAACCTCACAAAACACTCTTACCTTGCCAAAGCTGCCTTTTCCAATAACTTTTAAGAAATCAAAGTCAGTTGGTTTGGCACTGAAATAAATTAACAATAAGAATTAGCCTCCTAGAAATTGGAAAGATTAACTTTTAAACATTTCTTAGCACTTCATTCTTTATAAATAAATGTTGGGCACAGAATACTTCAGCATACGAACTCCAGCTTTCCTGCTGAGTGTCTCATCTTTCATATACAATAGGTAGCATGAATAGTAATATCTACTTTCTGATTAGACAAAACATTTCCTAACTTTATTTAAGCCTCATTAAGTTCTGCTTAAGAGGAACTTCAATAATACTTCTTTGGGAGAAAAGATACATGCATAGCCTACATGTAGAGTTTTGAACTCAAAATACCTTCTATCTAAACCAATTTTACATGACCTGGTGTTGTTGAGGAAACTTAGTGATACATTCTAAGGACTATATATAGCATATGAGGTAATTCTGAAAATGAAGTTGCTAGTTGCAATACCTAATAAAGTTCCTAAGAATAATTTATGATGAATAAAAAAGTCATTACGGTGTTTCACATATAAATCACTTATTGAAAGATAGAAGAATTCTCAGCTTATTCTCATGGATGGTAGGTAACATAGGAAAGCCAGGAACAGAAAAGCCAGAGGGAATACTAAGGCTGCCCTTTTATTTCTGTTGGCCTATCAGGTAAAAATAGCATTGGCTGTTATGTAGACAAAAACACATGACAGCAGAAAGGGGAGCTTAAGCAGCCAGAAGAGCCGTTTCTCCAAGACGGTCTGAATTCTTAAGTTGTACGGGAAGAAGGGAATAAATCCATTTAGATTTGAAATTTGCTTCATTATCAAAAGAAAGTTAATTCAAACATGAGAGTAAAACCAGGACTAGGTTAAATAATGACAGGTAAAGATTAGTGAGATAAACACTTAGCTATATTTAGATGTTTTTTCTTCTTCAAAAACCTGCTCTTTGGAGTATTTTCTTCTTTAAAGATATGCAGAGGTACTGAATTAACTTTGTAAACAAATCTAACAGGGAAAAACATGCAGACCCCTCAAACATAGTAAATAGGCGAACTGAGGCCATACTCCAAGCCCCATTGTTAACTGCTAGGGATGAATCTTAACTTAAAGCAAATTTCCATTTTTTGGCCAGGCATGGTAGCTCATGCCTGTAATTCCAGCACTTTGGGAAACTGAGGCAGACAGATCACCTGAGATCAGCAGTTCAAGACCAGCTGATGGTGAAACCCCATCTCTACAAAAATACAAAAATTAGCTGGGCATGATGGCGGGTGCCTGTAATCCCAGCAACTCAGGAGGCTGAGGTGGAAGAACTGCTTGAATCCAGGAGGTGGAGGCTGCAGTGAGCCAAGATCACACCATTGCACTCTAGCCTGAGTGACAGAGCAAGACTCCATCTCAAAAAAAAAAAAAAAAATTGATTTTTTGTGCTGCCACTTTTGTTCATGATGCTATGAACAACAGAATAGAATGCTCCAACCAAACTTCCAGTTAGCATCCTATTTATTTGCTTTCCTTTGAGGCAAAAATTCTTCAAGTAAGTTTTATAAATTTGTTGTCTCTACCTGCTGTCCTCTCCTCTGGTTCTCTTGTGAACCCTTTCTGATCAGGGTCTCATACTAACAATCACATCATTGAAATTGCTCATTAAAAGTCACCAATGACTTACGAAATCCAGGGGTCAATTTTCAGTCTTCATCTTACTTGCCCTATCAGCAGCATTAACAGAGACAACTCCCTCCTCTTTCAGACACTCTTTCCCTGACTTCAGGAAACCATATTCTTGGTTTTTCTCTCATCTTACTGACTGCTCTTTCTCAATCTCTTGTTAGTTCTTTCCTGACCTCATAATGTTGAAGTGTCCCAGGACACAGTCCTTGGACCACTTCTCCCATCTGCCTATAATCATTCTCCAACTAGAGCAAAAGGGTAGAGAGAGCCTAGAATTAAAAAACCCTTCAGAATAAATGTAATATGCCTGTAAGGATAATTACAAGTAAGGGCAGCAACACTAAATTCCTTCTCCAAACCATGGTAGACATTACAAATCAATTAGTCTGGGAATATGGGGAGAAACTGGGTAAACAAAGTTTAATAGGCTTTAATATGCTAATGTCCATGATGACTCCTCTTGAACAAGTTGGTTAAGAACTGGAGTACGTCAATCAGACCAAACACCAGCAGAATGTCAATTAAGCCCTGCAAGAGTGCTTTTTTTTTTTTCCAGAAGACCTCATAAGACTTATGGTCCCTTGGGAATACACACACACACACACACACACACACACACACACACACAGAGAGAAAAGTGATAATGAAAAAACAGCAGAACCCAATTAACAATTTGTGGATTAAAAACTCCTCAGTGTTCTCCTAAAGCAATGAAAAGCTGGAGCAGTAAACTAGTCAAGCATATGACAGGACTGTATTCACTATAACTATGGTTATATTTCAAAGGCCTCCAGTTAAATTAATGTAATTATACATATCTGCATACTCTCAAAAAAGATATTCCTAAAATTCAGTTAAAGAATTGTTTGAAACAAATTAAACATACTGAGGATTTCCAGATGGTCCCAAGTTGATGTTCTGTGAGGTAGAGTGTAGCTGTTAAGATGGGGAAGAAAACAACATTCTTATTGGAGCTTCAAAAATTGTTAATTAATGTTTTGAAAAACATTTATAACTGTACCACAAATATTTGGTTTGCTGCCATGTTAAAGAAACCCAAGATTCTGATTCTCAGTAAGGGTATAGACTTACTTGGAAATACACATAATTGGCAAAAACATAATCATTTTTATCACGGTAATTTTCAAGAGCGTTTGTAAGAAAAAAGGTAAGCCAGAAATCAAGCTCTAAGTAGGCAAATGAATGAAATAAACTGAGGAAAGCTCTTTGGAAGAGGTAGGCATTGAAACCGCAATTTAAGAGGGATCACTTTTTAAAAAACTGGTTAAAAACGGCTTTTGATTTTTCAAGTTTTCAAATAGGTTATCAAAGACAGAAATGATAGGATGATGACAATGATGATCGCAAATGCCAGATTTTCAGTTTTAATTTGATGGTAGGTAAATGCAGATGAAGCAAAGATAGACAGCACTGCTTTTCTTTCTAGTTCTAGCACTGTGGTAGCACCAAAATTTTACATAGGCCTTTCTCTTTTGTAACAGTTAACAAAGTAAGCGTAAGCCTTGGTATTAATTTAGAAGTAAATCTTTATTTACCTAGTATGCTATAAAGAAATTTAAGTAATAAAATATTCTAGTTCATTAATAATTAGTTAAAATTTTAACTCAAAAATACCAGATTAATCTAGTGATCCTATCAAAGTGGGCATTTTATATAAATGCCAAGTATAAGTAAATTCCGCTTCACATAAATGAACTTTAAACTCTCTATACATTCAGATAATTAAATCAGTTATAAATGTTTCAAATATGTATACTTTTACTAGTGTTCTGTATAAATTATACTTCATATAAACTATACATGCAAAAAAGCTTTTAAAAACTTCTCTAATCAGAAGAAATAAATATTTCTTTTTGAGATGGAGTTTTATTCTTGCTGCCCAGACTGGAGTGCAATTGCGCGATCTCGGCTCACTGCAACTTCTACCTCCTGGATTCAAATGATTCTCCTGCCTCAGCCTCCAGAGTAGCTGAGATTACAGGCAGCTGCCACCATGCCTCTCTACTTTCTGTATTTTCAATAGAGAACAGGGTTTTGCTATGTCGACCAGGCTGGTCTCAAACGCCTGACCTCAGGTGATCAACCTGCCTTGGCCTCTCAAAGTGCGGGGATTACAGGTGTGAGCCACTCCACCCAGCCAAGAAAATCTTACTTCATCAAATTTCTTATGGTAGATATATGTAATATACATTTTTACTTAAATTCATTTCAAATTTATAATCTCTAGAATATAAACTATTTTTTAAAATAAAGGGAAATAATCTCAGCCTTCAAAAGTTCTTAAAAAGTTTCTGGCTGGGAGCGGTGACTCATGCTTGTAATTCCAGCACTTTGGGAAGCCTAGGTGAGCAGATCACCTGAGATCAGGAGTTCGAGATCAGTCTGCCCAACATGGTGAAACCCCATCTCTACCAAAAATACAAAAATTAGCTGGGCCTGGTGGCGGGCACCTGTAATCCCAGCTATTCAGGAGGCTGAGGAAGGAAAATTGCATGAACCCATGAGGTGGGGGTTGCAGTGAGCCAAGATAGCGCCACTACATTACACCCTGGGTGACAGAGCGGGGCTCTGTCTTTTTTTTGTTGTTGTTGTTTACACCTTAAGTTCCCATTAATTCCAGTAGGGGCTGCATCTCAAAAAAAAAAAAAAAAAAAAAAGAAGAAGAAAAAAAAGAAATTTCTTATGAAAAAAAATTGGCACCTGCATTATAGTTACAATTCAAATTTATTTCCTATTGTTATACCTATACATAAAAAATGCATTAAATGAGATTAGTCCTGTTGTGGCATAATTTTAACCTAACAATAGCCTTTTATGTTTAAATATTACAGTGCCCGCCACTTTTTTTTTTTTTTTGAGACAGAATCTCACTCTGTCACCAGGCGTCAGGCTGGAGTGCAGTGGCATGACCTTGGCTCACTGCAACCTCTTCCTCCCGGGTTCAAGCAATTCTCCTGCCTCAGCCTCCCAAGTAGCTGGGACTACAGGCACGTGCTACCACACCCAGCTAATTTTTTTGTATTTTTAGTAGAGACAGGGTTTCAACATGTTGGCCAGGATGGTCTCGATCTCTTGACCTTGTGATCCGCCCGCCTCAGCCTCCCAAAGTGCTGGGATTATAGGTGTGAGCCACCGTGCCCGGCTACAGTGTCCTTTTCTACTAAGAAACTGCTATGAAGGCTGGGCACGGTGGCTCACACCTGTAATCCCAGCACTTTGGGAAGCCAAGGCAGGCAGATCATGAGGTCGAGAGATCGAGACCATCCTAGCCAACATGGTGAAATATTTTGTCTTTACTAAAAATACAAAAAAGAGCTGGGCATGGTGGTGCATGCCTGTAGACCCAGCTACTCAGGAGGCTAAAGACAGGAGAATCACTTGAACCTGGGAGGGAGATGTTGCAGTGAGCCAAGACTGCACCACTGCACTATAGCCTGGAGACACAGCGAGACTCCATCTCAAAAAAAAAAAGAAAAGAAAAAAGGAAACTGCTATAAAATAATCAAAACAAATAAATAATAAAAACAGAAGAAAAAAATAAATATTTCAATGTTCCATACACTCTTACAATGTAATTCAAAGTGAGCTATAATTTCAGTGCACTTATTTTTAATGAATGTGCAGATAACTGGTTTAATTTTCCATTCAATAAATTTTTCTTATAAAGATGAAGGAAGATAGCCAGGCACGGTGGCTCATGCCTGTAATTCCAGCACTTTGGGAGGCTGAGGCAGTTGGATCACAAGGTCAGGAGTTTGAGAGCAGTCTGGCCAACATGGTGAAACCCTATCTCTACTAAAAATACAAAAATTAGCTGGGGATGGTGGTGGTTGCCTTTAATCCCAGCTATTTGGAAGACTGAGGGAGTAGAATTGTTTGAACCCAGGAGGTGGAGGTTGCAGTGAGCTGAGGTCGTGCCATTGCACTCCAGCCTGGGCAACAGGGAGAGCCTCCATCGCAAAAAGAAAAAAGATGAAGGAAGAGGATTAAATATAGTGCAGATTAAACAACATGAACAACTTGTCCCCTGAAGTATGTTAATATGTAATTAGATTTTATTATTTAGGCAAGGATTTCCTAATGGAGCACATTTCTGAAATGATGTAAATTATTGGGATATATAATTAGACAATTTTTCACTCTACTTACTATTTTTGAAGACAATATCTAGTCACTAAATTGAAGGTGAGGTACAATTTATTAATAGAATTAACACTAGTTGAGATCATTTATGTTTCTTGACATCCCTTGGCCTCTATTTTTCTCTTTATAAATAAGGGGGTAGGTCCAGATGCCCTTTAAAATATTCCAGCTAGGAATTCACTTAGTTATTTACTTCAAAGTTCTTAAGAAATAGTTACAATTATATGACAAAGTATGGCTTTTTCCTTTTTTTAAAGAGATTCTTTTTATCATTATTTTAAAACCTCAAGGGATTCTAGTTTCAGACGTTATGGATGAAAAAAGAAAAAAGGAACAAAACTCAGATTTAAAGCCAACAGTGGCAGAACCCAGAAATCTCTCAGTTTGGTTCTGTCTTCAAGGCCAGTTGTCTACCATTGCAAGGCAAGATATTCTTCAAATGACCTAAACCTACAAAGTCTCACATGAGTAGCAAGCAAAACATGGAAAATCTTGGTTATATAGATTTTAATCTTTAAAATATTACTTGAATAGACTCTTTTTCAATTAGAAATATTAAGAGTTGGAAAATGTCAAAAATACTAGGAATTATTATTATTATTATTTTTGAGATGGAGTCTCACCCTGTTGCCCAGGCTGGAGTGCAATAGTGCAATCTCGGCTCACTGCAACCTCTGCCTCCCGGGTTCAAGCGATTCTCCTGCCTTAAGCCTCCCAAGTAGCTGGGATTACAGGCATGAAAAAACGTTTTTTAAAGTACATATAACCTTACCAATATATAATTTTGGAAATATTTACACTACTTTCATATAGGTTTTGCATATTTTTAAAAACTGATTGTAAATCATACTGTGTGAATATGTATTTAAGTTTTAAATACTGATTTCACTTAACAGTATGTCAAAGCTTAACATCTGATCTTCAAAAATAATTTAAAATGTATAATAACACTAAATGGTGAATATTAAGGTCGAGTCTAATAGTGTTTTTAACAGATCATACTGAAATAAACATCTTTTGCTTTTTTCTGTGGGGATTATTTCATTTGCACCAATTCCTGATGTGAACATTTTTATATTTGATAAGTATTTCTGAATTGCTTTCCAAAAGAGTTGCATAAAATTATGACATCAGTGATGACCAAGGGTGTTTGTTTTACCTAACCTTATTGTTACCAGTTCTGCAATATTTTATTTACTTTACATTTTTGTTAATTTGATAGAGCAATAAAATCTAAGATGTTCATTTGCTAATAGCATCAAGGTTGAACATTTTCCTCTATATTTTTTACTGAGTATTCCTTCATGTCTCATTTCCTTTAACTATTATGGTATCAAGTACCATTCGTTTTAAAAACCCATTTGTATAAGCTTCTCACACAGACGCTATTTCTTCTTATGCCTTATTAAAAATGTTTTCACAGTTTGTTGTTTCTCTTTTGACCAGCTATACAGATTTTTTTTTTAAAGCTTTTTACATTGTACTAGAAGCAACCATGTCACAGATGCAAAGATTACATTTATTCTCTTAACTGAGAATCCTCTTGGGGCATCATAGAAGAAAAATTACTACTTTCCAGTAGTCACACACACACACAAAAATGTCTTTTTTCCAAATGAGGATTTTAGCCCTGGGATAGTAATATTTCAATGCACAATATTATCTTTTAAATAACAAAAACAGAACCATAACAAAATGAAAAGGTATTATAAAGAAAAACTGTGTTTCAACCCATCATCTCTGATTTTCATGTATATATTTAAAGACAGTTATTTAAAAGTTTGAATTATGTCCTGAAATACTACAGGGAAAATAAGAAAAAAAAATTTGAATTATGAAAATATATTTATAATATTTATAATTGCTGCATAATACTTTGAGTTAAATTATTGCAATTTACCTCTCCCACATAACTTTCTAAGGTAAATGCTGAAAACATCTTCATAATAAGGCAGAAACTTATTTTACTTATTGCTATCACAATCTACTTTAAAAAACAAGACTGGCCAGGCATGGTGGCTCACACCTGTAAAACCAGCACTTTCGCAGGCCAAGGCAGGTAGATCATGAGGTCTGGAGTTCGAGACGAGCCTGGCCAATAAGGTGAAACCCTGTCTCTACTAAAAATATAAAAATTAACTAGGCATGTTGGAACGTGCCTATATTCCCCACTTGGGAGACTAAGGTAGGAGAATCACTTGAACCCGGGAGGCAGTGGTTGCAGTGGCTACTCAGGAGACTGAGGCAGGAGAATCACTTCAACCTGGGAGGTGGAGGTTGCAGTGAGCTGAGATTGTGCCACTGATTCCAGCATGACAAAGCAAGACTCAGTCTCAAAAAAACCCACAAGACTACCCTGTTGTCTATTAGGAATACATATTGATTATGCACATATATCACAGAAATAAAAGTTAGTTGATTCAACTGGCATATAATGACTGTCCTATATATAAAATCCTGACAATGCAGAGGAAGAGGGATGTAATGTGGTCAAGAAGGCCTTTTCCATTGGCCAAAATTCAAAATAGTTTCAAGTATGGCAATAATGATAACATATAAAGTGAAGAAAACAGAATACAAAATTGTATACACTGTATAATTAAAATTAGGTAACTAAAAAACCCTACATGTTAGAGAAGATTGGAAAGAAAATTACCAGAATGTTAAAATTTTCCAGGTGCGGGTACAATAATATGGGATAATACTTTTCTTTTTACTTACTGTTTTCAAATTTGTCTGATTAACTTGTATTACTTTTTAGTGTAAAAAGTACTCATTCTATATATTTTATAACAATAGTGATCTGTGGGCTGGACATGGTGGCTCATACCTGTAACCCCAGCATTCTGGGAGGCCAAGATGGTTGGATCATTTGAGGCCAGGAGTTTGAGACCAGCCTCACAAACACAGTCAAACTCTATGTCTACTAAAAAGTGCAAAAATTAGCTGGGCATGGTGGTGGGCACCTGTAATCTCAGCTACTAGGGAGGTTGAGGCAAGAGATTCACTTGAACCCAGGAGTTGGAGGTTGCAGTGAGCCAAGATTGCATCACTGCACTCCAGCCTGGGTCTGGAATCTCACTCCAGACAGAATGAGATTCCACCTCAAAAAAAAAAAAAAAGGAATAGTGATCTGTAAGAGGTATATACATTTGTTTTTAAGTGTTCTACACAGTATAAATTCTATTATGGATGAAATTACTTCATTTGAAGTAAGTGTCCTAAAGCCACTAATTTCATCTTTGGGGAATGGTATTTTTTCTATTAAGAAAGACGATTCCTCTTACTACCTTCTGAGAACTTCTTTCATCCTCATCTTCAGATGGATCCGACTGGTGTTTTGGACTATCCATTTGAAGGAATGCTCTGACATCTGGACTAAAAACAAAAACTAACTTTATTATAACTTCAACAGCATTTCTACAGCTTTTGTCCCTTTTAAAATGAAAATTGAAATAGAAATAACTGTATTAGCATTTATAGTAAGAAAGTAAAACAGAATCCATTAATATTCATTATTATAAAAGAAATAAGCAAATTAGTTTTTTGAAAAAAGAGAAACCAACAGATAAATGGGCAAAGATTATCAACAGGCAGTTCATGGAAGAGAAAACCCAACTGGCAAGCAAATTTGTGAAGATGGCCATAACTTCACTAATAATCAGAGAAATAAAAGTTAAAATGATAATGAGATATCATGTTATGTCCATTATCTGGCAAAAGTTAGAAAAACAGATAATATCAAAAGTTGGTAAGAAAACTGGGAAAGAGACATGCTCAAATATTGGTGACAGTGCAGAATGAAGCAACTTTTCTGAAATGCAATCTGGCAGTACTTGGTAACTGTGTATGCATTTTCTCTGGGGCCAGAAATTCAAATTTTAGGGGTAAACCATAGAAAAAATTATGTGCAGTACCAGCAAAAGGCATGTAACTATGATGTTCATTGTAGCATTTTCTGTAACAGTGAATTAGAAGCAACATACGCATTTATCACCGGGGAAATAAATAGCATCGCACCATTTATATATACATTAAATACTCAGAGACATGAAGCATCAGCCTGTTTACTAAAGATACACAGATATGTAAGGACATATATCAAACACATTAAAGTGGGTATCAAGAGGGGGGATGAAGAAATGGCTATGAAGATCAAGGATGAAGAGAAAAAAATAAACTAAAGTTAGAGATGGGCCACACATGAACTCATGACCAGTATGGGAAATCATTAAATCTCCATACCTGGCACCCTCTCCTCAGTTTGTTCTTAATTATTTAATCAAATAATATACATTCTTCATAGGAAACTCAAAAGATGAGAAATTATTTTTAAAAAGAGGAGGACTTAGTCAGGAGTGATGGCTCATGCCTGTAATCCCAATACTCTGTGAGGCTGAGGTGGGAGGATGACTTGAGGCCAGGAGTTAGATACCAACCTGGGCAACACAGCAAGACTCTATCACCACAAAAAATAAAAATAAAAAACTCAGGAATGATGGTGTGCACCTGTTATCCTAGCTACTCAGGAGGCTGAGGCAGGAGGATCACCTGAGCACAGGAGGCTGAGGCTGCAGTGAACCAAGATTGCACCACTGCATTCCAGCCTGGGTGACAAAGAAAGAACTTGTCTCTAAAAGCAAAAAAAGAAAGAAAGAAAAATAAATATAAAAAGAGCTGGGACAGTGTAAATGTAAAACAGTATAGTCACTGTGGAAAAGAGTTTGGCTGTTCCTTAAAAAATTAAATACAGAGTTACCTTATGACCCAGCAATTCCAAACTTAGGCAAGACCCAAAAGAAATAAAAGCATATGTTCACATAAAAACTCACACATGATTCCTCATAGCAGCATTATTCATAATAGCTAAAAAGTGGAAATATCCCAAATGTCCACCAATAGATGAATGGATAAACAAAACGTGGTGTTATCCACACAATGGACTATTACAGCTATAAAAAGGAATGGAGAGTGCTAACACGTGCTATAACATGAATGAACCTCAAAAACATTATGCTAAGTGAACAAGGGCAAAAAAATAAAGTCACCTACCGTATAATTTCATTTTAATAGGCAAATCCATACAGACAGAAAGTAAAACAGTGGATGCCAAGGGTTGGGGGAAGAGAGAATTTAGAGGTACAGTTTTTTTTTTAGGGGGATGAAAATGTTAGATTAGATTTCGGGTGACAGAATTAGTGATGATGGTTTTAAAGCATCGTGAATATGCTAAAACCTACTGGGCCAGACGTGGTGGCTCACACCTGTAATCCCAGCACTTTGGGAGGCTGAGGTGGGCTGATAACAAGGTCAGGAGTTCAAGACCAGCCTCATCAATATAGTGAAACCCTGTCTCTACCAAAAATACAAAAATTGGCTGGGTGTAGTAGCATGCACCAGTAGTTCTAGCTTCTCAGGAGGCTGAGGCAGGAGAATCTCTTGAACCCAGGAGGTGGAGATTGCAGTGAGCCATTGTACTCCAGTCTGGGTGACAGAACAAGATTCTGTCTCAAACAACAACAACAATAACAACAAGAAGCAAAAAACAAAGAAACTACTGAATTGTACACTTTAGAATAGTTTAAATGGTGAATTTTTAACTTATTAAAGAAGATTTATAAAACGTAGGGGTAGGGATTTTCAATCTTACCACATAGAAGCAACCACTAGTAACATTTTGGCATATTTTATTTCAGTCTTTTTCTCTGCACATTTAAGATTACATTACATTGAAACTTGAATGTTTTTACTTTACAATTACATCATAAGCATTTGTAAACAATCACTTTTGATGGATGCATGATATATAACATGTACTAAAAATTACTCAATGATTCTTCCACTTGAGGGTACGACTTCCAACTTTTCATTACCATAAATTATGCTGCAGTTGATAATCTTTGTGCATAGTATTAGAACTTTTAAGACTTTGAGAACCAATTTTTAAAAATAAAATTACTCATCTGAATTATAAACCATTTTTACAGTATAAAACAAATATAGTTTGTAAAACTGATTTCCAGAGCAGTTGTACCAATTTATACTCTTCTAGCAGTACATGAACATCCCGAAGGCTCTCAGGCTTAGTTAGCATTAAATGTTACATTTTATATTAACATCTTTGACAATTTGATGTGAAAAAATATATATTTTAAAGAGAAAGTACTCAGTATCACTTTCAGTAGTAAGTGAAATGCAAAATTAAAGCAATAATAAGATATCTTTTATACCCACTCACCAGAATGACTAAAATGGAAGACTAACAATACTAAGTGTTAATGAGGTAAGTGTAAGAAATGTAATTTCATACACTGATGTACAACTGGTAAATCACTTTGAAAAATTATTTTTCACTATCCACTAAAGTTAAACATATACATATCCTACAACCCACAAGTTCTACTCCACGATGTATCAGAAATGTTGCCACATGTACACCAAAAGGTATGCTAATGAAAACATTATTTATCATAGTCAGAAAATAGAAATATTAGTATCTCAAAGGCCCGTCAACAGTAGAATGAATCAACTGTGGTATACTCATACAATGGAACATTATATAGCAATGAAAATAAACAAACTGTAGCTACATGTGACAACATGGATGACTCTCACATTGCTGGGAAATAAGCAAGACAGAGAACATAGGCTGTATGATTCCATTTATATAAAGTTCAAAAACAGGGCACACTAATCTATTTTGTTAAAAGTCAGGCTGGTAGTTACCTTTGGAAAAGAAGAAAGAGAGATTGAAAGAGGATGTGTAAGAGATTGCAGGGGTGTTTGTAATATTTTCTTTCTTGGCCTGGGGGGATGATACAATTCAGTTATGTTTACTTCTCATAATTTATTGAGCTATACAGTCCTGATCTGGGCACTTTTCTCTATGTTATACTGCAATAAAATTAAAATAAGGTACTTTGGCTTCCATTTCATTTAAATACATAAGGAAATGTTCAGTTTCTCTGATAATAACCCATTTCCGTGTCGTTTTTTGTGAGCCATTCAATGTGCTTTGTCCTTCTTTTTTTTCATTTTTGGTGTCTTAAGCATTTGCATGGGCTCCTTCTATGTTAAATATATTTTATCTGTCATCCTTTATCATGGAAAGCTTTTTCTATATTTTTGGTTTTCAACTTTACTTACTTATGATTTGGGGGTTTGAAAGTTTTGTTTTTGCTCTTTTAGAGATGGGTCTCACTCTGTTACCCAGGTTGGATTGTGGTAGGAAAATCATGGCTCATTGTAGTCTCGATTTCCTGGGTTCGGATGATCCTCCTACCTCAGCCTCCTGAGCAGTTGGGACTACCGGCACATGCCACCATGCCAGGCTGATTTTTTGCATTTTTTCTGGAGGAGGGGGTTTTGCCATGCTGCACAGGCTGGTCTTGAACACCTGGGCTCAGGTGATCTGCCTGCCTTGGCCTCCCAAAGTGCTAGGATTATTAGGCATGAGCCGCCATGCACAAAGCTTTTATTAATCAGATTTTTCATTGTTGTATTTTGTGATAATGTCATCACTGCCAACATGCTCAGAAAACCCTTTTCCATCCAGAGATGAGAGAAATACTAACATTTTAGTCTAGCTTGAAAATAATTTACATTTTAAAAAATAAAGTCATTTAAAAATTAGGTTTTCTGGTCAGGTACAGTGGCTCACACCTATAAACCCAGCACTTTGGGAGGCTGAGGAGGACAGATAACTGGGGGTGAGGAGTTCAAGACCAGCCTGGCCAACATGGGGAAACCCCGTCTCTTACTAAAAGTACAAAAATTAGCCAGGTGTGGTGGCATGCACCTGTGGTCCCAGCTACTTGGGAGACTGAAACAGAAGAACTGCCTGAACCCAGGAGGCAGAGGCTGCAGTAAGCTGAGATCACGCCAGTGCACTCCAGTCTGATAACGGAGTGAGACTCTGTCTCAAAAATAAAAATAAAACAAAGTAATAGCTTAGCTTGAAAAGTGCTGTAATCCCAGCACTTTGGGAGGCTGAGACAGGTGGATCATCTGAGGTCTGGGGTTCCAACATGGTCTGGTCAACATCATGAAATCCTGTCTCTACTAAAAACACAAAAATTAGCTGGGTGTGCACACTGTAATCTCAGCTACTCAGGAGGCTGAGGTGAGAGAATGACTTAAGCTTGGGGCGCAGAGGTTGCAAGTGAGCTGAGATTGTGCCAATGGACTCTAGCCTGGGAAATAAAGCGAGACTCTCTCAAAAAAAATAAAAAACAAAAATAAGGTACAGTTCCTTAACAATAATAACAGGCACATAGGAGGTGCTCAAGATATACTTGCTGACTGGCTTCTCTTCTTGCTCTCTTAAATTTCTACTATTTTAAGATTAGCTTGATGTTCAAATGAAGAACGTGAAAACTAAAGTTCTGTTAATAACAGAAGAGATCTAGGAAATAAGAAATGTCATATTTTGCTAAAAGAAAACGTCAGTTAAAAAATTAAGTTTGGCCAGGCACAGTGGCTCATGCCTGTAATCCCAGCACTTTGGGAGGCCAAGGCAGGTGGAACACAATGTTAGAAGTTCAAGACCAGCCTGGCCAATATAGTGAAACCCCATCTCTACTAAAGATATAAAAAATTAGCCAGATGTGGTGGTGGGCACCTGTAATCCCAGCTACTCAGGAGATTGAGGCAGGAGAGCTGCTTGAACCTGGGTAGAGGAAATGGCAGTCAGCCAAGATCATGCCACTGCACTCCAGCCTGGGCAACATGCACTCCATGTTGGGCAACATGCACTCCACTCCTGGCCACTGCACTCCAGCCTGGGCAACATGCACTCCATGTTGGGCAACATGCACTCCACTCCTGGCCACTGCACTCCAGCCTGGGCAACATGCACTCCATGTTGGGCAACATGCACTCCACTCCTGGCCACTGCACTCCAGCCTGGGCAACATGCACTCCATGTTGGGCAACATGCACTCCACTCCTGGCCACTGCACTCCAGCCTGGGCAACATGCACTCCATGTTGGGCAACATGCACTCCACTCCTGGCCACTGCACTCCAGCCTGGGCAACATGCACTCCATGTTGGGCAACATGCACTCCACTCCTGGCCACTGCACTCCAGCCTGGGCAACATGCACTCCATGTTGGGCAACATGCACTCCACTCCTGGCCACTGCACTCCAGCCTGGGCAACATGCACTCCATGTTGGGCAACATGCACTCCACTCCTGGCCACTGCACTCCAGTCTGGGCAACATGCACTCCATGTTGGGCAACATGCACTCCACTCCTGGCCATTGCACTCCAGTCTGGGCAATACTCCGTCTCAAAAAAAAAAAAAAAAAAATTAAAAAACTAAGTTTAAAAAACTCTTGGCATTTTTGAGGCACTGGAAATATCTTCTATTACGAATGGAATGGTGATTGTTACAGAGTGTACATATATTGAAAAATCCATTGAATTGTACACTTAAGAACTGTGTATTTCACAATACAATGTTTTGGAAACTGGCAATTTAAAATAATCCAATTGCTTTTAGTTGAATTTTAATGCCAAATATAACATTTTTTTAAATTGCATTTTAGGTTTTGGGGTACATGTGCAGAACATGCAAGATAGTTGCATAGGTACACACATGGCAGTGTGTTTTGCTGCCTTCCTCCCCTTCACCCACATTTGGCATTTCTCCCCAGGCAAATATAACATCTTTATAATACTGCACATCAAGATCCAGAATGAATATTTAGTATTTATTATATAGTGTTAGGAGTTCTGAGTAATTTAGAATACTAGAAGTAATAACCAATACCATTTATTGCACACTTATTCCATTCCAGCTCCATTAAAGGAAGAGACAAATTCAAACTGTGAATGCATGAATTAGATTTCACACAAGCCAGTAATATGCCAATTCAAAGTAATCTCCAGTGTATATAGCAGTAATCAGAGGTTAGAAGGGTGGGTCTAAGGTGAAGATAGCATAGCACATGTCCCTAGGAAAAGGCATAATGTTTTATAAAATAATTAAACAAAGAGCCAAATAATAAAAGACTTTTTACTGAGGAACAGACTAGACAAGGGAACTGTTTGAGTGCAAATTTCATGCCCTTCTGCCACCTGCAAGAAGTGGCAGAGGATACCTGTTCTTACAGCACTATCTAATCCTGGTGCGACCATGGCTGCATGACCTGCCTAACCTTTGCCCTACCTGGGAGCATCAGGAGAAATACTTATCTCTGACCAGAAGACCTTCAGAGGAGATCCAGTGTTAGCTTTTAGTAATTTAGTAAGTTTAATTAGGTAAATTTAAAAAGGAGGATGGAGGGCCTGTTTAGAATAGTAGAAGGCTTCTGTGAACTATCAAGAACCATACAAATAGTAATAATCATTTTTAGAACAATTACTCAAAAATACAGTCCCTCAGTGTTGTGGTTCTGCAAAGACTGTTAAAGTGTGTCACATTTACACCATTGCCCACAGGCAAACTTTATTTTACACAGATAGGTGAGCTGCAGAAAAGCTCTCCAAATATTTTATCCTCTTCATTTCCTCTTAGAATACTTTATACATACAAGTACTATAACATAAATTATCAACCACAATAAATGTAATGAATACTCATAAACTAACCTCTGGACTCAAAAATGAAAATACAAACCAAACAAGAGATCTACCAATGTTTTTGTAGGTATTTCTGATATGACCCCCATTCTTCCTAGCTGGGAGCTACTGGCTACAGAAGAAAGTTTAAACCTGTCAGCATGAGATACTCACAGGGTTGGGAAAGTGCCTTCATCTTAATGGCTGCTGGAATGCTGTGTTTGGAGGCCTCATGTGGGTCAAAAGAACAATGCCCCAGGTGGAGCAGAAGTGGTGGCATGTGTGCCCAACCCCTGCCAACTCCTTCACCTGATCTTCTTCCCAAAAATCTGCTCAGCTCCAGTCACCATGAAATGTTGTGTCCTGACGGTTCAGACTTTCTGTATCCTGTTATGCCTGGAATGTGTTCTTTATCTTTTCTTCTTGAATGATTACACATCCTCTAAGTTCCAGAAAGCCTTCCTTGACCACCTCAAGAAGAGATGGCTGCGCCTTTCTCTGTTATCTTCTAGCACCTCTATCATAAAAATTATCCACCTTCAATTACTTGTTTATTAGTATATGCCTGTCTCTCCCACTTCCTTGGGAGCCCGTGCCTCTGGAAGGCAGGGACAACACTTAACTTTATATTCCCAATGCAACTAGCAGGTACTTAAATGCTTTTTGAAAGTATAGATAAAATATAATATCAAATAATTAGCAAGATGTTTTAACTTATTATGCAAATTCATTTCAAGTTTATAAAACTAATGCAAGTACAAAAGGAATAAAGAAAATAAGATGAAAAGAAAAGCGAAGAAAAAGTATCAGAAAGAAAATGCTCAAGGCAGACTTTACAAATATAGCACAGGAACATTTCATAGAACACAATTTATATAAGAATTATTCAGTATTCTTATATTTGATTTCAGTGTCCCTTTAGAACACAACAAAAATTACTTACTGGTTATAAAGTTCTGGATGCCTAACTAGGTTCTGAATGAATTCATTTAGTCCTGCTCGTCTTTGTTTAATAAAATCTGGAAGAGAGAGATAAACTATTAAAATTATTTACGTCAAACTATGCAATTATCAACAGTTATGTAATAGATAAGCACAAGACAGTAAATTTTGATTGAGGTTATTTTTAAATTCATGCTACTTATCACACAAGAAATATACTTAGAAATTATATATGAGAATCATTGTATTTATAGAATATGTTACATATTACATGTAATTATATTACATGTTAATTATATATTAAAATTAAAATGAAGCAATTTATCTCTAAAAAGTAAGTTCTCAAAAACTGCCTATTGTGAACTCTAAACAGACTGACTACAAAATTGGAGAAGAATATTGCTTTGTCCAACTCCTCATGTACTACCCGACAATGAATAAAAATTAACACTATAACACTGATGACTGAAAATCACACTAATTAAAAAACAAGGATTTCTGGAAATCCCTTGTAACTAGGAAATAATGATTAATTTATTAACTGAATATCACCAAAACTCTAGTTTAACTTCTACTGTTTAAAAAACAAAAAAACTTAAAAATATGCACAGGCACACTTTCTTAACAAGTTATTGTCTAGTATTTTCTTTTTTTGTTTGAGACAGGGTCTTGTTCTGTTGCTTAGGCTGGAGTGCAGTGGCGCGATCTAGGCTCACTGCAACCTCTGCTTCCTGGGGTCAAGCAACCCTCCTGCCTCAGCCTGCCAAGTAGTTGGGACCATAAGCATATCCTACCATCCTTGGCTAATTTTTGTATTTTTTGTAGAGACAGGGTCTCACTATGTTGCCCAGGCTGATCTTGAACTCCTGGGCTCAAGCAATTCACCCTCCTTGGCCTCCCAAAGTTCTGGGATTACAGGTATGAGCCAACATGCCCAGCCTGTCCAGTATTTTCATAGTGTTTTGTTTGTCGATAATTAAAGCTCATGCAATAGCAGTTTAGACATAAATATTAAGCACAAACCTTTCTTTTCTTTTAAATACAAACTTTTCTTGGAATTAGAAACCTTTTTCAAATATCTTGTCTCTCCTACTTACTAATCTTGAACCTTTCCAAGACTTCTTTTCTTGTAAAAAAAAAAATATATATATATATATAAATATTTTATACCTCGTAATGCTATTATAGGATTAAATGAGATAATGCATTTAAATTTATAGTAGGATATCTGGCAGATAGTAAGAACATTATTTATAGCTAATAATCATTAGCTACTATTACTTTTGTTATTATTATTATTATTAGTTGTTGGGAGTCTAAAAGCCATTATCTTAAACTCTTTTTTTTTAAAATCGAGATGAAGTCTTGCTCTGTCACCCAGGCTGGGGTGCAGTGGTGCAATGTGGCTCACTGCAACCTGCACCTCCTGGGTTCAAGTAATTCTCCTGCCTCAGCCTCCCAAGTAGCTGGGATTACAGGAATGCGCCACCATGCCCAGCTAACATTTGTATTTTTAGCAGAGACAGGGTTTCACCATGTTAGCCAGGCTGGTCTTAAACTCCTAACCTTGTGATCTGCCCACCACGGTTTCCCAAAGACCTGGGATTACAGGCGTGAGCCACTGCACTCAGCCAATTCTTAAGAAATATACTCTAAAAATTGAACACATGTGATTCGAGAAACTGTGTCTAATGGCAAATGCCTGGATAAAAACCCATAAAAACATTCTACTTAATAATGAGTTTGATTTAGTAAACTGATTTCTACTGAATAAAGGTGTAATGTATAGTATTGGTCACCAAAATGTTGGGTTATTTCCAGTCATGTAGGTTTATTTCCATTTCTTAAATGTAAGGTATGGCTGCATACAAATACAAACAAATATAAAATCAGGTCTGGTTTTTCGGAGCCAGATGCATCTACTTGGTACTTTTTCTTGTTTGTCTATGAATTTCCTTGAAGAATTTCGGGTAGATATCTTATTAAACTCTTCCAAGGACATTTATAGTATCACTAGGTAGGCAAAACACATGTGAAGTTTACATTAAAAACTGTAATTAAAAGACAGTTATTTCTTGAGAACTAAACTTAGTAGCATATTAAGAACTAAAATGAATGACCACATTTGGGATATTAAAAGAAAACCTAATAACTATATGGGAGCAGCTTTAAATTGTTCTGTGGATACTTACTGAAGATACATTTTACTTTTGAAGGCTAATATGAAGAATTTCCTTTCTTCAGTGAGCTATATAGCCCATGCTGTTCTAAGTATTTCTAGACTTGCCATTTTATTACTGACTACAGTTTTAAAATCCCTATGTAAAGCCCTATATAAGAAGAGAAGTTCAGTAGTAGTCAAAATTTAGAGGCAATTCCAAGCTTACTTTTTTAAGATCAACATTGAGCTTGCAAATATCTGAAAAAATTCCAGGTAAGACTATAATATGTTTAAGGTCTAAGTGCCAAGAATTTATCTAAGGCCTATATATTAAGAATTACAGTCAGAAATATGTATTTTTAAAAATCTCTTCGATGAGTAAGTTACATGAATGTAACTTTTGTAATTCGAAAGAAATGTGAATTAGAAATTTTAAAAATTTCATGAGCCACTGGGTGTAGTGGCTTATGTCTGTAATCCCAGTTTTGGGAGGCCTAGGTGAGAGAATCACCTGAGGCCAGGCGTTCAAGACCAGCTAGGACAACATAGTGAGACCCTGTCTCTGCAAAAAAATTTAAAAATTAGCTAGCTGTATGACATTTTGGGCTAGATGATAAAAAAAAAATTAGCTAGTTGTGGTGATGTACACCTGTAGTCCTAGCTACTTGGTAGGCTGAAGAGGATTGCCTGAGCTGGGAGGCAGAGGTTGCAGCGAGCTGAGATTTCACCACTGCACTCCAGCAGGGAAAACAGAGTGAGATGCTGACTCAAAAAACATATATATATATATATATATAATAAACATATATATATAATATATGTAATAAACATGTATATATAAAATTATGTTTTATATATATATATATATATATATGTAAAGTTAAAAGTATGGTTTCCTCTGGGTGCATCCTATTAAAAAGTCTTTAAATTCATAATAAAATGTTAACAAGAAGTACTAGCAGAGATCACTCTTAAAATCAGCCTTCAAGTATGTGAGATGTATCTCATAGAGGTAGGCAACCATTAGAATAAAGTTAAAAAAAAAAAGACATAGGCTTAAGCTGCAGCATAAGAACTCAAAAAGATAAGCAAAAATCCCACACAATGGCTGCCAACCATGAGTTAAGTTAAAAAGAAAATTTCAGGATGTTTTTCTTAGGTATTATTTTATTTTTTGTTGTTGTTGAGATGGAGTTTCACTCTTGTTGCCCAGGCTAGAGTGCAGTGGCATGATCTCAGCTCACCACAACCTCTGCCTCCCGGGTTCAAGTGATTCTCCTGCCTCAGCCTCCCAAGTAGCTGGGATTACAGGCATGCACTACCACGCCTGGCTAATTTTTCTAATTTTAGTAGAGACGGGGTTTCACTATGTTGACCCGGCTGGCCTAGAACTCCTGATCTCGGGTGATCCACCCACCTCAGCCACCCAAAGTGCTGGGATTACAGGCATGAGCCACTGTGCCCGGCTGACTTTATTTTTAACTTTTTATTATGGAAAACTTCATAAGTACACAAAAGATGAGAACCTTATTACCCTACTTTAAAATTTATCAACATTCTGCTATTCCTGTTTCATTTATCCATTCATCTGCATTCCTCACCCTTCCCCCCACCCCCACCACCCCCGGAGTATTTTAAAGCAATTCTCAGGCTTTTTTTTTCTTTTTCTTTTTTGGTGCGGGGAAATAAATCAGTGTGTATCTCTAAATGGTAATATCTTAAAAAATAGTAAAGCCATGAAATCACTATCTCATAATGTCTATAAATTCTTTTATTTCCCTCCAATCAACAGGTAGAACTTAATTCTACTCCTATGTTGAGTGGGGGCTGGACTTAATGACTACCTTCTAATGAGCAGAATATGACAGTTGTGATGGCATGTGACTTCCAAGACTAAGTGGTAGAAGGCACCGAGGCTTTCTCCTTGCTAGCTCTCTTGGATCACTTGTTCTGGGGAAGCCAGCTGCCAAGCTCTAACAGCACTCAAGGTTCCTTAAGAAGAGGCCCACTCACAAGGAACTGAGGCTTTATACCAAAAACCACAAGAGTGAGCCATCTTAGAAGTGGATCCTTCTGACCCAGTAAAGTCTTTCAAATCACTGATGGTCTTTGCCTATTCATCAGAAGTTGTACAAGGATTTTCCAATTCTATTATTCTGGGATTCTTCTATTTATGAATTGTGATTCCTCTACGAAGTATTTTCCAACATTATCTCTTTGGTACAAAGAAATTACATTTCATACAACAAAGGCAAGATAAACCCTTGATTCTTTCATTTATTGACTTGGGGAATAAATTTACTCTAGTAACCTCTACAGCATTTCATGAGATTCCCCCACCACCAAAGTGTCAAAGTAAATTGAAAAGTGTTTATAACTGATGTGCTGTAACCTGCTGTTACTTTCTCCATGCTCTGTCTAATCTTTCCTCAATGAAAGCCCCAACAACTGGGCTTTTGCTGTGTTTTGTGTTCTTTTGGTAAAACTGCTGTCATCCTAAATAGCTTTCTCGCTTTCAGGCAAGCTGTCCCGAGATTATTTTGCACATTTCCTGCCCCAGATCTGGGATCACCATTTCTCCATGGAACTCTGGTTCCTTTGAGAGAAAAATGGTATTTAGAGATTGCAATCTAAATGTTAGGGGTGATGGTTACTATTTGTTATTGCTTTTAGGTATTTCCAGAAGAGAGTGCTAGAAATATTTTTACAAAGGTTAAAAAAAAAATAATAATAATAGGCCAGGTGCTGTGGCTCACGCCTGTAATCCCAGCACTTTGGGAGGCCAAGGCAGGTAGATCACCTGAGGTCAGGAGTTTGAGACCAGCCTGGCAAACATGGTGAAATCCTGTCTCTACTAAAAATACAAAAATTAGCCAAGTATGATGGCATGTGCCTGTAATTCCAGCTACTCAGGAGGCTGAGGGAGGACAATCACTTGAACCTGGGAGGCAGAGGTTGCAGTGAGCTGGAATTGCACCATTGCACTCTAGCCTGAGCAACAAAAGCAAAACTCCATCTCAAAAAAATATATAAATAAATAAGTTATGATTTCATATTATATTTCCAAATTAAGTCAAAAATTAAAGTATTTTTACTCGAAATCTTTGATTTTATATGTACCACTTTCCTCTCCTGCTTAAAATCTTGGTTCTCATGATAGTAACACACTTACAGAATAACAACTCCATATAACAATAACATTATGGAATGCAGTGTAAAATTTGTCCGCGGGTTTTTGTTTTCAACCTTAGCAATATATCCCATGAAGAATATACAGTCACAATCCCATGTTTTAAAGTTAAATTAAGTTAGGTTTTTTCCTTCGGTTTACTTTCAGTTGTTACAGGCTGCTTTGTTATTGTATTTTTATTTTTGTTTTTAAAGTGTTTAAAATGTGTGCATGGTTAAGTCAAAGATATAAACAAAATTTATTCAAGGTCATCTAACTTCCACCCCTTTTGTCTTTCCTGATCTCTCTCTTATCCTTAAAGTCACTAGTTTTATTAGTTTTTGATTTATTCTTCAATTATTTCCTTTTGAATCCCCATACCTTTTTCCACACAAAAATACACACCATACAAACTCATCTGCTACACCATGATTTTTTTTGCCATTTAATGGCATATTCTGGAGATCACACCATAGCAAAATACATAAAGAGCTTTTTTTTTTGTTCCTTTTTACAGGTACATTATATCTATCTCCATTGGAAAAATATTTCCATTGTTTCCAGATTTTCTATTTAAAATTTGTCACAATTCACAGTGTTGTGTGTCAATTATGTCACATGCAGTTTATTTTGGGGATAGATTCCTAGAAATGTGATTTCTTGGTCAAAGTGGAAAATGCATTCACAGTTTTCCAAATTATTACCAAATTCCCCTCAACATGGATTGTACCACTTTTTATTCCATTAGAAAAACATGGGAATGCCTGTAACACCAAAGTGTAACCAAATGAGCATCTTATCCATCTGTTTTTCTGAATTTGACTTAGATTTGATTTTCCCAATGCAGGACTTTCCAAGATCTCTGTGACATACCATCCTTTTCATTGTTGCCAAGTCATATATAATTTATGCAGGACAGACGAATAGTTCTTCAAAAAAATCAGTTTTAAGTGTCAATTAATTCACCAAAACAAAGTACCAAAGAGCATTCAGCCTGGTATCTTGCCTTTAACAACAAAGCAGCAATGTTGCCAGTACTACTTCTCTGCCTTCTTCCCTTGATGAAATGATTGTTTTAAGGATTCAATTAAGGGATCGACAGAACTTCAACCCAAGTTCAAGTCTCATATTATCTATCACTAGTAGTTTGATTCTTAATATTTTTCTGTCATTTCTAATTAGTTAATTCTCTCAGTCACCCAGGCCTGACCCTCCAATTATCTCTCATTCTCTTCTCTATATGTCCTGTTACCTAAGCAAACATCAAGATGTATTCCAGATTTTTCACTAAAGGAGTTCTTGTACTCCTTTAGTTTTGCTCTTTTTTTTCCCCCCCCAAGATAGAGTTTTGCTCTTGTTGCCCAGGCTGGAGTGCAATGGCACAATCTTGGCTCACTGCAACCTCTGCCTCCCAGGTTCAAGCGATTCTCCTGCCTCAGCCTCCTGAGTAGCTGGGATTACAAGTATGCACCACCACACCCAGCTAATTTTGTATTTTTGGTAGAGACAGGGTTTCTCCATGTTGGTTAGGCTGGTCTGAAACTCCTGACCTCAGATGATCTGCCCGCCTCAGCCTCCCAAAGTGCTGGGATTACAGGTATGGGCCACCATGCCCCACTTTTTTTTTTTTTTTCTGGTGCCCAGGCCAGAGTACAGTAGTGCAATGTTGGCTTACTGCAACCTCCACCTCCCGGTTCAAGCGATTCTCCTGACCCAGCCTCTTGAGTAGCTGGGACTACAGGTGCACACCACCATGCCCAGCTAATTTTTCTATTTTTTAGTAGAGATGGAGTTTGGCCATTTTGGCCAGGCTAGTCTCAAACTCCTGGCTTCAAGTGATATGCCCACCTCGGCCTCCCAAAGTGATGGGATTACAGGTATAGCCACCATACCTGGCCTCCATAAGATTTCAATTGGGAAAAAAGTATTCTGCTGCTGAAAACAAAGCAAGAGTATAAAAGCCACAGGTCTACAGAATACAATCTAGCTTTGTCGTGCCAACTCAGTTTTCTCTTGCTTCTCTTTAGTAATAGGTTCACTTATTTAGTAATACTTTAAAACCTACTAGGCAAATAGTAGGTTTTAAAGTATTACTTTAAAACCAGTATACTGCCACTATAAACCAATAAAAAAAGACATAAGTCTCCACCTTCAGAAAATCTACAGCCTACTATAAGACAGATTAGCAATTACAACAAAATGTGCTATATAATCCCAAGAGAAAAAAAGATCTGTATATAACCAGAGAAATAAGAACATTCTTCAATCCTGATGTTCATAAAGTGTAAAGAATAGGCTGGGCATGGTGGCTCACGCCTGTAATCCAAGCACTTTGGAGGCCAAGGCGGGCGGATCACCAGAGGTTGGGAGTTCAAGACCAGTCTGACCAACATGGTGAAAACCCATCTTTATTTTAAAAAAAAAAAAGTATAAAGAATAATAAGCCTCCAGTTGAGAGGGCTATAGGCAAAGCAGCCTCTAGGGGGAAAAATGTTTTAATTAAAGCAAGAATGTGGAAGAAATATGAAAAAGTTGCAGGATTAAAGAGCAGTCTGCTATTGGTGGGTAAGATTCCACAGGACACAGTAACATGGTCTGGGAGGGAAATGAACAGTATAAGGTTAGGATGCAGAGGGAAAGCACAGTCAAGATAAGGGACCTTAGAGCTTTCATCTTCAGTAGTGAGCAAGAACACAGACATGTAAGGTATTATCAATTTAACCAGTTACAACGTTACAAGCAAATTAGTTGGGGAAGAAGGGTAATCCATTCGGGATTCATCTGTGGCAGATACAGGTGACTCTTCTGATAGAATTCCTGGTGAATAAGAAGACTTCTGTTACCCTGTAAGTAGCTATCTGTGACCTGGATTAATCTCTTGGGTTCTAGGGGAAAACTCCATGCTTGCAGCTTCAGTCATATAGGCACTAGATGCTGAGATCCTATGCATCAATAGGCTCCCAAAGGGTGAGCAATAGGCTATCTTTTTGGTATCCCATTCAGAGTCCTGCAAGTTGCTATGTACACAGAATACATTTAATGTTTCTGAATATAAAAGTGAATATTCTTCATGACATTGATTTAAAGTCAGAGAAGTTTCCCAAATTAACCTGAAGGATCAATTAAAAAAAATTTTTAATAGCGTCTTATTCTGTCACCTAGACTGGAGCGCAGTGGCATGATGACAGCTCACTGCAACCTTGAACTACTGCCCTCAAGCAATCCTCATGCCTCAACCTCCTGAGTAGCTGGGGCTATAAGTGCACACCACCACATCCAGCAATTTTTAATTTTTTTGTAGAGATGAGGTCTTGTTATGTTGCCCAGGCTGGTCTCAAAACTCCTGGCCTCAAGTGATCCTTCTGCCTCAGCCTCCAAAAGTGTTTCAATTATAGGTGAGAGCCACTGCGACCAGCCCATGACAAATAAATTTATCTGAAATCAGACTACTTGAATTTAACTTCCAAATCTGCTCTTTACTATCTGTATATGATCCTGGGCAAATTAATGAACCTAAGTTTCCTTATCTAGAAAATAGTGGTGATAATAATAATACCCATCTCACAAAGTTGTGAGGATTGAACAAATTTAAACACATGAAGTACTCAAAACAATGCCTAGTAGACAGTAATCACCTTCCTGAGGCATTATTTTCATAGAGCATGAGATCTTTTAAAGTCCTGCACTGCTATACAGTACAATGAATACATTAATTTACTTCTTCAAATCAATGATAACTTCATAGCTGGCCTATGAAGTTGTTGCTTACCTGGATCAAAATTATCACCAAATATTCTCTTGGCAGGAATCTTCAGGGCCATAGCAGGAAACTGTTTTTTTAACTAAAATTTTTAAAAATAACATTACATGAACTAATTTTATAAGTCTTCTAGTTATGCATGCATCAAAACCAAATACAATCTAATTTTAAAGAAAATCCATTATAAGACAAACTTTTGAATATATGATCATCCAAAGTACAATATAAATTATACCAATAAAATGCCAAAAACGAATTATCTTTTTTTGTCCCAATAAAATACCTAGTATCTGTGTGACCCAACCTAGGATAAATTACTTAACATCTGTGCCTCATTTTCCTGCCTGTAAAATGAGGATAATTTTAAAAATTACTTACAGATTTGCTGTGAGGTTTTTTTTTTTTTTTTTTTTTTTGAGACAGTCTCTGTAGCCTAGGCTGGAGTGCAGTGGCATGATCTCAGCTCACTGCAACCCCTGCCTCCCGGGTCCTGGGTCCCGGTTCAAGCAATTCTCCTGCCTCAGCCTCTGGAATAGTTGGGATTACAGGCATGTGCCACCATGCCCAGCTAATTTTTGTATTTTTAGTAGAGACAGGGTTTCACCATGTTGGCCAGGCTGGTCTTGAACTCCTGACCTCGTGATCCACCCACCTCAACCTCCCATTGCTGGGATTACAGGCATGAGCCACCGTGCCTGGCCTTGCTGTGAGTTTAAAGGGAGATCATGTATACTAAGTCCTTAGGCTAGAACCTGGTGTTACAGTTCCAAATACATATTACCCATTAATTATCTTAGGAGAAGATATGTTCCTGGCGTTTTCTCTACATGAATAGGTTTACAACAGATTTCTAAGAAAGGAGATGAATTTTGCTTTCAATACCCTCTTTCTGCTCTAACCTTTCCCTTATTAATATTCTAATAAGTGAGACTTCGTCTCTACAAAAATAAAATAAAATAAAATAAAAATAGCAAGGCATGTGCCTATTATCCCAGCTACTCCTAAGGCTGAGATGGGAGGACTGCTTGAGCCTGGAAGGCTGAGGCTGCAATGAGCCATGATTATGCCACTGCACTCCAGCCTAGGCAACAGAGTGAGACCGTGTCTGAAAAAAAAAAAAAAGTATTCTAATACATTTGTTTATCAGATATGCTTGTCTTCAGAGAGAAACAAAATGTGACCCTGAAGAAATTAAATTTGGGGCAGTCAAGTCATAAAAATGGGTTATATTTTCATTATAAGTTTGATATCAAACACACACACACACACACACACACACGCGCATGTAACAACTGTATCTCAGCTGGGCATGGTGGCTCACTGAGGCCTGTAATCCCAGCACTTTGGGAGGCTGAGGTGGGAGAACTGCTTGAGCTCAGGAATTTCACACCAGCCTGGGCAACATAGTGAGAATCTGTCTCTACCAAAAAAAAAAATATACATATATATATATATATATACGTGTATATATACGATATATATATATATATATATATCTCGGCTGAGTGTAGTCCAGCTATACAATTTGCAGGAGGCTGATGTGGGAAGATTGTTTGAGCCAGGGAGGTCCAGTGCACCGTGATCATGCCACTGAAATTCAGCCTGGGTGACAAAGCAACAACCTGTCTGACCAAAAACAAACAAACAAACTAACACCCAAAAACTATACATCTAACTACCAACTGACAGGAAATACAAAGAACAGGAATGTACTAATCACTTTACGGCATGGGGCATACTGTCAGTAAAATGGAGACTGAATGATATGTAAACAAATGACCCTGTTTTTCACACACACACACACACACACACACACACACACACACAAATATGTAAAGGAAACAAGGGAGGCTTAAATGACACTTAACAGACTTATTAACCAGTCACATATTAAGGCATTTTTTTTTTTTGAGACGGAGTTTCGCTCTTGTTACCCAGGCTGGAGTGCAATGGCATGATATCGGCTCACCGAAACCTCCGCCTCCTAGGTTCAGGCAATTCTCCTGCCTCAGCCTCCCGAGTAGCTGGGATTACAGGCATGTGCCACCATGCCCAGATAATTTTTTGGATTTTTAGTAGAGATGGGGTTTCACCATGTTGACCAGGATGGTCTTGATCTCCTGACGTCGTGATCCACCCGCCTCGGCCTCCCAAACTGCTGGGATTATAGGCAAGAGCCACCACGCCCAGCCAAGGCATTACTCTTATGTTTAGATGTGGTAAAGGTATTGTATATATGTTTTGTTTTTAAGAATCTTTATCTTTTAGAGATGCATACTAAAATAATTTATAGATGAAAATATATAATGTCTGAAATTTGTGTCAAAATTATGGTGGGCTGGCTAGGGATAGAGATGAACCAGGAACAGCCATGTATCAGTAATTATTGAAGCTGGATGGTATCATAATATTACTTTCTGAATTGGTGCTAGTATGTCTACTTCTGTATGTGTTTGACTCCTTTTCCCTTTTCCTTTCCCCTTCCCCTTCCCTCCCCTCTTCCTTTCCTTCCTTCTTTCTTTCCCACTCTCTCTTTCTCTCTTTTCTTTTTCCCCTTAAGATAGTGTCTTGCTCTATCGCCCAGGCTAGAATGCAGCACTGACCTCCTGGACTCAGGAGTGATCCTCCCCTCAGCCTAATGAGTAGCTGGAACCAACAGGCACACGTCACCACACCTAGCAAGTTGTTTAATTTTTTGTAGAGACAGTCTCGTTATGTTGCCCAGGCTGGCCTTGAACTCCTGAGCTCAAGCAATCCTCCTGCCTGAGCCTTGCAAAGTGCTGGGATTATAGGTGTGAGCCACTGCACCTCACCTGTGTTTGATAATTTCTATAATGAAAAGTTTAAAATATAAACTACAGCCATAAAGAACACATTGAAATTGAGAATTAAAATGCCTACAGTTTTCTTTTATTCTAAAAGGAGCGCAGGAAAATAATGTATGTTTTTGAACTTAGGGAAATCCAGGCCAGGTTTATCTGATTTCTGCAGTTTCAAAGAATTCAATGATAACTGTTTTCCTATTTTTCTCTTTGCCCCTCACCACAGGAGGCAGAATTAGAAGGAGTTATATAAAATGAGAGGTACATAGAAAGTGATGAAATAAGAAAAATGAAAAACACGGTAAAAGAAATGAGGGAGATGAATGATAAAAACTGAACTACATGTTAAGGAAATTCTTCTGCAAAAAGTTGAAAGATGGATGTTTCACGGAAGAGAGAATGCAAGTGATCATAGATGGAGGTACACCAAATAAGCTTTCCTATTTTATTTTTATGCTTACGGATACTCAAATGTTAACCCTCATTTTTTTCTTTTTTTTAAATTTTTGTTATTGCATTTTAGGTTTTGGGGTACATGTGCAGAACGTGCAAGTCAGTTGCATAGGTACACACATGGCAGTGTGCTTTGTTTCCTTTCTCCCCTTCACCCACATTTGGCATTTTTCCCCAGGCTATCCCTCCCCAGCTCCCCCCCCGCTGGCCCTCCCCTTTTCCCCCCAATAGACCCCATTGTTTAGTACTCCCCTCTCTGTGTCCATGTGTTCTCATTTTTCATCACCTGCCTATGAGTGAGAATATGCGGTATTTCATTTTCTGTTCTTGTGTCAGTTTGCTGAGAATGATATTCTCCAGATTCATCCATGTCCCTACAAACGACACGAACTCATCATTTCTGATTGCTGCATAATATTCCATGGTGTATATGTGCCACATTTTCCCAATCCAGTCTATCATCGATGGGCATTTGGGTTGGTTCCAGGTCTTTGCTATTGTAAGCAGTGCTGCAATAAACATTCGTGTGCATGTGTCCTTATAGTAGAACGATTTATAGTCCTTTGGATATATACCCAGTAATGGGATTGCTGGGTCAAATGGAATTTCTATTTCTAAGGCCTTGAGCAATCGCCACACTATCTTCCACAATGGTTGAACGAATTTATACTCCCACCAACAGTGTAAAAGTGTTCCTTTTTCTCCACATCCTCTCCAGCATCTGTTGTCTCCAGATTTTTTAATGATTGCCATTCTAACTGGCGTGAGATGGTATCTCAATATGGTTTTGATTTGCATCTCTCTGATGACCAGTGATGATGAGCATTTTTTCATATGATTGTTGGCCTCATATATGTCTTCTTTTGTAAAGTGTCTGTTCATATCCTCTGCCCGTTTTTGAATGGGCTTGTTTTTTTCCTGTAAATCTGTTTGAGTTCTTTGTAAACTCTGGATATCAGCCCTTTGTCAGATGGGTAAACTGCAAAAATTTTTTCCCATTCTGTTGGTTGCCAATTCACTCTAGTGACTGTTTCTTTTGCCGTGGAGAAGCTGTGGAGTTTGATTACGTCCCATTTGTCTATTTTGGCTTTTGTTGCCAATGCTTTTGGTGTTTTGTTCATGAAGTCCTTGCTTACTCCTATGTCCTGGACGGTTTTGCCTAGATTTTCTTCTAGGGTTTTTATGGTGCCAGGTCTTATGTTTAAGTCTTTAATCCATCTGAAGTTAATTTTAGTGTAAGGTGTCAGGAAGGGGTCCAGTTTCTGCTTTCTGCACATGGCTAGCCAGTTTTCCCAACACCATTTATTAAACAGGGAATCCTTTCCCCATTGCTTGTTTTTGTCAGGTTTATCAAAGATTGTATGGTTGTAGATATGTTGTGTTGCCTCCGATGCCTCTGTTTTCTTCCATTGGTCTATATCTCTGTTTGGGTACCAGTAACATGCTGTTTTTATTACTGTAGCCTTGTAGTATAGTTTGAAATCCGGTAGTGTGATGCCCCCCGCTGTGTTCTTTTTGCTGAGAATTGACTTGGCTATGCGGGCTCTCTTTTAGTTCCATATGAAGTTCATGGTGGTTTTCTCCAGTTCTGTGAAGAAAGTCAATGGTAGCTTGATGGGGATAGCGTTGATTCTGTAAATTACTTTGGGCAGTATAGCCATTTTCACGATATTAATTCTTCCTAACCATGAACATGGAATGTTTCTCCATCTGTTTGTGTCCTCTCTGATTTCATTGAGCAGTGGTTTGTAGTTTTCCTTGAAGAGGTCCCTTACGTTCCTTGTGAGTTGTACTCCTAGTTATTTTA